AAAACATTTTTTGAGAGAATTTCCTGCAATTTATTTTTTTCCTTTTTGTTGGCACAAATGTTGAAGGAAAAGGGAGGAGAAGGAGGGGAGGGAGGGAAAGGGAGGAGGTTATTACTCGGGTATTTTTTTCGAGAGACTAATGAATTTGGAATCGGGAATTGGAAATTTATATTTTCTTTTTTTTCGCTTAATTTAAGTCTACTATTCGATAAATATATTTTTACTTAATGTAGAAATTTTTTTTATTTTGCAACATCCCCTCCTTTCATTCCTTCCTTAAAATATTTTATTTTACTGTTTTTTGTTTATTTTTATTTTGTTTTGGGTAAAATCCAGCCAACCATATACATATTTCCTCTCTTTTTTTATTTTATTATTATATGTACAAGGCCATTTTTGGCACATGTCCATATATTTTTTTATAAAATAACAAATTCAAAAAACATTTTCTTAATCTAAAAATAATATTTTATTTATCAAAAACTTTACAAAATTAATCTAAATTAATTAATAAACTAAATTAATTCTATTTTATTTATTATTAGAATATTTACAACTCCCTCAACTTAGCTAAATTAAATTAATTTATTTCGAATAATTATTTATATTTTTTTCTAAATTTATTTTTATTTTCATTCCAAATTAGTTTAATTTATTTTTATTTATTTATAAATATTAAAAATAATCACATTTCCGTCCAGACTATTTAAATATATGAAAGAAAGATAAAAGTTTTTCGATATCTCAAAGTTTTTGCCGCCTTTTAAATGAATACAAATTAGCGAGAGAGAAAAAAAGTTTTATTCCTCTATCAATTAAATTTTTGTAAAATGGAGAGAATATATTTAGTAGTAGTTTTGGTTTTATTTTTCCTTTTAATTTTTATTTCCTCAGCTGCTCACTCCTGAGAAATAAATTTTTTAAAAAGTACATTTTTAATAAATTTTGAATTTATTTTTCTTTTATTAAATAAAAAATTATAGAGAAAATAATTTTATCTTTATTAATTAGAAATTTAAACTAATTTCTAAAAATCAAAATATATATTTAGTAGTAGTTTTTGTAGTAGTTTTATTTAATTAAGAGAAGGGGAGGAAAATGCCGACAATAATATATTAATTATTTTAGTTAAATTTTCAAAAAATTAAATGGTCACTATTTCAATGCCTCTCCCATTATTTTCAACTTCTTCAGTTTCTACTTATTCACAACAATTTAAAAATAATAAAAATAATTCTTCTTCAATTTCTCGACATCAAGCTAGGCGTGTTTCTTTACCTAATGCTTTGTTGAATAATCAAAGTGGAGGAGGGTTTAGATCGCCTCGTTCGAGAACACCTAATTCTTTAAGTCCAAAACTCGGATTTTTAAAGGTTTTTTTTCAAAATTTCTTAAATAAATTTGGATCTCATTAAAAAATACCTTTCTGTGTTAAAAAATCACATCTCATAATGAGGTTTTTCTTAAATTGTGAGTATTGCTTAGGCAGCCCCCTCACATAACGGCACGCCAATTATCTAATATTTTGGATATCTCAGTTGAGTTCAGGCTTTAATTAAAATTCATCCCTTCGAGCATATTTTAAATTTTAACTTCCTCAATTTTTATTTTATTACTAAAAATAATATAATTTTTAAAACAAAAATCCTTTTTTGTAACTTTAAAACTTTTTATTCCTTTGGGAAGCAATAGACGAACTTTACACAATTTTAAATTTAACAATAAATTAAAAAAACTTTTTTGCCTAATTTTTGCCAATAAATTTATTTTTACTAAATTCCCTTAAGGAAAGGGTTCGTTGCCTAAAAATAAAATAAATAGAGAACAGATTTGCCAATATTTTTCTTAAATATAACCTTTGTACATTTTAGGCAGTTTTATTGTTTTGAGACTTTTTGTTAGAAATTCTTTTATTTAAAATATTTTTAGTTAAAAGTTAGATAGAGATTTTTAAAAGGTAAGAGTTTAGGTATGGACTTGGTATTTGATCCAAATAAAGCTCAAAACCATTTTCTATTTCCGAAGTCTACGTGTAAGAAAAATTTAGGCCTCTGCCAATACCCTTTAGCAACGATTTTCTAACACTTAGTTTTCAAAATTATTTAAGCAAATTTTAAGAAAGGGAAAAATCTTAATAACTCTTTTTAAGGAAATCTCAGAGTTCGACATTGATCCTCCTTTCATTTCTCCTGGTGCATCTTCAAGCTCAAGGTATTTAATTAAATATTAAAAAATAATTAAATTATAATATAATACATATATAATTAAATATATTTATATACCTACATACATAATTATTCTATTCTTTATATAATTATTCTTTGAATTTATTTCTTTTTAATTTAGCCTTTCCTTTTTTATATAAAAATCTCAATAAATAAAAATGTCTCGTGAAGCAAATTATTCCCTAAAGAATAATAATTTTCTCAAAATATTTTCAGATGTTCCCACCCATAAAAAACACCAAAATGTAGCATTAAAAAAAGAAAATAAAATTTAGTCTATCCCTTTCTCTCTTTTATTTAATTAAAAATTATTTTCTCGAAATATATTTATTTAAAATATACAGTCTATCCTCATTATTTGGGATAGAAATATTTGGAACTTATAATGACGAATATCTTAAATTGAGGGGATTATATTTAGGTACTTGTGAGGTCTGTCTTACTGATTTATTCATAGATTTCCATGTCATTTAAAAATATTATGGGAATAATAATCTAAAATTAGTTAAAATATTAAGCACTAAATTCAAAAAAAACCTCCAAAAATCATTCTAAATATTCCAAGTACTATTTTCTTTAAAATAAACTGAAGTGCCAAAAAGATAATAGATTTTTTAAGAAATTTTTAAAAGAAAGTGAGAAAAGCTTTAATATAAGTAGAGTAACTAAATGGATTGTTGGACTTAAAAACTGTGACAAGTTAAAGGAAAGAGAAAGAAGTAGTTTTTAAAAGAAAAAATACCAAAAAATATATTTAAAAGTATTAACATAAATATATATTTTTTAGTTATAGTTTTTAAGAAAATGCAGGAATGCCGAAACAATCCAATTTAGGAAAAAATTAAAAAAAAGAGATGCTTGAGTGAAAAAGTTTTTTTTATTGTTGTCTACATTTATTTTTATCAAAAAAATGTTTTTGATGAATTACTTCCTTACTTTTCTTTATTTTCCATTCTATATGAGGAAAGACCCTCAAATATTCGGAATCTCGCGGTCACTTCTACTAAATACTTATTTTAGACTTATTAGACCTCATAAGATACACCAAATATAATTAAAATACACCCCTGTACCTCCTCTATTTAAAATATCCCATTATAGGATAAAATTTTTCTGTTCCAAAGGGGTCTGTCTATCTGTATAATAGTTATTTTTTAATCCCATTTAGTGCTGATAATTCTCATTGTAATTCTCCAATGCTTCTTTCACCATTTTCTCATCGTCCAGCCTCAGCACGGCCCTATCGCCGTAATAAACTTGTTAATCAAAACCAACAGCAACAACCTCAACAATCCAAAACTCAAGAAGAAATTAAACAACGCAGAAATGTTCAATCTTTACGTGCTGCTAGACGTTCAGAACCTTTTATTTTAGGAAACTGTGAGGATTTGGCTGATGACGACTTTAAATGGACAGACGTTGATGGATTTTATGGAAGAAAAAATTCTATTCCGCTTCATCAATTATTGGCCAATGATTTGGCACTTCTTAGAGGAATTCATGCGAAAAATGGTTGGAAATATTAAATTATTTTTTTGTTCTATTTTTACAAAAAAATCTTTCTTTGGGAAGACTTTTTTGTAAATTAAGTTGAATCTCTTTTTTTTAAATATACCTTAATCTAAGATATGTGTGTATATTTTTTAATTTTGTTGGTCACTTGGTAAGGGTGGGAGTTACCTAAACGATTCCCCAATTTAAGATCTCTATATCCATATTAAATTTTATTAATTTATTTTTTTTTAAATTTAAATTAAAAAAAATTAACCCTTATATTAACAAAATATTTTCAGAACAATCCAATGGAAACACACCACCCCCAGGAACAATAAAACGTTTAAACAACATTTCTCCTTCTAATTCTGGAATAGATAAAAATGATGATAATCAATTGGAAGAAAATAATGATGAAAGTGAAGATTTCTTAAATTCTGGAAAATTTAAGAAAAGACAAGAATCTCGTTTTAAAAGATCATCTTTGGAAGAAATTAAAAAATCTTCTTCGGCCCCAATGAGTTCTCCAACAAAAAGACGTTTAAAAATGATTAAAAATAAATTATATTCTTTAGAAGATGATCAAAAAGTAAAATTTTTTAATTTTTTTATTTAAAAACTTTTATTTAAATTAGGGAGTTAAATCTAAATTAAATGAAAATGAAGGTTTGGATGACCAGAATCAATCTAATTCTGAAAATGAAAAAGTTAAATTTATGGATTCTCTGGATGAATTGGATAAGGAAAAAGATGGTAGGCAGATTTTTTAAATAATATCTTGCCTTATTAAACTATTAGATAACCCCGGTTTAAGATAATTTTTTTTTAATTCGATGAACATTAAGTAGAGGAGCTGTCTAAATGATACCTTTGTTTAAAATATTTTTCAATAACGAGGGTGTATTTATTTTATAGTTAAGTCAGTTAAAAAACTTTTATTTTCTTTGGAATTTTTTACGTTCCTTTCATAATTTAATTTTTGTTTTATAATTAGAAGCAAACGATGATGTTCGTCTACTTCGTCAAATTTTAAAATCTCGAAAGCAGCCAATACAACAATTCCGTCATTTTAGTGTCGATCAAGATGGTCAAAGAATTGTTGATAGTGGAGTTAGAACAATACGTTCAAAAATCCATCAAAATCCCCCACAAAATAAAGGGAGAAATCCAAAAGCTAGACGGGCAACTTGTCCCGAAATTTGGTTAAGTGAAGCAGAAGATGAGGAAAGATTAACTATGAATTGCGCAGTTAGACTTTTTGGGTGTAATTCTGTTGGGAAAAAATCAATTGCTAAACAGGCAGGATTATTTTTAAAAAAATTTTTAATGGAAATCTACACTCATTATAAGATATCGCCGTTATAAATTGTACTTTATAGTGAGATTTAAAATAAATAAGCAGTAACACTTAAATATCCCCCGCAGGGTTGTCAATCAAATCTATTCCCCAATAAGAACCTGTCTTGATAGAACCCATGCGGAAAGAATTCTGAGACTTGTATAAAAAATAATTACAATCGTTTTCTAGCTTGCCTCAGCAGCAGAAGTATCCCCACAAGATGATGGAGTAATCGTTTCAACAGGCAACAAAAAAAATATTTTTATAGGTTATTAAATATTTTCTTTTAGATAATGAAGATGTTCAACGTCTCTATAGAACAGTTTCCTTTTTATTAAATGAACATGAAGTTAATATGCAAATTATTCAAGGTTCACTGTTACCTCAAGTAAATTTTTTTTAATATTTTAGTTATTTTTTAAATTATTTTTAGAGTCAAGAAAGGTTATCTGATTCAATTGAAGAGTTTACTATATTGGCAGGTAAATATATAAAAATAAATTGAACGAGTATTTTAAATTATATCTCCATAACTTTTCCCCCCGAATCAGATTTTTCTAGTCTCCCAGAGAGAATATTTGAACTAAATATAAAGCAAATATATATTACTAGATAAATCCAAATGATAAAATTTGGTTGGTTAATAGGTGGAGGAGCAAATGGGGTGTCTAAGATACACCTCATTTTATAAAAATTTTATGAAGTTCGACTGTACTTTTGGGAACCCTTAAAGGAAAATAGCTACAAACTTTCTTTAAATTACTAATATTTTCTTTTAAAGTTGTTTATTCTGTTGATAATAGGGAATCTTTTATTCGCGCAGCACAAATATTATACAGAATTTATGGTGATAGAAAAATAGCAAAAAGAGGAAATAAAAAGAAAATGAAAGAAAATATATTTTTGCCCCTTATTTTGGTTTTTATTTATTTTTTATTTTCTAAAATTAATTAATTTAAGATTGCTAACAAAAGTGATCTACAACGAAAAAGAAGAATTAGTTCAATTGGTTAAAAAATAAATATTTATATTAATTATTATTTTTTATAGAAGGTAAAATGTTAGCAAAAATATATAAATGTCCATTTGTTGAAATGTCTGCACTTCTTTCTGCTAATGTAGATATTTTGTGGAATGAAGTAATTCGGAAACTTTACAAATATGAAAGGGTATTTTGAAAGAAAAAATTTTTTTAAATTATTTTTTAAATTAAAATTAGATTGTTGACAATTTGATTGTAGAAAAACAACAAAACCAGCAAAAAGAGGTTAATCAAATTAATGAATTAACAACTGGGCTAATAATTCGACCACCGGTTAAATTAAAAAAAAACGAAACAATTGAGCGAGCACGACTTTTAAATAACCCGTATCCATATGTTAATCCTATATATCATTAAACAATCAACATATTTTTGTGATGCGATAATCATTATAGTGCTAATTTTTCTGTTTGAAATTGTCTCATTCGCAATTGACGCAACGCCAAAAAAAATAAAAGCTTTTCAAAAAAATTTTTTTTAATATTTTTTAGTTGGTTGGAAGAATAGTAGAAAGAACAAGACGTTTTGCAAAATCTTGTGAAGATTGGATTACAACTAAAATTGTAGCTATTTAAACAATCACTTGACTTTGATTGTGATCCCCTTTATTTTTTTTGATTAAATTGTTTGCAAATTGAAAATGTTTTTATTAACTTACAATTAGAATGACACTTTTAAAATGGACAATTTTTGCGGAATTTTAAATTAACTGGGAAACAATGAAAAATTTTTACGTGAATGCCTTCAAGTGTGTTGGAAAGAAATCCGCAAAAATTGTTCACAGAAAATAAGTGCAAAATAATCCAAATATTCTTACTTAACATTTTTAAAAACATAATTGCCGAAATACTTTCCATTTAATCATCATCCAAGTCACACATAGCCCCTCCATCATCGTCAAAAAGACAAACAGCCCCAACACCCTCTTCATGGCAAAGACGAGGCCAGTGTTCACGCTTCATTTGCTTCAGAATTATTTCAACTTTCTTCTCGCTAACCAATACCTGAAAAAATAAGAATTTTTAATAAATAAAGAATCATCTCGGGGATGAATGTCACAAAATACAAAATTTCAATAGACAAACCAAACTCTCGGCAGGCAATATTTCCGCATACAAGTCAAAGTGCCTAACAGTCTCCTTCAACCCAAAACCATATGCAATAACAACATCAAGTGTAAGACCATCACTTTCAACACGCGTTCCTTGAGGCACAGTAGAGCGAGAGAAAATGCTTAAATGCACATGGCCTCCACGATAAAACCAATCATGGCGAATATCTTCATCAACACGTTGACGCTAAAATGAGAATTTTGAACTTTAATGGCCTCTGTTCGTTATTTTCCCTTATTTTAACTCTGAGATAAGTCAATGAGGATAGGGTACTTTATTAATATCCCACCCCTATTTGAGTCTCAGATTAATTTTCGTATTTTTACTGTCAATCATTTTTTCCTTCAAACATTTCAGGTAAAAAGCAAGTATTAGGAAGGAAAAAATTGACGGCAACCACAAAAATCGGTTTAACGGCAAAATTTAACATTTATAAAGAAGGAAATTTGACCGTTCCGAAACGGGAAAAATAAAAAGGAAAATTAATCTGAGACTCAAATAGGGGGGATATTAATAAAGTACCGAGGAGAGTTGTTCGGTATCCACGGGTATCACTCAAAACCTAATCACTTTTAATTAATCTAGAATAAGGGAAAATAAGCAAATATTTATTAAAAAACCAACAATAATCCATCGATGAGAGCCTTTAGTACATCCAAGTAAATTAGTTGTTTTACGCCCACAACAAGTCCAATATTGTTGATGATTATGCAAATGTTGATATTGAGTTGCGCTATTATTCGAAACGATAGCAGCGGTAGAGTTTGGGTCACGAGAAGCTGGCAATCCTCGGTGATGAATACAAATTGAATTAAAAGTATTTTTGTCATTGCAAACCTTTAAATTAAAAAAAATGGAAAATTAAAATTTTTTGGATTTTTTAAAAAGCATTTTATTTTTACTTCTTTCTCAAAGGATTACACAAATATTATAATTAAAAATATTTTTCTAATTTTTACCGCAGTACATCCATTATTTTTACAAACGGCCCCAATGAGATTTTCGAAATCCTTTTCATTTTGACGGTCAGGAAATTTATTTGAAGAATATTGACGTCTTTCTAGAACTTTTTGAGCGGCCTAAAAGAAAAAAATAAATTAATTTTATAATATAATAATCAATTACAGAATTAATAAAAAGTGGAATTAACATTGTCCTTCGCTTAGTTGTTGTTGTCTTTTCAGAGGGTTTAGGCATTTTATGGAAATTTTGAGGAGCAAATCTTTTATTATACATAGTAGAACGAATTAGAAAGTCAAAAGGTAATCTTAAAATTAAAAAATAAGGATTAAAATATAAAGTCAACAAAAGTGTCTCTGCCATTGGCAGAGATTGGCCGGTAGGTAAAATCGCATTCATGGGATCCCGTAACGGGATTTTTTTCAAAAATTTTTGCGAGACAGGATCCCGGGGGATTAATCCCGTAAATCGCGATAATCCCGTTCGTTGCTTAAAATACGGGATTTCGGGACAGGACCCCGTAAAATCCGGTTCGGGATCCTGTCCCGTGCCGACCTCTAATTGGCCGTACTTTAAAATTCCACATTTTTGGCGTAATGATTTTTGAACAAAACGGCCAATAATGTTCCACCTCCAGCCAATTTAATTTATTATTCAATCTTATGTATTAATAAAATTTCTTAATTTAAGATATACTAACTAATCAATGTCTGATTATAAGGAATTCTTCGAAATTGCACGTCTTTTTGTGGATTATATGGAAGCCGATAGTCATTGTAATAAACAAAGACGTTTTTTGCAGGTATTTTAAATACAAAAAAATTAAAAAAAATTTTTAAGGAAGGAAACAAAACTTCTGTGATATTTAGTGATGTAACTCATTTTTTTGAAAATTATTCAAAAAATTATTTTTTCGAAAATACTTCAAAAGAAGAGAGGAACTGTTTGGCTTATTTACTTTTTGCTTGTTTAAGAGAGTTTTTTATTTCAATTTTTGACGTTAGTTATGATAGAAATGATGGTGATTTACTTATTCGATTGAAAAATGAGCCACTTTTGGATGAGCTTATGGTGGGTAGAATTTAGTTAATTTTTATATTTAAACGGTTTTATAAAAATACGTGGTGAATCATGGGAAATATTTGAAATGCAAAAATTAATTTTTGTATGTATTAAAAGTTATTATTTGGATTTGGAATAGTTAATATACATAGTAGGCCCTCACAATATTCCCCAATAAGGATGGCGGTTCCTGGGAAATCTCCGGATATCCGGAACCGGTATCCGAACCGAAAATTTTCGGATATCCGACAGGGGGTAGCCACGGGGGCTGAAGCCCCCCCCCCGAAATGGGAGAAAGCGGCCCTTAATATCCGAGGTTTTTTGGTTCCGGATACACGGCACCGCCAACCTTACTTCCCAATATTAGATAATATCAATTTAAGTCATGTTTTTTGGACTAATTAGCTTTCCTAAATGGACTAATTATACACAAATTACTATATAACTTCTTTTTTATAGACAACACTTTTCATTAAAAAATATAATTATATTATTGACCAAAAATTGCGAGAAGAATTTGAAAAGGCAATAACTCCATTAACTTCGCCTAGTGGAAGTCCTAAAAATTTGGCTTTAATGTGTAATGGAGATAAATGTGGAAAGAAGAAAATTAATGGACATTTAAATAAAACAAAAATTATTCCGAATGATATTGAAAAACTTTTTGAGGAATCTGTCCATTTTCAATGAGTTTCACAAAATTATTTTTTAAATTTGAAATGTTGCAATTATTTTATTTTTATAATAAAAAATAATAAAAAATTAATTTGATTATTTAGATGCAACTTTTATTATTAGTATTTAAATATTAACGAGCAGGATGGGAATTTTAGCGAATCTTCTGCTTTTTTTATAAAAGAAATTATAACAAAAATGTACTAGTTAAAAAAGCAGAAAATTTAATTTTAAAACAAACAAAATTCAACAATTTTTAAATATTTTTTGGAGGATTTTTCTCGTTCTCTCGCCTTCTTAATTTTAACCACGTCGACTGAATTTTAAAAAGCCCAATTCTTTTATTGCCTTGTATTGATCGGGAATCTGAATTGAAAAAAAAAGAATTTTTTTGTAGAAATGTAATTCCTATCAACCTCCATTAATGCATTCAGAGCAAAGGATGCCTCTGGATTAGGGGCATTGAACATTACCTAAATAATTTTTTAAAAGGAAAATATGTAATACTTTAAATTATGCAGGGAAGGAACAGAAATATCCGAAAGTTGGATATTTTTAAAAAAAAAACCCACACGGGATTTTTTTAAATATTTTTTGGCAGATAAATTATTCTTCAATGTTTTATTAATTAAATAATTTTAATTATAAATTATTCAATAAAAGATGTTTTTAGAGCTTTACCGACATTTAAAAATAATAAAAATACTTTATGGAAGTCAACAAAATGGAAATTGTCGAAGAGACGTTTTGGAAGTGTTTCATCAAAACGCGTCATCATATCCCAAGGTCCATCTCCAACACCAACCCTTTTTAAATGATTTTTTATTCAAAATTTAATTTTATGTTATTGTTTTTTGTTCAAAAAATATTGAACAAATAAATTTAAAAATTAATTTTATAATTTTACATAATTATGGAAAGAGGGTAACGTGATGCTTGGGCAATTGCCTTTTGATTGATTTTCTCGTTGGTAACCTTAAATTAGGCCAAAGTGAGATTTAATTTTTTTAATTTATTAAATATTCTTTTTACTTCAATTCTTTGATTAAAAAATTTTTTTATTTGAAGGAAGAAAAAGTTTCAATAAAAAATTTATTTTTACTTGTCCATCAGCAACAATAACCAAAATATGGTAAGAATGTTTTTCTTCACAAATTTCAATTGCCCTTTCAATTAATGGGACAAAATTAGTAGGTCCACTCATTGAAATACTGGGCATTCTTTCATTATAAACACGCAATACTTCTTTAAATTAAATTTTTTTTAATTTTTACTTAACAAAATTGCCTTCAAATCCTAAACAGGAGGCATCAATATCATCACGATCTACCAAATTAAAACAACTTTGGTCAGTTGTCTCCTCATCTCCAAATCCATAAACTGGAATTAATCCATCAGCATCAAAAGAAAAAAGTGTTTTCCCAACAATTTGTATTACCTTTTATTTTTTAATTTAAAAAAATTTTTTAAGAGAAGAAAACTTGTTGGTAAGGATTTAATTCTTGCCCTCCATATTCTTCTAAATAATGTAAAGATTTTCCATCAAATGTTCTTTCTCCTTGGTAATAATTAGATCTTGTATAGTCAATTCCAAAAATTAAATTGGAATATTCTAGACCAGCCTTAAATAATTTTATTTTTAATTTTTAGTGAGAGAGGAGGGGATTGGGCAATATCAATAACTAGGATGTCTATTTTTTTATTCCAAATACCAAAATACGAAAAGATTTAGGCAATATCCGTAAATAGGATACTATCTATAAAACTTCAACACTCTTAAAACTTTTGAATCTTTTCCTCTTATGTATTTCTCTCAATTTATTTTTCCCCCAATCCTTCACTCAAATAAAATGAGACAATAGGAAAAGTCCTCAGCTTTTTATTTTTCTGTGTTACTTTTTTTACTTCAAAGTTTGCCCAAAACTTTAATTAAATTTAAGACCTCCTTCATTGCATCAATTATATCCTGAAGTGTTTTAAATCGAGGTAAATTATGAGGGCTTCCAATATTTAATGCCATAAGTAAAGAATTCCGACGTACTGGGGCACTAAATAATTTAAAAATATTTTTTTTGATTTTTAATTTTAAAAATTAACAAAGATGGTGCTTCGTTTTGCCTTAATTCATATTTCTCTCTCTGACGGCGTTTTTCTCTTTTCATTGGTTTTTTAATTATTGCCTGCTTTCCTAAAGCCAAATCCTTTAAATTTATTTTAATTTATTTAGTTAAATTAATAAACAAACTTCAGCGCTAAGTAAGTCCATCTTTTCAGTTACTTCAGCTGCAAAACTAACCCTAAAAATTAAATAATATTTTAAATTAGGTCCTAATTTCCGATGGGAAAATGTAAAAAGGATAATTAATCAGTAAGTATTAATACACAACAGATTAATCAACAACCAAAAGACTGAAAGTATTCAAATAAAATTTTTCATGTACAGGATTCGAACATTTTCTAAACCATGATGGGGGTTTAATCTTCTTTCCTATAAAGAATTATTTACTTTATTTAATACCTCTTTTCTCTTGATTCACAACGTTCCCGACTTGCACTCTTTTCACGCATTACATTACCATAAGCACGTCGAACCCTCGCCCAATCATGGCCTTGTTCTCCTTCAAATAAGGCAGCTTCTTCCTGACCCCATCCTTCCTCGCCTTCTTCACCTCTTTATTTTTTAAAATAATTAATTTTTAATTTTACTAAAATAAGAATAATTTTATGGAATATGGATGAAAAGATTGTTTTGTAACAAGATTAAGAATTCCCCATTTAAATTAAAAATATTCAAAAAATATTTCTTCACCTTCCTTCCACCATTGGACGATGCCCTTCTTTTGCTTTTTGTACATTTCCATATCCACGTCTCAATCGGGCCCAATCATGACCTTCCTCTCCTTCAAACAATGCAGCTTCATCAAATGCTGCTTCTTCCCCTTCCTCGCCTCTTTAAAGTAAAATAAGATTTTTCATGTAACTTTTAAAATATTTTTACTTTCTTTCCAATTTTTGCCTTTCTTTTTCTTTCTGTACATTGCCATAACCTCTTCTTAGGCGTACCCAATCATGCCCTTCTTCTCCCTCAAACAGGGCAGCTTCTTCTTCTAATGGAACTTCTTCCCCTTCTTCTCCTCTTTAAATTTTAAGTTTTTTTAAAATATCTACTAAAACTTATTTTACCTTTCTAATTTTTGCCTCTCCTTTTCACGCTGAACATTTCCATAACCGCGTCTTAATCGAGCCCAATCATGCCCTTCTCCTTCACCTTCAAGAATTGCAGCCTCCTCTTCAGGAGGAACTTCGCCAATTTCGGGTCTAAAATTTGAGTAGATTTTAGTTAAATTTTTAAAAATCACTTTATAATTGGTTTAATCTTTTCTTGGACTCGAGCCTTTTCAATCATTGCATTTCCATAGCCACGTCTCAAACGTGCCCAATCATGACCTTCCTCTCCCTCAAAAAGTGCAGCTTCTTCCTCCCCCCAGCCTTCTTCTCCTTCTTCACCTCTAAAATAGATTTAGGTATACATAATCATTTTCTATAACATTCATCAAACCTTTTCTCGATCGGTGGACGTTCTTTAGCTTTTTGAACATTTCCATATCCACGTCTCAACCGTGCCCAGTCATGACCCTTTTCTGCTTCTATTAATTCAGCAGCTTCACAAACATGTTCAACAGGCTTCTCCAAACGAGGTTCTCGTAGAGATAATTCAGCAAATAAATTCACATCTCGTTTGGCAGATTCTAGAAGACATTCCAATTGTAAAATGACTTCGGAATGCACAGCATTCAACGTAAAAGGGCCAAGCAATTGAATAGCAGGTAGGATATATTGCACATCAAACGGTTGTTCTTCGCCGCGGGAAAGCGCAGCGCCAATGTGGATTTGTTCAGAGCCGGCCTAATTTTTTAATAATTTTTGAATGGGAAAATGGGAGAGAGAAAGCATAAGTACCTGTGTTGTATCAAATCTTTCCTCTGCTTTTCTTTTATCTTCTTTTATTAATTCAGCACCTTCCAAAAATTCTTCACGTTTTAAGTTAACTTCTATTTGTGAATGCCATTCTTCCATTTGTCTTGATCTCAACTCAACTTTCTCGTCTTCACGTAAATAAACGCGAATAATATGAAGAGGAGCCTCTTCCTCTTGACCAATCTTATTTAACGTGAAGAATCTTTCACCAGTGTCCATTTTACCAGCTGCGGCACAGTTTAATGTGTAATGACCTCCAAAACGGGGTTCTCGTTTTATTAATTCTGCTTCTAATCCAACATTTTGAGGTTTTTGCAAAACAATATTTGACCCTAATTGTTGTTGACTTGCTTCCTTTGCTTTAAATATTTGTGGTTCTATTCTATTAATATCTCGAAGAATTAATTGTGTGAAAAGTTCAGGGGATTTTGGCTTTTCCAGAAGTTGTTGATATTCAACATTAACATCTCCAGCTTTTGAACATAATAATGATAAAGGTTCTCCCGTTCTTGGAATGATAATTTTCTTTTCTGGTGCAATCTCCACTGACTCTGGGCGTAACCAATCAAGCAAAGGCACTTCCACATTTTTCTCAATACTTGCCTTAGTTGCATGAAGGAATTGCCCACCATATCTTGGTTCCCATCTTGTATGATCCGGAGCCTGTACCCATTGATCTGGACGCCTAAGCTGGACATTATTAAGTTGTTCAACTTCTCTACTTTCTGTTACATGAACAGATGGAGTAGGACCTTCCAAAATTCGAGAAGATTTTAGTTTAAAAGGCAATGCTGCTGCAGATGGTTCTAAACGCTGCAGAGCAGTTGTTGTTGAAATTGTTGTTTCTGCACTTGATTTTGTACTATGAACTGCAGGTTCTGCTTTTCTTTCCAATGGACGTGCACATTCAGCCTCAAGCTGTGTCACAATAGGATTTTCCAATTGTTTGTACAATGTAATATGGGCATCTCCAGCAGCAAGTACATGTTTTGTGTGAGTTCCACCAAATAGAGAATCCGGCAACACAACTGGAATTTCCGAAATTTGATCATTTTTGTGCCATTGTGTATTTATGTGCTCTTGCTCAGTGCCTGCTTGGTGTGAGTGCAATGGTGCAAGTGGGGGACCAGAGCGCGCAATTGGCAAAGTGATCAATGCTTCCATTTCCGCTGGCGGGGCAGAGCGCATTTCTTGTGCCAAAAAGAGCGTTTCTGTTTTTGAGGCCAAACTTCGATATTGAGGTTGAGGGCCAACAAGTGTTTGAGGAACAAAAATAATTTTTTCTGAGCTCAATTGTCTTGGACTTTCATCTTTAAGATTAACATCAACAATTGTAGAAATATCTCCAGCCCTTTTAGTATTTTGAATATATTGTCCGTCAAAGAGTGGCTCCCAAACAGTATGATGTGCTTCTTCTGCTTGTTCATCTTTCAAATAAACAGAGCTTAACATAATTGAATGAGCTTGACTTTCTGGAACACGGAATGGTTCTGGCTTTTCTTCTCTTGCACAAATTTTAATTAAAGGCGGTGCTCTTTCAAATTCTGAAGTTCTACTTAAAGCACTGTTTAATTGTTGTTGTTCTTTAGAACTTGCTTTGCTGCCTAAAATTAACGGCTCTGTCAAGCGTGCAATCCAAAGCACTAATTCTGTCGTTAAATCATCGGGCAAAGGCTTTCTCTTTGTAATCGTTTCTTCTTTTAAATATTCTTCTTTGCCTATAGCTTTAGTCCCAAGAGTTTCTTTGTTAATACGTGGTTCCCATTTTGTGAAAAATGTTTGAGCAGAAGATGGTAGTTTTGAATATTGAAAGTGAATATTTTCTTCTCGTTCCTTTGCTTCTTTTGTTTTAAGTAAATTCTCAGGTCCCCAATTTGGCCAAAAACGTGTAAATGTCGTTTCCTCTTTTGTTTGTTCACGGCACCAACTCTGAGACAAATTGTATTGTTCATGTTTTGGTTCGTTTAAACACGCTTGAACAGGAGCCAACTCCCTTGCACAACGAATGCAACGAAGAGCCGGAGCTGGAGAGGCATCACGTTGTTTTTGTAGTTGAAAGTGTTGTATAGCATTAATAAGTCCAGTTGCTTTAGAATGAAGAAATACACGGCCACCAAAGGCAGGAATGTGTCGAAGAATTTCTGAATTTTCTATATTATCAGGTTGTTTCCATTGACATGTTATGCTTTCTTCAATTATTGAGGATTCGCGCAATTCACTTTGAGCACTCAAATGCGGGCGTACCAAATATTTAAATGTTGGCGCCGCCTCAGCAACAATTTGGCGCTGTAATGTTATCAGTATTTGTTGCTCAAACGCCTCCGCCTCGCGCATTTTCATTTCTACCCCAGGAAGTTTATTTGTTTCCCAAATTGTTAGGGAAGTGTGTGCTACCCTCAAATGGTCACTTTCCAATTCTCGAAGAAGCGTTAAATATTCATCACTTGCTGTTTCTGTTCTCAATTTTATTTGGCCTCCAAATTGTGCTAACGGCCAAATTCTCTCACTTTCCTTTGTTTCTAACAATTTATTATATTCCAAGCAAATATTTGTTTTTAAATCTTTTGCTTCTTTTGTTTTTAATTTATTTTCTTGTCCAATGTTTGGAATAATAAATGTTTTCGTTACTCTTTCATGTTGTTCTGATTTTTGTTTTGATTCTAAAACAACCAAATTCTCTTCTGTAGCAGCCTTTGTTTGTTTAATTATTTCTGGATGTTTATTTGGTATTTTAATTAAAATTTCTTTTCTATCAAATTCCTCATCCCTTTTTAATTCTCTAATTATTGTCAATTCAATTAATTCACTAGCTTCTGTATTTAAATTAATTCCAGAAATAATTAAAGGAATATTTATTTTTAATTCATCTTTTTCTTCATTACTAACCATTTTAGGCTTTAATTCATAATTAATTAAAAATTCTTCTTTTGTCGATTCTTTTATTTTAAAAATTTCTGGGAACATTTCACGTGCCCATTTTCTTTTTATTGCAACCCCAAATGTTTCTGAAGCTTTTTGTAATGAATAAAAACTTGCTTTTTCTTCTTTTCCACTCTCCAACATTCTCATACTCCTCTCTTCTTTTGTAATATATTTTAATTTTTTTAACAATTTTTCAAAGGCTGGCAATTTATTTAAAGACAAAGTTGTTTGCCATTCTTCTTTTTTTGTTGCTTTTGTATTTAAAATATAATTTCCCCCAAATCTTCTTTCTTCCAAAATTTTTTCTGGAATTGGAAAATATTTTCCATTTTTGTCAAAAACATAAGCTATTTGTGTCTGTTCATCCCCAGCTTCTTTCAATTTTTTAATTAATTTTTCTCCTTTAAAGGCTATCCAATTAACTTTCTCAATTAATTCCTTCTTTTCTTCTTTTTTCCATTCTTGACAAATTATTTTTTGTTCATCTCCAGCAACTTTTGTTTTCATTATTTGAGACTCTTTTAAATATATCGGTATATCTATTTTTGTATCCAATTCTTTAATTATTTTCTTCTGTAATTGTGTATATAAACAAACTTCTTCCTCTTCAAATTCCTCTATTTTAAAGGAAATTGGCCCAAAAATATTTGGTAAAGGTAAAATTCTCTGAGCACTTTCAATTGCCAACAATCTTGCTTGGAGACCAAAATTTAATTTTAATTCTTCAAAGTTTGCCTCTCCAACTTTTAAATTAATTGCTTCTTTTCTACCAATTTTAATTGTTTTAAATATCCTTTCAAATTGAAATGAACGTGAAAGACAAAATTGTGAAATTAAATTTTCAGAATGTGAAATTAAATAAATTGGGGGGATTTTAATTGTTGTTTTGTCTTTTAAATATAATTCTGCTTTAGAAAAATCTTTTTTTGAAGTTAAACTTTGAAAATCAACAAAAACATTAATTAAACGTTCACTCATTTCTTTAATTTTTTGTTTTAAATTTTCTTCTCTAAATATTTTAATTATTTTTTGTGTAAACACTTCTTCCTTTCCTTCTTTAATTAAATGTTTCTCGATAATTAAAGGACTTTGAATTTTAAATTTTCTTTCAATTTTTTCTTCTCTTTTTAATTTTAAAGTCCATTCCAACTTTAATTCTTCTTCTGTTCTTTCCCATTTTTCTTCCGAATTTAAAATTTCTTCACTAACTTCTTTTGTTAACAAATTATTAAATTTATTTAAAGGAATTTTAATTTCTTTTTCAATTTCTAAATCTCTTTCAACAATTTTATATTCAGCAATTAATGTTTCTTCTTCTTCTCTAGATTCTTTTGTTTTCAATTTTTCTTCACTTTTTCTGGCTGTTTTTATTTTTAATTCTGTTTTTTCCCAGTCTAAAGGTTTTTGTAATGTTTCTGTTCTGATTTTTAATTCTTCTTTTGAATATTCTGTTTTTAATAAAGTTGAAAGTAATTGAGAAGTTGGGAATTTCTTTTGAATAGAAAAACTTGGTTGTGATGATTGCCATTGAATTGACTGTGTTATTTGTGTTTCTAAAGAATTTAGAGTATTTAATTGTTGTTTTTCTATTTTGTTTTGAATATTAATTAAATGGTGGGCAGAATAAAGCCTTTTTAACATTGGAATTTTGACTAAAAGAATTGAAGTTGTTTTTGTTTCTTTTCCAAATTCTTTTAAATTAATTGAGGGGACTGTTAATTCTTTTTGTTTTTCTGGAAGAATTTTTAAAATAAATTCGTCCTCTTCTTTTCCTTCTCCAATTAAATTACTTTGAATTTTGCTTTGTTCAATATTAAATTTTCTTTCAATTTCTTCTTTTTCTTTTAAAGATTTGACTGTTTTTGTTGAAATTTCTGGAGAAACAAGTTCAAAAACAGCAGAACCAAAAGTTTTTAGATCACTCGCTGCTTTTGTTTTTATCCATTCTTTCGCCTTTTCTTTTTCTTCTAAATTAGCCCAAGTCCATAATTGTGTATCTACAAAGCTAATATCCATTAAAAACATATTTTCTTCTTTTAAATATTCCCTAAACCATCCTTTAATTTCTTCTAAAGGTTTCTCCTTTAATATTTTAAATGTTTCTTCTTTGCAAATTTTTGTGTTAAATAATTGGCATTCTGTTTGGATATTTTCTTTTTTACTTGAATTTAATTTTACTTTAATTATTTGTTCTAATTTAGCTTTTTTAATTATTTTCTCTTCTTCTTCCTCCTCTTTTTTAAAATAATTTAAATAAATATTTAATTCTTCTGTTTTAACAGCTTTTGTTTTAAATAAATCTTTCCATTCTCTTTTTAATAAAATTATTTTTTCTTTTTCTTCTAAACGTTCACTAATCCCCGTTACTTTACAAAGAAATGATATTTGTTGTTCTGCCCTCTCTTTTAATTTATCACAAATTATCGGCCCTTCTAAAAGAGAATAATCAAAAATTCTTTCAATCCAAATTCCCGGTTGTTCTTTCATTTGAATTTCGTGTTGGGAAGAACTTTTCTCAATTTTAAAATTTCTCGACTCTGTGGGCGTGCCTATAGGCGTTTTTCTTGTTAAATAAACTTTTTCTGTTTCTCCAAGTTTTTGTAATTGTTGGGTCTGTTTTAATAAATGTTCTTCTGAAGCTTTTGTTTTTAATTCTTTAAATTCTTCTTCCCCAATAGAAAATGTTTTTCCAATCATTTCTTTACCTTCTAAAGTATCTAATTGAGCAAATAATTGTCTTTCTTGTTCTTTACTTTCTTTTAAATCTTTTTTAATTATTTCTTTTTTTAAATCCTTCAATGTTTCTTTAATCTCCGATTCTTCTTGTTTTACTTCAAATTTTTGATTAATTTCTAAATCTTCTTTTTTGGGTATTTCTGTTGTTAAAATATCTTTTTCTTTTGTTAAATCCTTTTTAATTATTTGGGTACTTTCAATTAATTCTTTTCCCAACATTTTTATTTCAGTTTCTTTCTCCTCCTTTTTAGCTTCTTTTGTAATTAAATTCTCTTTCAATAAACTTTTATCGGCTATTTTCTTTTCTGATTTTTCTTCCTTAATTGCCTCTGTTTGTTTCTCCCAATGAATTGCTGTAGTCTGTTCGGCACTTTCGACTTTATATTCTCCTAAATTAGATGCTGGATCAGTTGATAGATAGCGGAAACCCAGAAAATATATTTGGCCCCAAAAATTAATTTGACAAAAAATAAAAAGCGTGAAAGGTAAAAATAAAGTGTAGTAATTTTGCAGATAAAAGAAATTTCAGCCAATTCCATAACTAAACCTTAGGACTAAACTAAGTCTTAATATGCTTGCTAGGTTTGTTCAGAATTTCATGGCATCTTAGGAATAATTTTTAAATCAACACATGCTTCTTTCCACCCAATGACCTGCCCTATTATTCACGATGAAATCTAATTTTTAGTTTAAGTGATTGTGCAATAATAAAAAACTTTAAGTGATTTTATTAAGTGCTCGTGCTTTAGTGCAAAATCTGTGCATAGCATGAAATTTATTTGGAGTGATGATTGTTTATCTTTTATCTATTTTAATGGCGCATTTTTTGCTTTTTATATTTTTTGCCAATTTTTTGGGGCCAAATATATATTTCTGGGTTTAATTTCAAAATATTATTCCTAAATAGTAACCCCTTTTGGGAGCCTCAGTCGCCGCTTCAGCCGCCAATCTCTGTATCGCCGTCAAAACCCCACTAGCTTTAGCCTCTTCCCCAATAGCTTCTGCTACAGCTTCAATTTCCATTCTTTCATCCCTAGCTGCCCCAGTACATAAAATTGTGGATATTCCCTCCTCTCTTTTCTTTTGTTTAATTTCTTTTTCAATTTTTTCTTCGAATAATTTTTTATTTTCAAAATTTTTAATAATTAATATATTTTCTTCTTCTCCTTCCTTAATTTCTAAATTTATTTTTTCTTCCCCAATTTCTTTTAATTTAATATTTTCTTTTTTAATTTCTTCTTCTTTAATTAAATTTTTAACAATTTCCTTTTCTTCAAATTTAGATTCTTCAATTTTTGTTGATAATATTTTTGTTTTATTTATTTCTTTTTCTTTTTTTTCTATCTGAAAACTTTTTGGTTGTTGAATTACATCAAAACCTAAAACAACAACTTTTTCTTCTTTCTTTTCTTCAATTTGTTGTTGTTGTTGTTCTAACCACTTCCCAACTTTAAATTCAATATCAGTTTTTGCTTCTTTAATTAATTTTTGTTTTCTTTCTATAGCTACCCCAGTATTTAATTCTTCAAATAAAAATTCTTTTAAACTACAAAATGTTTTAGTTAAAGGAATTTCTTTCAAATAAAAAATATCTTCAGTTTCCACACTTTTTGCCCTTTTTTCAATTTTTTCTGTTTTATTTAATTCTTCAATTTTAAATGTTTTTTCGATAGGCAAAAATTGTTTTAATTTTGAGGTAAAATTTGCAATAGATTCTTCTAATTGTTTTTGTTTAATTATTGAAGTTGTTATTTCTTTTGGAGATTTTATATTTAAATTTTCTTTTAATTGTTGTTTTTCTTCTTTAAATTTAGTAAATTCTTTTTCTTCTTTTTCTGCTTCTTTCTGTTCTAAAAATACAAATGATGAAGCTCTAGATTCTCCAAATTCTTTAATTTTAAATTCTACAAAAGTTTCACTTTTCGATTTTTGGAGTTTTTTGGTACTTTCCCATTCCTCTTTCCCTATTAAATTGGCAGTAAATTCTTTTTTCTCAAGAATTGAAGCTTTTGAAGATAAAAGGGCTTTTTCTTGTTGTTTTTCCTTTAAATTCAAATCAGCTTTTTCTTCAGAATTTAAATGTTCAAAAATTATTTGACTTTGAATTTTATTGTCTCCAGCTGATTTTGTTTTTATTTTTTCTTCCAGTTGTCTTTTCTCTTTAATTTTAATTTCAAATTCCCCCCAAGTTTTTGGTCTCTGATCAAAAAATACAACAGAGCTTGCCCTCTCTTCACTAAATTCTCTCCCAAAAAATTTAATTGAAGATTGACTTGCTGATTTAATTATCTTCCTATCACTTCCCCATTCTTCTTTTCCTTGTAAATTTGCTTGGAAATGTCTACTTTCTTGAGTTGATGGTTTAGATTTTAATATAGACCTCTCTTTTATTTTTTCTTTTTGAGTAAATCCAATAATTTCTGTTTTACTCTTTTGTTCAAAATAAATATTTTGTCCAATTTTTAAATCCCCCATTTCTTTTGTATTTAATTTTTCTTTAATTTTGTATTTTTCTTTTAATTTTATTTCTGATTCTTCCAAGTATTCCTTCGGTTTTTCTATAAACAAAACAGAAGATGCTCGAGATTCAATAAATTCTTTTAATTTTAATGTTACTGAAGACAAACTTTTTGATTTTTGAATTTTTCTAGTACTTTCCCATTCCTCTTTTCCTACAAAATTGGCTGAAAATTCTTTTAATTCTTTAATTGAGGCTTTTGATGAAAGGAAAGTTTTTTCTTGTAATTTTTCTTTCAAATTCTGATCAGCTTTTTCCTCGGAATTTGGATGTTCCAAGGTTATTTGACTTTCAATTTTGAAATCTCGAACTGATTTTGTGTTCATTTTTTCTTCTAATTGTCTCTTCTCTTCTATTTTAAGTTCAAACTCTTCAAAATCTTTCAGTCTTTGATTAATAGAAATAACTGAATCAGATCTCGTTTCAACAAATTCCTTTACTTTGAAAATAATTGATGATAAACTGGCTGATTTTTGAAGTTTTATGGCACGTTCCCATTCTTCTTTTCCAATAAAATTGGCTGAAAATTCTTTCAATTCGTAAATTGAAGCTTTTGAATACAAAAAGGCATTTGCTAATAATTTTTCCTTTAATTTTAAGTCTGCCTTTTCTTGCTTATCTAACTTGTCAAAAATCATTTGACCTTCAATTTTAAAATCTCCAGCTGATTTTGTTTTCATTTTTTCTTCCAATTGTCTTTTCTCTTTAATTTTAATTTCAAATTCTTCAAAATCCTTTGGTTTCTGATCAATTGATATCGAAGAAATTGCCCTTTCTTCACTAAATTCTCTCCCAAAAAATTTAATTGAAGATTGACTGGCAGATTTAATTATTCTATTAACATTCTCCTTTTCCTCTCTTCCGGTAATTATTGTCTCGATAATTGTTTTATCTTCAATAGAACCTTTAGACTTCAATTCAACTTTTTCCTCATTTTTTTCTTTTAACTTTGTATTTATTTCTTCAAAATCCCTTTCTTTTGACGTTAATCCAATTGTGTTTGTAGCCTCTTCTAAACCAAATTCTTTTAATTTTTTGCCTTCAATTATTTTTAATTTTTCTTTTAATATTTTTTCTGCTTCATTCCTTTGTTCAGCTTCTACAAAAATATTTTCTCTTCCAATTTCTTCAATTTCTGAAGAAACACTTTTTATCGTTTTAGAGGCAATAAATGCTTTTTCTATTTTTTCTTTTTCGCTAGTTTTAATTAAAATCCCCACGGTCTCTTCTCCCTCTTTCAATAAAGAAATATTCCAAATTGTATTAATTACATTAATTAACCCTATTTTATTTTTGTAATTTTTTGTTTCTTCACAAATTAATTCAGCTTTTTGTTTTTCTTGTATTTTATCAAGAATTTTAATTTCTGCTGCTGATTTTTCTTTTTCTACAGAATTTAATTGTAAAATTAATTGAGTTTGTTCTTTTCCAAATTCTTTTATTTGAAATTTTGTAGAATTTTGATTTTGGGATTTTATTAAATTTTGAGTATTTTCTAAAGCTTCTTTACTTGTTGATAAATTAATAAACGATTCTTTTAATTCAAAAGTTGGGGCTTTAAATTCTTTACTTATTTTGTCACTGCAAACTTCTTTAAATAATTTGCCTATTTCTCCTCCCTTTTCATTTATTTGGTTTAAATTTAATTGTTTTTGAATTATTTTAATATTTTCAACGGATTTAATATTTTCTTTAAATTTTATTTGAATTTCTTTTAAATATTGCGTTGGGTGTGTAAGGGATATAATTGAACTTGCTCTCTCTTCAATTGTTTCTTTTGTTGTAAATTTAATTGTTGATAAACTGGATGATTTTTGTAGTTTTCCAGTACTTTCCAAAATTTGTTTGCCTTCAAAATTTAACCAAAATTCTTTTTTCTCTTCAATTGAAGCTTTAGATAATAAACAAGTTTTTTCTTTTGGGGTTTCTTTTATCATTAAAACAGATCTTCCCTCGTCTTTCGGTTTTTCTAAAATTATCTGGCTTTGAAGTTTATCTTCACTAGCCGATTTTATTTTGAGTTTGTCTTGTATTTGCCGTTTTTCATCAAATTTTATTTCTATCCCTTCTCTATTTTTGGATTTTTGTTCAAAGGATATAGCAGAACTTGCTCCCTCTTCAATTGTTTCTTTTGTTGAAAGTTTAATTGATGATAAACTGGCTGATTTTTGTAATATTTTAGCACCTTCCCATTCTTCTTTTCCTATTAAATTAGCAGAAAATTCTTTTAATTCGTAAATTGAAGCCTTTGAAGATAAAAGGGCTTTTTCTTGTAATTTTTCCTTGAATTTTAAGTCTGCCTTCTCCTGGACATGTAACTGTTCAAAAATCATTTGACCTTCAATTTTAAAATCCCCAGCTGATTTTATTTTTATTTTTTCTTCCAATTGCCTTTTCTCTTTAATTTTAAATTTTTCAAAATCCTTTGGTTTCTCATCAATTGATATCGAAGAAATTGCCCTTTCTTCACTAAATTCTCTACCAAAAAATTTAATTGATGATTGACTTGCTGATTTAATTACTTTAATGGAATTGTATTTCTCCTCATTTCCAGAAAGATCAGCTTTAAGATCTTTCGTTTCTGAAGTAGTTGCTTTAAATTTCTTAATTATTTTTTCTTCTCTCTGGTCTCTTAAAAATTTAGATATTTCTACTTCGGATTTTGATTTTTGGAGAAATCCTTCAAAATTACTTTTAATGTCTTCAAAAGATTTAATATTTAATTTTTCTAGAATTTTAATTTTGTCTTCAAAATTAATTTTAGTCTCTTTTAATTCTTTTAAGCTTTTAACAAAGGACATAAATGAAGATATTTTTTCTTCTCCAAATTCTTTTAATTTAATTGAAATATTTATTTCACTAGCTGATTTTTGTATTTTTCTAGTACTTTCAAATTCTTCTTTCCTTATAAAATTAGTTGAAAATTCTTCTTCCTCTTGTATTGGGGATTTAGATGATAAATGGGACTTTTCTTTTGGGGTTTCTTTTAACAATAACGAAGTTTCTTCCTTGTCCTTTGATTTTTCTAAATTTATTTCCCTTTGTGTTTTGATATCCCCAACTGCTTTTGTGCTGATTTTCTCTTCGAATTTTCGTTTCTCTTTAACTTCAATTTCAAAATCTTCAAAATCTTTTTGTACACGATAAAAGGATATAACAGAGCTTGCCCTTTCATGACTAAATTCCCTGCCTTTAAATTTAATTGAAGACTGACTGGCTGATTTAATTATCTTCTTTGAACTTTCCCATTCCTCTTTTCCAATTAAGTTTGCGGTAAAATCCTTTTTCTCGTGAATTGAAGCCTTAGATGATAAGAAAGTTTTTTCTTGTAATTTTTCCTTTAAATTTAAATCAGTTATTCCTTCAAAATTTGGATGTTCCAAAGCTATTCGACTTTCAATTTTTAAATCTCCGATTGCTTTTGTGTTGATTTTCTCTTCTAATTTTCGCTTCTCTTTAATTTCAATTTCAAATTCTCCCCAATTTTTTGGTCTCTGATCAAAATAAATAGACGAATAAAATCTCGTTTCCCCAAATTCTTTTATTTTAGCGATAACTGATGATTGACTGGCAGATTTAATTATTTTTCTATAACTTTCCCAGTCTTCCTTTCCAATCAAATTTGCTTGGAAATTTTTAAATTCCTCTTTAAATGTTTTTGTATTTATATTTATTTCTTCTTTTCTTTGTTCTTTTACTAATTTAAAAACTTTTGCTTCAGATTTTGATTTTTGAAGAGATTTTTCTGAAATAATTTTTTCATCTCCGGCAGATTGAGTATTTAATTTTTCTTGTATTTTATTCATGTCTGAATAGATAACTTCAATTCCATTTTTATCTTTTAATTCATTTTCAATATAAATATTTGAATTTAATCCCTCTTCACTCATTTCTCTTGATTTAAATGAAATGTTTGTTTGACTTTTTGATTTTAAAAGACCTTTGACATGCTCTTGTTCTTCTTTTTTTGAAAGAATTGTTTGGATTTCTTCAGATTTTTCTTTGGCAACAGCTTTAGATTTAAAGAAAATATTTTCTTTAATTAACTCATTCAAATAATAGGAATATTCTTTTTCAATTTTTGGCATTTTAATTTCCAATATTCTTTGTATATTTAAATCGCTAGCCGCTAAACAATTTTTATTTTCTTTTAAATTTCTTTTCTCTTTTATCAAAATTTCAACTTCCTCCCCTTCTTTTATTTTATTTTCAATACAAACAACAAATTTTAAACTTTTTTGGCCAACTTCTTTAATTTTTAAATTTGCAAAATTTTGATTTTTTGATTTTTCCAATTTATTTATTGAATATTTATTTTGTTTATTACAAACAAAATTTGTAAATAAAATTTTAGAGTTTAAAGAAGATTCTTTTGATTTTAATTTTATCTCTTCTTTATTTTTTAATTTAATAATTTTATCAATTTGGGACTCAGATTTTGTTGAAATATCTAAAAATATATTTTTTTCTATTTTTGCATCTCTAGAAGATTTTCCTTTAAATTTTTCTTGAATTTGGCGTTTCTCTTTCAAATTAATTTCTGTGTCTTCAGAAACTTTAGAACTCTTTTCTAATGAAAGAAAAGATCCCGAGTTTTCTTCACTAAATTCCCTGCCTTTAAATTTAATTGAAGAATGACTTGCTGATTTAATTATCTTCTTTGAACTTTCCCATTCTTCCTTTCCAATCAAGTTTGCGGTAAAATTCTTTTTCTCGTGAATTGATGCTTTAAATGATAAGAAAATTTTTTCTTGTAATTTTTCACTTAAATTCAAATCAGTTTTTTCTTCAAAATTTGGATGTTCCAAAGCTACTTGATTTTCGATTCTTAAATCTCCAACTGATTTTGTGTTGATTTTCTCTTCTAATTTTCTTCTCTCCTTAATTTCAATTTCAAATTCTCCCCAAATTTTTGGTCTCTGATCAAAAGAGATGGAAGAATCAAATCGAGTTTCCCCAAATTCTTTTATTTTGGAAATAACTGATGATTGACTGGCAGATTTAATTATTTTTCCAGTACCTTCCAACTTTTCTTTTTCTAGTAAATTAGCAGAGAAATATTTTTCCTCGTAAATTGAAGCTTTTGAAGATAAAATAGCTTTTCCTTTTAATTTTTCCTTTAAATCTAAAGATGTTTTTTCCTCATCATTAGGTTTTTCTAAAATTATTTTGTCTTCTATTTTACAATTTTCAGCTGCTTTTGTATTTATTTTCTCGTTTATTTTTGTCGTATCTTTTACTTTAATTTCAAATTCTTTCCAGTTTATTGGCTCTTTTCCTATTGAAATAATTGAGTTAATTATATCTTCCTTAAATTCTTTAATGTTTAATTTTGTTGATATTTGACTAGTCGATTTTATTAATTTAGTGACTTCTAATTTAGATTTTGATTTCTGGAGAAATCTTTCTTCTTCAATTTTAACATCTCCAAACGTCTCTTTCTCTTCAGTGTTTAATAATGACCTCTCTTTTATTTTTTCTTTTTGAGTAAATTCAATAATTTCTGGTTTACTCTTTTGTTCAAAATAAATATTTTGTCCAATTTTTAAATCCCCCATTTCTTTTGTATTTAATTTTTCTTTAATTTTGTATTTTTCTTTTAATTTTATTTCTGATTCTTCCAAGTATTCCTTCGGTTTTTCTATAAACAAAACAGAAGATGCTCGAGATTCAATAAATTCTTTTAATTTTAATGTTACTGAAGACAAACTTTTTGATTTTTGAATTTTTCTAGTACTTTCCCATTCTTCTTTTCCTACAAAATTGGCTGAAAATTCTTTTAATTCTTTGATTGAGGCTTTAGATGAAAGGGAAGTTTTTTCTTTTAATTTTTCCTTCAAATTCTTATCAGCTTTCTCTTCACAATTCAGTTTTTCTAAAATTATTTCATTTTTAATTTTGAAATCTCCAACTGCTTTTGTGTTGATTTTTTCTTGTAATTGTCTTTTCTCTTGAAGTCTAATTTCGAATTCTTCAGAATCCTCTGATCTCTGATTAATAGAAATGGCAGAACCAGATCTCGTTTCAACTAATTCTCTTACTTTGAAAATAACTGATGATAAACTGGCTGATTTTTGTAATTTTTTAGCATTTTCCCATTCTTCTTTCCCAATGGAATTAGCTGAAAATTCTTTTTCCTCATAAGTTGAAGCTTTTGAAGATAAAAGGGCTTTTTCTTGTAATTTTTCCTTTAATTTTAAGTCTGCCTTTTCTTGCTTATCTAACTTGTCAAAAATCATTTGACCTTCAATTTTAAAATCTCCAGCTGATTTTGTCCTTATTTTTTCTTCCAACTGTCTTTTTTCTTTAATTTTAATTTCAAATTCTTCAAAATCCTTTGGTTTCTGATCAAATGATATCGAAGAAATTGCCCTCTCTTCACTAAATTCTCTACCAATAAATTTAATTGAAAACTGACTTGCTGATTTAATTATTTTATTGACATCCTCTCTTTCCTCTCTTCCAGTAATTGTTGTTTCAATAATTCTTTTATCTTCAATAGAAGCTTTAGACTTCAATTCAACTTTTTCTTCAGTTTTTTCTTCTAATTTTGTATTTATTTCTTCAAAATCCTTTTCTTTTGATGTTAATCCAATTAATGTATCGTCAATTCTTTCAATTTCTGAAGAAACTAAATCATTCACCTCATAATTATTTTTTTCTTTTCCGCTAGCGTGTAATATTAATGAAGAAATTCCCGCGGCCTCTTCTCCTCTTGCAATAAAATTAGCTGGAATTTCCGTTTTATTTTGGATTAATGATAAAAATGTTTTTTCTTTTATTTTATCTTCAAAGTTTAAGATTGCTTCTTCTTCATTATTTGGATGTTCTAAAATTATTTGAGTTTCAATTTTATAATCTTCAGCTAATTTTGTATTTATTTTCTCGTTTATTTTTGTTGTATCTTTTATTTTAATTTCGAATTCCTCAAAATCTTTCTGTTTTTGTTCAATAAAAATACTACAAATCTGTTTCTCTTCTTCAAATTCTTTTCCTGTAAATTTAATAGATGATTGACTGGCAGATTTAATTATTTTTCTATAACTTTCCCAGTCTTCCTTTCCAATCAAGTTTGCTTGGAAATTTTTAAATTCCTCTTTAAATGTTTTTGTATTTATATTTATTTCTTCTTTTCTTGCTTCTCTTATTAATTTAGAGACTTCTGCTTCAGATTTTGATTTTTGAAGAAATTTTTCTGAAATAATTTTTTCATCTCCGGCAGATTGAATATTTAATTTTTCTTTAATTTTGAATTTTTCTGCAAAATTAATTCTTGCTTCACTAATACTCTTAAAATTATTTTCAATAAAATAAGAATCAGAAACAATTCTTTTTTCACCTTCCCGCAATTTAAATAAAATATTTGTTTGGTTTTTTGATTTTTGTATTTTTTTAATATTTTCCATCTCTTCTTTACCTATTATTTTAGTAAAGATTGCTTCTTCCTCGTATATTGGGACTTTAGTTGATAAACTATCATTTTCGTTCCCTTTCTCCTTCAAAATTAAAGATGACATTCCCTCATCTTGCAATTTTTTCATAACTATCCCTTCTCGAATTTCGTTATTTTGAAGTTCTTGTGTGTTCATTATCTCTTTTAATTGTCTCTTTTCCTTTAAATTAATTTCAAATTCTTCAAAATCTTTTGGTTTCTGATCAATTAATATCGAAGAACTTGACCTCTCTTCACTAAATTCTCTCCCAGAAAATTTAATTGAAGATTGACTTGCTGATTTAATTATCTTTCTTTGACTTTCCCATTCCTCTTTTCCAATTAAGTTTGCGCTAAAATCCCTTTTCTCGTGGATTAAAGCTTTAGATGAAAGGAAAGTTTTTTCTTGTAACTTTTCCTTTAAATTTATAGTTTCTATTTCTTCAGAATTTGGATGTTCCAAAAAAATTTGACTTTCAATTTTATAATCTCCAGCTGATTCTGTATTTATTTTTTCCTCTAACTTTCTTTTCTCTTTAATTTCAATTTCAAATTCTTCAAAATCTTTTGGTCTCTGATTAAAAGAAATAACCGAATCAAATCTAGTTTCAATAAACTCCTTCAATTTAATTGAAATATTTATTTCACTAGCTGATTTTTGTATTTTTCTGGTACTTTCCCATTCTTCTTTTCCCAGTAAATTTAAACTTAAATTTGAAGCTCTTAAATTGAAATTTATTTTTCCTTCTTGTTTTTCTTTTAATTTTAAAGATGTCTTTTCTTCGGCATTAGGTTTTTTAAAAATTATTTTCTCTTCAATTTTACAATCTTCAAAAGCATTTATTTTTATTTTTTCTTTTAATTGCCTTTCCTCTTTTATTTTAAATTCAACCTCTTCCCAGTCTTTTGGTCTTTGATTAATTGAAATAACCGAATCAGATCTCGTTTCAACAAATTCTCTTAAATTAGAAATAACTGATGATAAACTAGCTGATTTTTGAAGCTTTTTGGTACTTTCCCATTCTTCTTTTCCAATCAAGTTTACGGTAAAATCCTTTTTCTCGTAAATTGAAGTTTTAGTTGCTAAAAAGGATTTTTCTTTTAATTTTTCCTTCAAATTTAAATTTGTATTTTCATGGGTATATAATTTTTCGAAATTTATTTCCTTTTGTGTTTTGAAATCCCCAATTGCTCTTGTATTTATTTTCTCATTTAATTTTCTCTTCTTCTTAATTTCAATTTCAAAATCTTCAAAACCTTGTTGTTCACGATAAAAGGATATAACAGAACTTGCCCTTTCATGACTAAATTCCCTATCTTTAAATTTAATTGAAGACTGACTGGCTGATTTAATTATCTTGTTTGAGCTTTCCCATTCTTCTTTTCCTACAAAATTGGCTGAAAATTCTTTTAATTCTTGGATTGAGGCTTTAGATGAAAGGAAAGTTTTTTCTTGTAATTTTTCCTTCAAATTCTGATCAGCTTTCTCTTCACAAATTAGTTTTTCTAGAATCATTTGACTTTCAATTTTGAAATCTCCAGCTGATTTTGTGTTGAATTTTTCTACTAATTTTCGCTTCTCTTCTATTTTAAGTTCAAACTCTTCAGAATCTTTCATTCTTTGATTAATAGAAATAAACGAATCAGATCTCGTTTCAACAAATTCCCTTACTTTGAAAATAACTGATGATAAACTAGCTGATTTTTGTAATTTTTTAGCACTTTCCGATTCCTCTCCAAGAATTAAATTAGCAAAAAATTCTTTTTTCTCGTAAATTGGGACTTTAGTTTCTAAAAAGGATTTTTCTTTTAATTTTTCCTTCATATTCAAATTTGTATTTTCTTGGGAAAATAATTTTTCGAAATTTATTTCTTTTTGTGTTTTGAAATCCCCAACTGATTTTGTGTTGATGTTCTCTTCCAATTTTCTCTTCTCTTTAATTTCAATTTCAAATTCTCCCCAAATTTTTGGTCTCTGATCAAAAGAGATGTAAGAATCAAATCTCGTTTCCCCAAATTCTTTTATTTTGGAAATAACTGATGATTGACTGGCAGATTTAATTATTTTTCTATAACTTTCCCAGTCTTCCTTTCCAATCAAATTTGCTTGGAAATTTTTAAATTCCTCTTTAAATGTTTTTGTATTTATATTTATTTCTTCTTTTCTTTGTTCTTTTATTAATTTAGAGACTTCTGCTTCAGATTTTGATTTTTGAAGAGATTTTTCTGAAATAATTTTTTCATTTCCGGCAGATTGAGTATTTAATTTTTCTTGTATTTTATTCATGTCTGAATAGATAACTTCAATTTCCTTTTTATCTTTCAATTTATTTTCAATATAAATAATTGAATTTAATCCTTCTTCACTCATTTCTTTTGATTTAAATGAAATATTTGCTTGACTTTTTGATTTTTGTATTTCTTGAATATCCTCCAAATTTGTTTTTCCAATTAAGTTGACACTAGACTCTTTTTCCTCATAAATTGAGGCTTTAGTTAATAATAAAGTCGTCTCATCCCTTTTTTCTATCAAATTTAATGATTCTATTCTCTCATCTTGTAATTTTTCTAGAACTAACTCTTTTTGAATTTTAATATCTCCAGCTGCTTTTGTTTTGATTTTTTCTTCCAATTTTTGTTTCTCCTCAATTTTAAACTGTAACTCTTCAAATATTTCTGGGATCACCAGATTAGATGAAATACTTGGGCTTGTTTTTTCCTCAATAAATTCTTTAACAATAAATTTAGTTGAAGACTGATTAGGGGATTTTAATATTTTTCTACAACATTCATTTACTTTCTTTCCCCCTGACATTTCTACCTCTATTATTATATTATTCAAAACAATTTTTGATTTTTCTGTCCCAACTTTTGAATTTTCTACTATTCCCAAATTGTTTAATATTTCAATTCCCTCCTCTATCATTTCTTGATTTTCTCCCTCAACATTATATTCCCCTTCCTCCTTTTCCCATTTTTTTAAGTCAACAACAACCATTTCCTTTTTAACACCACCCAAATTTTTATTTAATATATCACCCTTTGTGCTTTTTTTGAACGCTTCTTTATTTTTTAAATTGCTTGAAATTATGTGTGGCGGTATAACTTCAATTTCCTCTAAAATATTTTTATTTATTTCCCAGTTGACTAATTTAATAATTTTTTCTAGCCTATAATTTTGTGATTTTTGTAAATTAAGTACAAAATTTTCTTTTTCTTCTTCATCCTTTTTAATTAAAAATACATTTACAAGCTTTATTTCTTCAAAATTTTTATTAATTTCCTTTTCTTCTTCCAATATTTCTAATCTTTCACCATTTAAATAATTTATTTGCTTCAAATTAATTTCTACTTCCTCAAAAATATTTAAATTTTTAATTAAATTAATTATTGAATTTACTTCTATTTTATTAAATTCTTTTATTTTTAATTCTGCCAAATTTTTATTTTTTAATTTATTTAATTTTGTAATACTTCCCCAGTCTTCTTTAATTGTTAAATTTATATTTACTTCGTTAAATTCATTTTTTGTTGATTTAATCGAAAATAAATATTTTTCTTTAATTTTTTCGTTAATCTTTATAAAAGCCTTCTTTTCTTCATTAATATTTTTAAAAATAAATTGAATATTTATTTCAGAATATTCTGATTCTTTTAAATTTATTTTCTTCTCTAACCGTCTCTTTTCTTTTATTTTCTCTTCAATTCCTCCAAAAATTTTTGGAAATTTTTCAATAAAAATTGTCGAGAAAATCTTTACTTTTTCCAATTCTTTAATTTTAAATTTAATTTTTAATTTATTTTTTTCTTTATTTAATTTTTTAATTTCCTCCTTTTCTTCTTTTCCAAATAAAATTATTTGTTGTAAATTGTAAATTAATTTTAAATAAATATTTTCTTTTAATTTTTCTTTTATTAATTTAAATATTTTTTCTTCACAATTTAATTTTTTATAAAAAATTGTTTCTTTAAAAATATTAATATTTTTGGAGGACTGAGTATTTAATTTTTCTTTTAATTTTATTTTGTCTAATAATGCTATTTCTTTTTGTTTTGAATATTCTGATTTTTTAGAAAAAGAAAAAATTGAAAAAGCAGAACTTGAAATATTTGTTTTGATTGAGGGATTTTGTGTTTTTCTGGTATTCTGGAAATCTTCGTCTTTTTTGAAAAAATTGAAAGATTCTTTTTCCTCGTAAATTGGGGGTTTAGTTGATAATTTAACCTTCTCATTACTTTTCCCCTTTAATATTGAAGATGAAATTCCCGCATCCTGTAATTTTTCCATAAAAACCCCTTCTTCAATTTTAAAATCTCCAGCTAATTTTGTTTTTATTTTTTCTTCCAATTGTCTTTTCTCTTTAATTTTAATTTCAACTTCTTCAAAATCTTTTGGTCTCTGATCAATTGATATCGAAGAAATTGCCCTTTTTTCACTAAATTCTCTACCAAAAAATTTAATTGAAGACTGACTTGCTGATTTAATCATTTTCTTTGAACCTTCCCAATTTTCTTTTCCTTGTAAATTTACTTGGAAATTTTTAATTTCTTGAGTTGAGGGTTTGAATTTTAATATAGACTTTTCTTTTATTTTTTCTTTCTGAGTAAATCCAATAATTTCTGGTTTACTTTTTTGTTCAAAATAAATATTTTGTCCAATTTTTAAATCCCCCATTTCTTTTGTATTTAATTTTTCTGTAATTTTGTATTTTTCTTTTAATTTTATTTCTGATTCTTCCAAGTATTCCTTCGGTTTTTCTATAAACAAAACAGAAGATGCTCGAGATTCAATAAATTCTTTTAATTTTAATGTTACTGAAGACAAACTTTTTGATTTTTGAATTTTTCTAGTACTTTCCCATTCCTCTTTTCCTACAAAATTGGCTGAAAATTCTTTTAATTCTTGGATGGAGGCTTTAGATGAAAGGAAAGTTTTTTCTTGTAATTTCTCCTTCAAATTCTTATCAGCTTTCTCTTCACAAATTAGTTTTTCTAGAATCATTTGACTTTCAATTTTATTGTCTCCAGCTGATTTTGTTTTGATTTCATCTTTTAATTTCCTTTTCTCTTTAATTTCAATTTCAAATTCTTCAGAATCTTTCGGTCTTTGATTAATAGAAATAACTGAATCAGATCTGGTTTCAATAAATTCTCTTACTTTGAAAATAACTGATGATAAACTGGCTGATTTTTGAAGCTTTGTAGCACTTTCCCATTCTTCTTTTCCAATAAAATTGGCAGAAAATTCTTTCTTCTCATAAATTGGAGCTTTTGAAGACAAAAGGGCTTTTTCTTGTAATTTTTCCTTTAATTTTAAGTCTGTCTTCTCTTGCTTATCTAACTGTTCAAAAATCATGTGACCTTCAATTTTAAGATCTCCAGCTGATTTTATTTTTTCCTCTAATTGTCGCTTTTCTTTAATTTTAAGTTCAAATTCTTCAAACTCCTTTGGTTTCTGATCAATTGATATCGAAGAACTTGCCCTTTCTTCACTAAATTCCCTGCCTTTAAATTTAATTGATGATTGACTTGATAATTTAATTATCTTCCTATCACTTTCCCATTCTTCTTTTCCAACAAAATTGGCTGAAAATTCTTTTTTCTCATGAATTGAGGTCTTTGATGAAAGGAATGTTTTTTCTTGTAATTTTTCGTTTAAATTCTTATCAGTCTTTTCCTCAGAATTTAGTTTTTCTAGAATTACTTCATTTCTAATTTTATAATCACTAGCTGATTTTGTATTTATTTTTTCATTCAATTGTCTTTTCTCTTTAATTTCAATTCCGAATTCTTCAGAGTCCTTTGATCTCTGATCAATAGAAATAAACGAATCAGACCTCGTTTCAATAAATTCTTTAATTTTAGAATTAATTGCAGATTGGCTAACAGATTTTATTATTTTTCTAGTACTTTCCGATTCCTCTCCAACAGTTAAATTGACAAAAAATTCTTTTTTCTCGTAAATTGAGGCCTTAGTTAATAAAAAGGATTTTTCTTTTAATTTTTCCTTTATATTCAAATTTTTATTTTCTTGGGCAAATAATTTTTCGAGATTTATTTCTTTTTGTGTTTTGAAATCCCCGGATGATTTTGTGTTGATATTCTTTTTTAATTTTCTTCTCTCTTTAATTTCAATTTCAGATTCGCCCCAAATTTTTGGTCTCTGATCAAAAGAGATGTAAGAATCAAATCTCGTTTCCCCAAATTCTTTTATTTTGGAAATAACTGATGATTGACTGGCAGATTTAATTATTTTTCTATAACTTTCCCAGTCTTCCTTTCCAATCAAATTTGCTTGGAAATTTTTAAATTCCTCTTTAAATGTTTTTGTATTTATTTTTATTTCTTCTTTTCTTTGTTCTTTTATTAATTTAAAAACTTCTGCTTCAGATTTTGATTTTTGAAGTTCGTATTTGATTGAAATAACCGAAGATTCTCTCTCTTCCCTAAATTCTCCTGTAATCGACGATTGTCTTGGAGTTTTCATTATTTTCTTAGAAATTTCCACTTCATCTTTTTCAGCCAATAATTCCTCCCCCTCCTTTTTATTCATTTCGATTTCAAATAATTGAGAATCTCCATATTTGGTTAACCATTCTTCAACTTTTATTTGACTATCAATTACTTTTTTTGGTTCATTTTTCACTACAGCTTTTATTCGAAGCACAAAATCTTTTTCTGATTCGAAAACTTTAGCATCAAATCCTAATATTTTTAAAGAAGGTAAAGTATGTGTTTGGTCTTTTAGTTCTTTTTCCTCTTCAGAACTAATTTCTGAAATTTCAGAATTTATTCCAACAGAATCCAAAGAAGAAGAACTTTTATTTTTCTCTTCGGGTATTTTAATAGTTCTTTCAGAAATTGGTGAAATTAATTGTTGATTTTGTTCAAGTAACATTACAGAAACTTGTAAAGACTCATCAGGATGACTAATTTGTAATAAATTAAAATTATTATTTTTTTCTTCTTCAAAATATTCTTCAATATTTTCTAATTTCTTCTCTAAAATTTCATTAGAAGCAAAATCTTTAGAATCTCTTTCTAAATAAATGGGAATATTTAATTCTTCAATAATTCCCTTTTCTTCAAAAATATTTTCGTTAATCTTTAAATATTCACTTTGAAGGTAAGATGTTTCAGTAAATCCAGAATCTGATCTTTTTTTAATAAATTCTTCATTATCTACTTTATTTTCCTTCATTTGACCCAGAATTTGTGTTTCAATTCCCAAACAGATTTTTACTTCCTCTTTAAATGATTTTAGCATTTCTTCCACATTTTGGGCCGAAAAATCATTCCTCGTTTCTGTAACCGAATTTTTGATAAATTTTCAAAAGAATCCCTTTAACTCTTTTATTTTTTTGAGAAATGTATCAAAATAATTACAAAAATAAAAATAAAGCAATAAAAAAATTTTTTGATAATTTTTTTATAATTTTACTCAATTTTTGGACTAATTTTATTTAGCGCACTTTTAGCACCTTTGAGCATTTTTAGCCTTTTTAGAATATTTTTCGCAATATATTTTTATTTTATATTTGGAGCTTTTACTCGCCTCTGCTGCTGCTTGGGGAGGAGACCGCGGGTATTTCTCTAAGTTCATACTTATAATTTTTAAAAATATTTCTTTATAAATTTGCCTACCAGTTTCAATTTCAACAGGTGCAGCAACATATTTATTGATGCTGACTATTTGTTCTTCTTTTTGTTCTTCCAAAACTTGTCCTTCCCAGCTTTTGTAAATTTTCTTCTTTTCTTCTATAGTCATTGTACCTTGGTCTTCTTGACAAGTTCCAAGTGTTTGGACGTACATTTCGGTTGTTAATTTTCTAAGTTCATCAGCTGAAACTGTCCGTATCAATTTTGTTGGACCTTCCATTTGAGTTTCTCCAATAGACATTTCTTGTCTTACACCAACTGATTTTGGCATTAATTGAATTTCTTCTGATGAAGTTATTTTAGAAGCAATCTCTCTAGGTGTTGATTCTGACTTTATAGTACGAAGGAGAGGTTTTTCTGCTTGAACAGCTTGATGTTTCTGTTCTGGACTTTCAGTTTGAGCTATTCTTCCTTCCATCCAAGGAGAAGCTTGAATAGCCTGGCAGCTTTGTTGTGGACCTTCTGATTGTGTTCCACGTCCAAATAGTTCAACAATCTCAGATTGAACTTCTCTCCCTTGTAATACAGTTTTATCCATTTGAGTACCCCTTGCTTCGAGAATTGTCTGTTCTGATTGTGTTGACATTTCCAATTGCTGAATTACTGGTGTTTGAAGTAATCGACTTGAAATAGTTGGTTTTACTTGTACTTCTTGTGTTACATGTTCAGGTACTTCCATTTGGACAGATTTTTCTCCAAGTGCAGGTCCAGCCTGTATAGTACATTTCCCAAGTACAATCTCTTCTACTTGAGTTTGTCCTGCAGCTTGTAGAACTTTTTCAGACTGAACTGCTTGGACCTGAAGTTTAGGTCTATCCATTTGGGTTCCTCGACTTTCTACTATTTCCTTTTCTGTTTGGAATTCTTTCCCTCCTAATGTTGGTTTTGCTTGTGTTTCTTTTGTTTGCTCTTCTTTTTGTACTGATTGGATTGTACGGTCAGTAATCTGTGTTATTTCTGACTGTGTTTCCTCTTCTTTTAGTTGTGTTAAATCAGTTTCACTTGTTTTTAATCCAAATTCTGGACGTGTTTGGAATGAATGTATATGGCGTATTCCAACTTCTGATTGAACGGCTCGAACTTCTGTTTTAGGCATTTCTACTGTTTGTATTGTCCTCTCTTCAGTACTTGCCCTCGGTGATTGTAAATCTTTAGATAACATTTCAGGCTGTCCCTGTACTGATTTGGCATCTCTTTTTGCCCTTTCTGATTGTACAGATTGTGCTCTTCTCTTTGGAAGTTCAATTTTTGGTTGTTCTACTTCAACCGTTTTTGAACCTGTTGGAACTTCTTGTGTTTGTATAGCCATTAATTGTTGCTCTATTCTCTGTGCTTGTGTTGTTCGAGCAGTAAGAGAAGGAAGATTTACACCAATTGTTTTTCCTCCCTTTTTTATCATTTCTTCTGTTTGAGAAGCATCTTCTTTATTTTCTTGTTTAATTTCAACAGTTTGTACTTCCCTTTTATTTAATTCTTGTTTTGCTTGAATTTCTTTTGTTTCTGTTATTTTATCTTCTGTTTGAGAAATTCTTTCAAATTGTTCTGTTTTAAGTACTTGTATTGACTTATCTCCTAAAGAAGGTAATTCTACTCCTATAGTTTTTTCTCCAATTAAAGGCTTTTCAGATTGAGTATATTTTATTTGTTCTTCTTTTAGTGTTTGAACTGAACGAATTTGTTTGGGTTGAGGTAATGCTTGAACAGATTGTTGCCCTATCTTTGGTTCTTCTTCCATTTGTGTTGACTTCCCGATCATTTCTTTTTGTTCAGTTTGTATAAATGCACCAAGTAATTGAGGCTTTTGAATTGTTTCAATTACTTGAATTGTTCTATCTTCTCTCCAAGGCTGTTCTAATTGAATAGATTTAGCTCTTTTTGGTGGTCCTTCAACTTGAATATCTCTTTGGGCTATTTTCTTTTGTTGTTCAAATGTCGAAATAGATGGTATTGGTTGTGGTTCCGGTAAAGATTCTACCCAAGTTGCGCTCGCTTTAATTGATTCAGCCAAACGCGCATCGCTTTCTTTTGTTGTTGGAAGTGCCACAAAATGGGACACAGCAAAACGTTGTTTCTCAGATTCGTGAATTGTGGTGCTGGTGCTTTGGTGAACAAAAACACTCTCGAGGGGAGAAACAGCGCGAGGCGAGAGAGGCGGAGGAAGCGGCGGCAGCCGCTCCTCTAGGCCGGGCGGAGGGGCCGACCAATGAAAACGAAGCTCGGAACCTGATGAAATAAATTTTAAAAATTGTTTTATTTTTTATTAGAGAGACCAATTAAATTATTTTTTTAGTCCAAAATTACCCAAAAATGAAGAATGCTCTTATTTTTGCATTTTTCTGAATTTCATTTAATTTAAAAATAATTTTAAAGAAATTTAAAATTATATACACTTTTTTACTCTTTTACGCTTCGATTTCCCCTCCGCCCGTTAATTTCTACTTTTTCTAGCTTCTAGCTTTCTACTAAATATTTAAAATAGCTTTCTAATTTTTTTCTATTTAAAAAAAGTTGCATCTAAAAAAGCTTTTTCTACTAAAGCTTTCTGCATTTTTGGGTAATAAAGCTTTGTGATATTAAAAAAGCAGGAAATTTGTTAATATGTTTATTTTTAATTTCTAAGTGAAAATTAATAGAAATCTAATTAAATTTTATTTATTTACACGGCAATTTACGTACAAAAATTGTTAAAGCACTCGTGAAAAAAAGAAAACGTTAGAAGTTGAGGAAAAAGATTCTTTTTGACTACCTGAAACAGAGTATCCCCAATCTGCAGTTGTTTGTTCTCCCATAGCGCTTCTATGTTCCATCAAAACAGAACAATGTTCATCTTGAATAGAAAATTCACGAATATTTTGACGAATCTGCAAAAAGAAAGAAAAAATTAAATTAAGAAATTGTTTAAAAATTAATATTTTCCATATTTCTGTTATGTAAATAAATTTCCAAATTTCCGGTTACAGTTACTACAAATTACCCTCAATATAATATATTTACACCTAATTGTTTTTTTAAATATATTTTTTTAATTTGAGAGCTACATATCTAACATAAACGATACTTCCAATATGTATAAACGCAATATAACAAAAACTCTAATAATTTCTATTAATATTTTTCCCAAAAAAATTCAAAATTAAAATAACCATATCAATTCTAGGCAATCTAATAGGTCTAGATTCAACACTAAATTGTGAATTTTCATATTCTTTTCTTTCCAAATGAACATGTTGAGTTAATTGAGACATTTGTTGGGCTATTGTATTGAATTGATGTCCATGTGATTCTCTTCTTTCATTTAATATTTTAAATACATCTGGAGCTACTAAAAGACGTCCAGAAGCTCCTGAATAAATTTTGTAAATAATTGTAAATATTATTTTAGTTTATAAAAAGAATTGTTTTTACACATAAATATTATTAAAATATTTTTAAATTAAAAATCCCTCCTAAATAATAAGTGTCTCTTTATTGTCCTTTGATTTCCCAACACCTTTGATTTCCCAAAAATTTCTTTCTTAAGTAGGCAAAGGTATTTTATTTAATTAAAATTTTTAATTAATTTTAAAATGTCAAAGTTCCTGGAATATTTTCGTAATTTCAAACAAATTTAAAATCTCCGGCCTTCGATTAAATTTCTCTACATACAAATATTAAAAACTAACCAATACTCAAACTGAGATTTACATTTTCTGAAATAAATTCTGTTGCAAAGAAAGGAGCAATTCTTTCAATATTTATTGCTTTATTTAATTTTTCTGTTAAAAAATCTCTTTTTCGAATATCACTTTCGAAAGCACAAAATAGTGTTATTTGTGATGATTGTTGGGCAATTGTATTAAAATTAGCAATTAAATTATTTGAACATTTTTGGATTATTTCAGAACGGGCCTTTAATTTAAATTTATGTAAATTTAAAAAAGGGTAGAAGACAAATAACTACATACTTCTTCAATTCTTTCCTTTTCAATTGTTTTCATAAATTCCATTGCTTCATAAAGTTGTTTTGGACGTTCAAAGGCTTTTAATGACGGTAAAGGAATAATATTCCATTTATTATCACAAACAATAGTTAATTCAAAAGAGCCTTTATCTTCTTTTCTGACCATATTAACATGAGTAATTCCTCCACCTGAAAAATAAAGAAATTATTGGTTAAGGACGGAAATAGGTTCCTTTCCCTTCCAAACTTGTTAAGTTTTCTTGTTATTTACTGAAACTACTACTTAATTATTATGAAAATTAATTATTATCAGTTATTAATTTTTATCAATTAGCAGAAAAGTATCTTCAAAAACATTTTTTCTCACCAGCTCTTTCTTCGTAATCAATTGAAGTTTCAGATTCATAACGTTTCATTGGACGTAATCTATCCATTCCTTCAAGTAATTGTCCGCTCATTTCCATCGAATATATTCCTTGTTTAGGTTCTGTTGTTGTTGTTGCCCCATAAGAAGAAACACTAGATTCTTCAGAATATACACGGCCCTGAGTACGAAGAAAAGCTCGGCCTTCGTGGTGTTGACCAGCTAATTGATAATCAAAGGAAGTCCCCAAAGCCTTAAAGAAAATTTTTTTTAAATCAAAAAATTTATTCTTTTTAATTGCCTCATGAACATTTATTTCCTTTCTTTGTTGTTCATGTAACCGTTCATGTACTTGCAAAAGTTGTTGAGGTAATTCTGTAGTTACTTCAATTCTTGGAGGTGCATTAATTAATATGGGAGGTGTTTCTGTTAATTCAAGACTTTCCTCTGATTCAAAACTTTAATTAAAAAAAATTTCTTTAAAATTTTGTAATTCCCCCTTACCGGCTTGTTTTAGCTAATCTAGTTATGTCATGATATCTTCTTCCCTGCCTTTCATATCCATAACCAGCAGCCATTTGTTGTTGTTGTATACGCCTTCTTTTAGCTTTATGTAAACGTAAAATAATAGTTAAATGTTGAAGTAATGGAACAGCAATATAAACTTCCATTAAAGAACGATCTTCTCTTCGTTGTAATTCGCAATCAACCTATTGAATTTTTGGGAAATTTTTTAAAAGAAATTTTTGTTTTTACAAGAGCTGCAGCCTCAGGTGGAGGTTTAGGTGCAGATTCAATAGATTCTTCTGACATTTCTTCTGCAGCTCTATGTTGTATACCAATCCTAGCTTTATCTTCAAATAACCGCCCTTCCTGCATTAAACGAATATCTCTACGTTCTAATTCTTCTGGTTCAAGCTGGTCTATATAGACACGACTTTCTAATTCTATTGGGCCTTTAAATAAAAAAGAAAAAATATTTATTTAAAAAATAATTTACCTAATTCACTTAAATGGTCGGATGCTGATTCATAAGCAAATTCTTCGACTGGTGGTGCTAACATTGTGGGTAACTGGACGGGGGCTGGTTGCTCCTCCTCCTTTGGAGCAGCTAGTCCAATTCGATAAGTCTTTACAATATCAGTTACATCCTCTATACATTCAATCTCAACACGAGTAACTGCCGTAATTTGCTCTTGAGAATCATCTAGCGATGCCAAATCAGAAAGTAAACGTTCACTTAATTTAGCCAAATAATCTGGTTTGCTCTAAATTAAAAAAATATTTTTTTAATTCCTCTCATTTTTTCAAACAATATTTTCTGGTAATTGAATATCTGCTTCGTGTGTTCCAATTTCTTTTCCATCCTCAAAAACTGAAAGTCGGTAAGTACCACTTGAACGGACCGTTGGTGGTCCTTTCCCTCCATCTTCCCCAATTTCAGTTTTTTGTATTTCTTCAATTAATAATTGCCTTTTACCTTTAAAATAAATTAAAATTTCAATAATCAAAAAAGAAATATATTTACCAATAATTGTTCGAATTCTATAATGTGTTAATGTATCTCTAACTGTATATGCCTTGGCTATTTCGTGATCACAACGAATTAAATGTGATCCAACAGATTTTTCCATTTTTAATTTTCCTTCAACTGTTGTTTTTACAACTGGGGGTAATGGTCTCTTTTGTTCTGTTTCGAGTACATGTTCACGTTCTACATGTCGATGAATAAAAATATGATCTGGTCCTTCATCTATTTATTTTTTTAAATTAATTTAAAACTAATAAATAACCCCCATCAATAACATTTTCTTCTTCTTCTCTTTTTCCATTCTCAGGCCCAGGCCGGTGGCCCTCCCCTCCTCCAGCTACAATTCCACTCTCAAATTGTTCAGACATTGTTGGTATTTGTGGCCATGGTTGACCAGAAGCAGGTCGAGTCAATCCAGCAAAAGGAGCAGTGGAACGACGTCCTCGAGCAGCAGCTCCAGTCGTCGCGCTTACTGTATCTGGAGAGATTTCTCGAGTTATTGGTGTTTGTTGTTGTTGGCGCGAAATAAATTGTTGAGGAACACGAAAACGCTATAAAAACATTTTTTAATAAACTAAAATTTATTTTGCCTGCATCTGACTTGTAGAGGCTGCTTTTTGCACATTACGACCGCCAGTAAATTTATTAAAAGAAACTGGCTCTTCAGAAAGTCGTAACAAGTCCCGGGCTGCCTCATCCAAAGCAGCCCCCGCCTCTTCTGAACTAGCTGAATGTTGTGGACCTCCACCGCCAATACCTCTTTGCCATTGTTTTGTTGGAGTACCCCCTAGATTTCCTATACGAGTATTTACTGTTGAAGTTTTCTTTAAAAGAAAAAAAATATTTAAAAAATTTTAAAAAATTCTTTTGCCTGTTGTGGATGTTGTGTTGGTGGTTGATAAACACCAAAATTCCCTCCAACCCTTGTATTACTTCCAAGTTGTGGTATTGTATAAAGGGATTGAGAAATTGTTTGTTGTTGTTTTTGACTTGGAATTTGATGCAAATGGACTCGGGTCTTTAAAAGAAAAAAATTTTTAAAAATTTTTTAAATAAAATAATTATTGCCTGTTCACTCTCACTCCTTTGTTGTTGTTGTTGTGGAAATGCAAAAAGTGCTTGTTGTTGTTTTAATAAATCATGATCACCAAATTTAACTGTTTTAGGTGACAATGGAGCGCTTACTATAAAAGAATATTTTGGCAATATTTTTAACAAAAAGTTAAAGAATTTTATGTCTCCAAAATATTAATCCTTTGATAAAAAAATCTTTTTATTTTACCATTTCTTTGTTGTTTCCAAGTCTGTTCTAATTCAGTATAATCCCCATCAATAGAACATTCTAAAGGTTGTTGTTTATGAACAAAAGATATTTGTTGTTGTTGTTGAGGTAATACTTTACGAGGTCGAGGTATTGGTTGTTGTTTAGGGGAAGGTTGTTGTTGTTGTTGATTATTTAAATCTACAGTTACCCCTCCAGAACGTAAAATTTTCTTTAAAAATAAAATTTTAAAATTAAATTTAAAAAGAAAAGAAAACATGTAAAAATCCAGCAGGTCTTTGTAGAGGGGGTGTTTGTTGGATTTGTTGTAAAGGGGGAGGTGCTGATCCAAATGGACGCCTAATTGGTTGTGGTGGTTGTTGATATTCTATACCTACATCTCCTCCACTAAATAAATTAATTTTGAAATGTTTACAGACATAATTTAACAATATACAAAATAATTAATTTAAAAAATGCCAACTATAACTAATTTTAGACTTTCCCCTACTTTGTATTCCCATAAAACATTTGTTTTAATCCACGACGCATTTTGCTAAATGGCACTCCAGGTGAAGAATACCTACAAAAAATTAATTTAAATTAATTTCTAGGTATGATAAAAAATAATTTCTTTCAATATTTTCAAAAAAGATCAGAATATTTTTTTAAATTATTAGATAAGTAAAGAAAGAGAGAGAGATTAGGAGGATTTTTTCCACAACCTTTACCAATAAATAATTCAAAAAATTATGTTTAATTTTATAAAAAAAATTATTTCAAACTTTTCCTCTTCCTCCTCTTCCTTCTTTTCATTATTTCCTCCTTCAACCTCCTTTTCTTCTTCTTCTTCAAATTTTCTTCTCTTCATTTCCCTCCCTTTAGGTAATTTCCCCAACATTAATTGTTTTAATTCTTCTAATTCATTTGTATCATCCAATCGAAGGGAAGATTTTGAGGCTATAGAAGAATATTGAGGATATAAATGTACAGAAATAGCTCTAGGTCTTTGTTCTGATTTTAAAAAATATTCTGTGCTTAATTGTGGACTGTTAGGGGCTGTTTTGGGTATAAAACTTTCTTTTAATTTAAAAGCATTTTCTGAAGTAAATTTAGCTAAGGACTGTTTTAAACATTCAATAACTGCTTCGTGTCTAGAATTGTTGCTTTTTGTTGCTTTAATTATATTTTTTAATTTGGAATGTTTTTGCTTAAATTTTTCAAATTCATCATCTACTAATAATTCCTCCTCCTCCTCCTCCTCTTCTTTATTTTCTTCCTTTTTCTTCTTCTAATTTTTTAATTAAATATTTTTAATACTTTAATATATTGCCTTATTTTTTGATAAAAAAACTTTTTTTTATTTATTTCACAAAACACAATAGATGATTAATTTATTTAATCTATTCTGTTAACTTCGAGAAATCGACGTTAATCGAATGAAATTTTTTAGAAATTCTCTAGCCAACTATTCATCCAACAAACAACTTTTTGTATTTTTATTTTCCAAAAAAAATTTAAGGCAATATATTTTCAGTATTTATTTATAGGGTTGTCGGTTTTTGGAAATTCTTCGGATATCCGAAACCGAACCGAAAAATCATCGTTTCTTCGGTTCAGTTCGGTCCAGAATCGACAATCCTATTTATTTACCATTAAATTATTTATTTCTTGTAATTGTTCTTCTATTAATTCAATTCTTTCAGCTCGACTTTTTCTCCTTTTAATTATTGAAGGAGGTTTAATTAATTTAATTGTGGCACTTGTAGATACTTCATTTCCCCCTTCCCTTCTTTTCTCCAAAATTCTTTTATTAATTTCTTCCCTCTTTTCTAGCCATTTCCTCTTTTCTAATTCAAAAATTGAATTTATTTTCCTAACTTCTTCATTTGGCGGATATTTAGATATTTGTCCAAAATTGTGGGGTCTTTCCCATTTTTTCGAAATTCTTTTTAAAATTTTTGGGGACAAAGATTGCTGTTTCCTCTTTATTTTTAAAGATTCTTTTAAAAAATTATTTTCTCTTTCTTCATCAGATCCACTTAATTTAAATTCTTCTTCAGAAAAATAAGCTAAAGGAGCAGCATTTTTATTATCAAAACTTTTACTAAAATTTCTAAAAATTCCTTGTTGTTTAAAATAAAAATCAGAAATTGAAGAACTTCTTCTTTTAGCTAATTTAACCCCAATTTTATTTTGTAATCTTCTTTCTTCTTCTTCCCTTTTATTATTTTTAAATAAACAAGGTAAACAACAACAACAACAACTTTTACATTCACAACATTTGGAATTAATGTTTTGTTGTTTTGGAGGAAGTTTGGAAGAGGATTTTATATGAGACATTTTATTTTTAGAGGAATATTTAAAATGTTTTTTATTAAAATAATAAGCTAATTAATTAATTATTTTAATTATATGCCAAAAATTAATTTAGAGGTTATTTAAATATCTCTTAAATTTCTGTTTAGAAATTGTAAATTAATTTAAAAATTTATTGAAGGAAAATAAATAAAAATAAAATAAATATATATTTAGAATTATTTTGCTTTTAAGAAAGGGAAAAAATAGTTTTTGTCAACCTTTCCATTGTTTTCAAATTTTAGCTAATTATTTACAAAACTTTTGCGCGAAAAATAAAGGAAAAAAAGAGAAACTAAAATCCATTACATATTTATATATTTTTAAATAAATAAACATAAATAACGAAAATCAAGTCAGTCAAGTCCTCATTACAAGATTTACCCTACCTTAATTTATTTCAAATTTTAATTGTCAACATTATGTTTCGGAAACCAACCTCTGCTCGAAACTAACAATTTAACTAGTTTTTCTTGAAAAGTTATATCTTTTCCGTTGCATATATATCAGAGATGGGAGATGGGGGGAGGGAGAGGTTTCGAAAGCCGAAGTTTTTTTGTCCTGAAACCGACCCGAAAAATTCTCGAACACCCTATCCAAACCCCGCCCGACTTTTTTTTCTCAGTCTGGCCATATATACATTTAATAGATAAAAATATTTCGCAACATATTTAATGTATTAAGTACGAGTTTTTTCTAGTAATAAAAAATAAATCGAAGACGTTGACTGGATTTTCGAGAGTAGCAAAAGATTTAAGCATTTAAAGTAAAAGAAATGATCAACAACATATGTGTATATTTATTTATGTACAAATAACCCTTTGCGCATAAGAAAGAAAAAAAAAGATTTTCTAGTGGGTTAAAGGAAAAGCCTCAATTGAATTGAAAGTTTTTTAAATAAATTAAAGAGTTTTTTCTTTTAAATAATATTAGCTGAAGGTAATTAATAGAATACGAACCAGACTCTAACTAGGGTTGGACCCAATTCAAACCTTCACATTTTAAAGAAAATTAGTATCAACCCGACCCGAATCCATATAAAAATGAAAACTCCTGATTAGAGCCCTAAAATTCGAAAAGTTAGAATTTTAGTAATTACTTAGACAATGAAAATTAAACAAAAGATAAAAATAATTAGAAAATTCTTTTAGATATTTGTACTTGACAAAAATAACTTAAATCTATTTTCAATTTATTTAAAATATTTTTGTTTTTTCGGTTATTTTTTGATAATACATATACTAGAATAACAAAATCAGAAAAGAATACATAGATAACGATTGTTAATTTACATATACATACTTATAAAGACTATCTTTTTTGAAAAAAATAATAATTTTGGATAAAAGTTGTGGATTTTTTGGTGATTTAAATTAAACAAAGAAAATTAAATTATTTTAAACAAAATTTTATATATTTTTTACCTTTTTATTGTCCAATTTTCTGTTAAATAATTTTCGTTGTTTTTTGTTGTTTATTAACAACAAAATTATTTAAATAATATTGAGAAGAAGCCGCCGGCCTGGGCTCTTTTCTGCCTTTTTAAAGTTTTGTAAGAAGGTTGGAAATATATAGAAGTTAACTAAACTAGCTAAAATTAATTAAATAAATATTTTGAAAAAAAAATTATTAAATAAATCTATTTATTGATGGCCGTTTTATGAAAATTGAATAAACATCAAACAGTAGCTGATTTTAATTATTTAATCATTTTCGTAAAAATGGTTGTAATTACTTTCTGTAATTTTTAAATTACAAATAAAATTTAAAAAATTTTTTTTAATTTAGAACAGGATACCCAATTTCAGAAAAATCTTTTCATAATCAAGAGAAATATAAAAAATAATATATATATTATTATATTATTTTTATTTTGTTTTTGATTTTGCTAAAGTTTAGAATGTTAAGGAGAATAGAAAATAATTATTTGGTGAATTTTTAGAGTAATATTATTTTTATCTGTCAGGTGGCTATTAGTTGGTCAGATTGAGAGATTTTAATTTGACAAATAAATATTTTTATATATTTTTCTTCTTTTTTATTATCTCAAAGCTTTTCAACAATTGATTATTAAAAAAAGAAATGTTAAAAATAAAATAAAGTTTCTGACAATATTTAGTTAGTAGTGGCTAGAGTAATGAAAAAAATTAGAAAAAAATTTTATATAGCCAGATATCTTTTTTTCTCTCCCTTCTCTTTAATTTATTTTATTTAATAATACTAAAAAATATTTATTTCTACTTTCAATTTCTTGATTTTTAAATTGATCAATGACAGACGTTGTTGGCTATTTTATTCTTTTTCTTATTATTAAATAAAAGGGAGAGATAAAAAGCCTTCCTTTATTTTTTAATATTTTTTGCTTGAGACAAAAAAAAAGTTTTTAAAAGTTTACTTGATGGACAACAACAAATACCAACTGTTTTTAGTACCAAAAAATAAGAAAATGTTTTTTTGGAATAAAATCTTTTTAGCAAAAAATATTTGAAAATTTTTGTGTGTAAACAGGTGGGTGGGTGGGTAGACAGACGTGTTTTGTTATTTTATATATACCTATATTAAATGTCCTATTAAAAGTATAAAAATTTGTGTTTGGGTGGAGACATTATTAGTAGTTTTTCGTCATAAAAATTAAAAAATCTGGAAATAAATTTATTCAAATTTTATAGGAAAAATAAATTTTAATTTTTATAAAATCTAAAATAAATTAATTATTGTTAAAAATCAAAAGAGAATTTTAAAAAATAATTTTATTTTTTATATATGGATTATTAGATTTTGTTTAATTAATTTTTCGCTAAATCAAAACTGTTTTCTGCCGGTTATCAGAACCTACTAAAATTACTAACAACTTTTGCTGAGATGGAGACCAATCACCAATCGAGTACCTACTATCGACAATTTTCTCTTCTGTTTTATTTATTCCAAAAACAATTCCCAAATTTATTCAAAATTTATTTTAAAAAAATTCTAAATTTTTAATTATTTAAATTAAATTTATATAATTGCAGGTTTTTAAAAAAGAAGAAAAAAGAAAAAGTTGTTTCTTTCTGTCTACATATTTTATCGCGCAATTATTGGTCAGCAATTTCTCTCCACGATTATAATTATTTAACACTAAAAATATTTTTTATTTTAAATTTTTTTCTTTTTATTTCTCGTTTATTTATTTATTGTTTAACATTTTCATTTACACACAAAAACTTTTTTTTCTAAAACAATTTTCTTTATTTGGAGACAAGAAAATTTAACATTAAATAGAGAAAAAGCCTTTTTTGGCTTTTTTTATTCTCCGAATAATTTCCTTAATTTTTTCATTCTATTTGTATGTCAAAATTAAAATTTATTTTTTTAATACGTAAAAAGGAATTAATTATTAATTTTTATTAATAAATTGTATGTACATATTTTAAATAAGGATATTGCTTAAAAATAAATTGAAATTATATTCTAAAATTATTTTTATAAAAAATATTCATTCTTAATATTAAATTATCTGTAAAATTCTTAAATTTTCTAGCTAGTTTTTAATGACTTTTTACATAAAAAATTATTTTTATATTTAAAAATTAACTAAAAAGGTGTTAAATTAAGCGTATTAAAATTGTGTAATTATTAAAGGACAATTAAAATGATTTTATTTCTTATTATTTTTTAAAGATGCTCTTTAGAGAAATTTATATTCATTTTAAATCTTTAATTTTTTGACTAAATTATTTTATTAATTTTCAAGGACATTAACTATTTTTGTCTAATTCTTATATTTATTATTATCTAAAATATGTCATCTTCAGAATCTGTTTTTTCTTCTTTTAATATCCTAATTCCAAACATTCTTTATTCCTTTATTTTTTTCCTCAAAAATATATCTTTTTTAATTTTTATTTTATATTTTTATTTTAAAAAAGTAAAAATGTTGCAACAACAACAGATGTTTATTTGTTTGTATACTATTTGCCAAAATTAAATAGAAACCTGTCAAATATTTATTACCCGTATCCAATAGAGATGTTTAAAAAGAGAAGGGTTTCCTAAAAGAATATTTTTACAAAAATTAATTTAAAATGAAAATATTCAATTTAAATAAATATTAAAAGAGATCAGAACGAAACTAGATCTCGGATAAAATGTTTCGGTTGAGTCGCTATTTTTTGAGATATCGAGTTCAATTCTTGTACGTATAAAATTTTTAATTTTGATCTCGTTGGAAGCAAAAAATTAAAGCCTTTGAATCTTAAAAGTTTATTTTTCGTGTTTTTTATATTTATGTTTTGTGTTTTAAACAAATTTTTTCTGATATTTTGTTTACACAAAATTGTTAAAAGTAGATATATTTTTAAAATTTTTTCTTAAATTAGTTAAAATCAAAATATATTTAATTTTTTACAAAGCTAATTTTAAGGATTTAAAAAATTGTAATATAATAGGAAAATATTTTTTTCTAAAATTTTTTGAATAAAACAAAAAATGTTTTATTGGTCTTTTACATTTATTTTTTAATTCATTTTTTTCCCTCCTAATATCATTAATCCCCAGCCTAAATATCATTAAAAAAATTATTTTAAATTTAATTATGTTGTTTTTTTCAAAATAATTTTAAAAATTAACAAAAAAAAATATTTATTTTCTTTAGATATTCTAAATAAGGAGATAAACTAACTTTAAATACTAAATATTTTATATTTTTGGTTCAATTTTTAATTAAAATATTTATTCCTTTTTTATCAGAAAATTTCCCTCTAACAATTTTTTTATATTTCCGTTCCCACAATTTTATTCTTTTTTTCCAATTTATTTATTTATTCAAGATAATAAAATTATTTTTGAAAGGGCCAAAAAACTTCTCCAAATATTTTTTTAACATTTTTTAAATTTCTTTTTTTTATATTTATTTACCCCCCCCCCTTCCTCACCCAATTATTTTTAATCTTTATTTTATAAAATTTTTTATTTCTTTTTTTATTTAAACAAACAAATTGTTTATACATATTAAATTAAAACTTTAAAAAAATAAAAATAAATTAATTAAACAAATATTTGTTTAAAAAAATTTAAGAAAAAAATTTGTTAACATTTTGTGACTGAAAATGAACAAAAAATTATTTTTAAAAATTAATTGTGGTTAATTTAAATTAATTTTATTTTTAATTTTTTAGTTTAGGATAACTGATTTAATTTATTAAAAATTAATTTTAATTTCTCATTTATTTAAAAATTAACCATATCTTTCCAATTAATTACCATCCTCAGCAAAAGACTGAAACAATGATTACCCTGGGTATTTGAGTATTAAATTATTTTTGTAGAAATTTAAAAAAGAATTTTTTGACAAAAAAATTATTTATTACATACATAAATAATCAACAAATATTTGTGTCCTTGTAAAATTTTTTGGGGGTATTCATTCTAAGGGAGGAATAACATAAAATAAGGAGAGAAAGAGGGAGAAAATTAATAAAAGAATTAACATTTTTATTTAACAAATATTTTTTACATTTTTGCATGATAATAAATAAATAAATATTTAAATAACATATGTTTGTAGTATGTAATTATTTATTTATTTTTGTTATTAAATATTTAAACAAAAAATAATAATAATTAATTTTTAGTAAATATTTTTATTATTTTAATTTAAATTAAATAATTTCTTTATTTTATTTTCTAAGGTAGATTTTCTATTTTTCACTTCCAAAAATATAAAATTATTATTTTTTCTTTTCTTTTACTTGTCAACCAAAATAAGCGAAAGAAAAATAAAATTCGAAAAAATTTCGAACAAGGTCAATGTTTGGGGTTTTTCAATAAAACCCTTTCCTAATTTTCTGATCTTGCAGACTCCTCTTCCTTTGAATGGGATAAAATACTTTTAAATTTTTGGAAGAAAAATATAGAAAAGTGAATTTAAAATTTAATTCTTTCTTTTTTTATTTTAATCTAATTTTTAATTTAATTTTAAAAAAAATTAATTTTTCCAGAATAAATGAGTCCACATAATATTCATTCAAATAATACATCTCCCCGTCAATCAACAGAAGAACAAGAGAAAGAACAAAAAGTATTAAATAATAAAAAAGAAGAAGAAATTAATATAATAAATAATAATAATCAATTAATAATTAATGGAAAATTAAATAATAATTTAAATAAAAATATTGAAGAAGAAAAGGATTTTAATAATGATAATAAACAAAAATCAACACAAAGACGTTTATACAAAGCTGATTCAAATCCACCTATTCCTTTAACTTTTCTCTTTGGTTTACAAGTAAATTTAAAATATAAATATTTTTAATTAATTAATAACAAGATTTTTTAATCGGCCAAATATAAATATGTAATTAGCCCTTTAGGTGGCTGAAAAGTCATTATAGTGTCTCTCATAAATAAGGCTTATCTTTAAAGGATATCGGTTAATAAAAAATTTAATTTTGAGAGTAAATACAAACTACATAAATGTCATTCATATTCTATTTATTTAAGCAAGTAATGGTCTCTGTGTCAGTTCTTGTTTCAATTCCAATACTTATTTCTGATTTAATCTGTCCTGGGCGAGATAGAGACCAATTAAGAGTTCGTTTAATTGCCGGTACTTTTGTTGTTTGTGGAATAGGGACAATACTTCAAAGCGGGTTTGGACTTCGACTGGCTCTTTTACAAGGAGTTGCTTTTGCTTATATACCTTCGGTAGATTTTTAGAGTAATTAAATTTAAATTAATCTTTCAAAAAAGGTAAGAGCATTTATGAGCCTTCCAGAATATAAATGTTTAGCTTCTGTTGATGATTTTGTCCCAGCAGAAGTTTATGAAAATAAAATGACTATGGTAATTAGTAGAAAATTAATAGAAAATAGAATTGTTTTTAAAAAAGATTCAAGGAACTTTAATGGCTTCTTCTTGTGTTACAATGCTTATAGGGGCTACTGGCTTAGTTGGAATAATGACTAAAGTAGGTTGAAATAACTCTTAGTTTTTACTAAATAATAATTTTAAAGTATATTGGGCCAATGACTGTTTCCCCTTTATTAATGTTAATGATGCTTTCTTCTGTTAAAATTACTGTTGAACGAGTTGAAAAACATTGGATATCCCTTGTGTATGTTTAAATAAACTTTTGGAATTAATTAAAAAAAGAAATACTTCAACAATATTATTTTTATTTAAGATCGAGTCGAGAAGGAATTTCTTTCAAAAATTTGGTTATCGAGAATCAGGAGTTTTTGAGATATTTTCTAGATCTAGCTAGATTTTCTGAGATATCTACACCTCAAGTTTACTCTGTAATCTTCCAATTCTTCCGGTTAAACGAGAAACTTTCCGTAGATTAATTTCTTATTGAGATCATACATATTGTAGGTTTGGGGCGGGACAAAACGGGACGAATTACCGAACATTTTTCGATTCGGTTTTCGATTCCTGATATCCAAAGATTTTCCAAAAACTAACTAACAACCCCTAAAAACATATAAAATTTTCTACTACAATTTTTTAAAATATTTTTATTTATTTAGAATGGCAGCTTCTTTATTTGCCACAGTTTTATACCTTTCACGTCTTCAAGTCCCTTTTCCTGGTTATAGTAAAGGAAAATTTCGTTGGTATCGTTTAAATGTATTTGGACAATTTCCGGTAATTCATAGTGAAATAAAAAGGAAAAAATTGTTTATTTATCAGTATTTAACAGCAATTCTCTTTTCTTGGGGTCTTTGTTTTATTTTGACAATATTTGATTTAATACCAAAAGAAAGTGTTGCTAGAACAGATAAACCGGCAACTTTAGATGCTATTTATAATTCTCCTTATGCCCGATTTCCTTTTCCAGGTTAAACAAAAATAATTTTTTAAAAATTCCCCTTCTAAAGGCCAATTTGGTTTTCCAAAATTTAATATTGGTTTGTTTGTTGGATTTCTTGTTTCTGCCCAAACAACTTTATTTGAAGCTGTTGGAAATTATCATGCTGTTGCTAGTGTTTCTGAGGTGATTTTTGAATTAAAAAGATTTTCAAAATATTTTTATTTAAAGGAACGTCCACCTCCCTCACATGCTTTAAATAGAGGAATTATGGCTGAGGGCCTAGGATGTTTTATTTCTGGTTTGATAGGTCCGGGAGTTGGTATAACTACACACGCAGAGAATGTTGGGGTTATTGGAATAACTAGAGTAGCTAGTAGAGTTACGATGATTTTTGGTGGTTGTACTTTAATTGCTTTTGGGGTAAAAATTGGGAGGAAGAAATTAAATAAATTTTAAAAAAAGGTTGTAACAAAACTTGGAGCTATACTTTCTGCAATTCCAGATCCTTTAGTTGGCGTTGTTTTAAGTACTTCTATGGCTATGGTTTTTGAAAAAAATATTTTTTAATAAAAATAATTTAAAAGGTTGGGGGTGTTGCTATAGCTAATGTCCAAACTGTTGATTTAAAATTAACTAGAAATGTTGCCATTCTTGGGTTTTCTATTATGTTGGGGGTGGTAAGTTAATTAATTAATTTTTGGTTTTAAAAAAGTCTCTAAAAATTTTTAGATTGTCCCAGAATTTTATGAAAGAAATCCAACAATTGTTGCTACAGGCTATAGAACATTAGATCAAGTTATTCAAGTGTTAGTTGTACATATATTTAATTAATTCTTAATTCCTTTTAAAGTTTATTAAGTTTGCCCATGTTTGTTGGAGCAGCAACTGCTTGTTTTTTGTAAATTAATTAATTAAATTTTTGAATAAGAGATAATATTTAAGAGATAACACAGTTGGCGGGGCTACAAGACAACAACGTGGACTTAGAGAAAGGGGAACTGTTTGGGAAGAATGTGATGGGGAAAGAGGTAAATAAATTATTATTAAATAAATTATTATTTGCCGGAATGTGTAATTAAAAAATTTAATTTTTATATTTAAAACCAGATGTTTATTTATACCCAAATAAATTACAACAAATAATTGACTCCTTTCCAATTCTTCGTTATTTACCTTTTATTCCTAAAAGAAAATATGTGAAAGAAGACAACAAAAATAATGAAAAGCAACGAAATGGGGGAAAAATTGTGCCGAATGAAAATTTTGTTTGAAAAAATTTGAAAAGAAATTTTAATTGAGAAATTGAAGAGGAAAATTATTTTTAAAGAAAAAATAATTTTTTGTAAAATAACCAATTCTTGTAAAAAGGCTTTTAATCTCATTTATATATATTTAATTAATTAATATTCACGTTCCACAATTTAACATTTACTATTACATTTCGAATTTTTTTTGATAAATTTAAAAATTTATTATTTTCATAAACAATATTCTTCCTTAAAAAAGTAGTTCAGAAAAAGCAAGTATTTTTCTGAAGCAAGTACTTGAGAAAATTTATTTAAAAAAATCCGAATCAGAATCACTTTCATTTTGTCCATTAATAATTTGTTTTTGTATATTATTATTAGAAAATCCTCCAATTGTTTGTAATGTTGTTGGAGCTGTTGTGTTTAATGGAATATTTTGTTGATTTATTTGCTAAAAAATAAATATTTAAAATTATTTTAATTTAATTAATTCACTTTTTGTTCATTTTCTGTTTGTTTTGTTTCTAAATTTGTTTTTATTTCCAATTCATCAGCAGAGGAAGTATCATTTGAGGAAATATTAAATTTTGTTGGATTTTTAAGAATCTAAATAAATATTTAATTTAAAAGAAAATAAAATTAATTTAATACTTGTAACATTTTTTCAAAGTTAATTTGTTCTTGTGTTGGATTTTCTGATAAATTTTGTGTTGGTTGTTGTTGTTGTTGCTGTAATTCTTGTTGGTTTTCTTTTAAAACATCATTTTTATTTTTTTAAAGTAAATTTATCTGTACCTATTTTTAAATTTTCTTCTAAAATTGGTTTAGTAATTCCTTCATTATTTGAATTATCAAAAACAAAATTTCTGATTGGTTCGAAAACTTCTTTCGAATTTTCTAAAAAATTTAATAAAGTCAAATTTAGTTTATATATGTAAATATCCTGGGATTGAAAAAAATCTTCCCTTTTAGTTAAGTGTATTCATTTAGGCTCTTCCTTCTCCCCTCCCCTCCCCCTTCCAATGTCCAACCAAATTAAAAAAAGACATGTTAATTAAGTGTATATCTAGGTAATGGGATATTTACTACTATAATCGGAGCTTGAAATTTTAAAATTTGCTCGTACTCGTACTTTTGTACACAGGTACGAGTACGAATTTTGGTACGAGCTTCCAAACACTGACTATAATGTTGACAAATTATATTTAAATAAAAATTAAATTAACCTCCTCCACTACCATTTATTTCTTCCTTTAATAATTTATTTTCTTCTTCTTCAACAAAATTACTATTATTTAATTGTTTTAAATCATTATTTTGTATTTTATTATTTGGATTTAAAAGTAATTTATTATAATTAAATATATTTAAATTGCTTTTTAATTCTTCGTTAAATAAATTTTTTTGTTGTTGTTGTTGAGTTCTTTAAAAAATAATTAAATTTTTTGAAAATGTTTTTCTTTGTTTTAATAAATTCTTAAAATATTTAGCAAAAAAATTTACAAATTTTTAATTAAAATTCTCTTTTGTCTCTCCAATATTTTCAAAAACTTCAAAACTTTAAATTTAATAAAAGAAAAAATATTTTTTGTATTAAAATCAAACACTGTACATATTTCCTTCATTTCCAACATTTTCTCTTTCGCTTATTTTCCCCAAAACAATTTCATTGTCCAAATTATTTTGATTTTTTGTAGTAATTAATTCAAATACTTCTTCATTATTATTTATTTTTGTTGTAGAATTATCAAAAACTTTTTTATTTCTTTTTTCATTTAAAATATTTTGAATCTTTTTTTAAAAAGAAAATATATTTAAAATTAATTTTTAAAATTATTTTACCCTTTTTTCAATATGAAATTCCATATTTAAAATTCTACTTTTAATTTGTAAAGGAGAAATAAATTCCTATAAAATAATTATTAAAATAAAGCTGGGAGACTTCTCTCTATTGAGATTAAGCTTTTGGGGAGGGGGGGGGCACGCCCAAAAGGGCGCCCTTAACAATTTTGGTACCAATCTCTTTAACTCCATGAAAGAAATCGTTTAACACTAAATTTGATAAGATTCGGAAATATTGAAGCAAGTTATAGCTTTGCGCCGTTATGGCCGCGCGCCTACCTAGGCTGTACCCGGGTATCTTAAATAAAGGGAAAATTATTAAGGGTCTCTAATTTCTATCTTATTTATTAGTGAGATTCTCCGACTTGTAATCTTTTACAAAATTAAAAAAAACCTTTTCTTTTATTAAATTTGTTTCATTTCTTCCATTTTGACTTTAAAAAATTAATTTAAAAAATTATTTTCTAAAAAATTAAAATAACCGAAAATATTCTTTTACTGGTTGATTAATTTTAAATTTTCTAAATTCTTCCAAACTTTTTTTAATATTATTTAATTGTTCTTCTATTATTGGTAAATCAGAATTTAAAAGAAAATTACTTTAGAAAATAAATTTATTTATTTCTTAAAATTATTTAAACTTATTAAAATTCATTGAAGACGTTTGTTGTTGTAAATTAAATAAATTATTTCTTTTATTATTTTCTTCTCTTTGAATATTCCAAAATTGTGTAGAACATTCCAAGTTTGTCAATAATAATTTAATTTTAGATATCTTAATAATTTTGTAATTATTTAAGTAAAAAGTGAAAGGAGAGAGGATAATTATGAGGAAAATTAGAGAGATGTTCCGACATTCGAAAAATTCCTCTCTCGACTCCCCCCCCCCCCCTCCCTTTTTCTTTTTTTAAAAATTTTCTTGTAACATACTTATTGGAAAACTTAATAATTACCTAATAATTAGGGTTTCATCGGAACCAGATCCAATTTGAGTTCCAGATCCCGGAACTTTTTCCTGGTTCCGGGGAATTTACGGTGAAACCCTACTAATAATGCTAACAAAAACAATTAATAAAATAAAAGGGTTTTTTTTAATTTTCAAAATTATTTTAAATTTACAGACCTCATCCACAAAATTATTTAATTGTAATTCTCTTCCCTCTTCTTTTTCCTCAAATTTATTTTCAAAATCTTTTGAATAATTTTCATTTAAATTTCCTTCTTTTTGTTTACTAAATTCACGTTTTTGTTGGAATTTTTTATTTTTTGGGGCAACAGAACGCTTAAATTTATAATTAATTTAAACAAAATTTAATCTTATTTACAGCTCTTCTTTGCCAATTTAAATTATTAGACATTTGTAATAATTGTCCCTTTTGTTGTTTTGATTTATAATTATTTACCTAATATAAATTATACTTAATTAAATTAATTTTTTAAAAATTTACACGAAAATTTTTGTTAAAATTAAAATTATCCAATTGTTTATTATTCATTTTTAGTAGTTTAAATTAAAATTAAATTAATTTTTTAAAAATGATTTTAAATAAAATATTTTTCAAATAATAAATTTATTTTGCTCTAATTTGTTTTTAAATTTCCTTAAATTACCATAGAAACGAGCCCAACTAAATTTGAGAAAAGAAAAGTTGTAAAGAAAGAGCAATTCATTATAGTATTTACATATCAATTCATTATAATTATAGCCTCACAAAATATCCACAAAAAATTGCATATGTACATATTTACTACGAAAAAGCATAAAATATGCACCATTTGTCAAAATATGCCTTACATACTATACAACAAAATTGAAGAAAAATTAAATAATCTAATCTCCTCCCTCACAACTCCAAATTAATAATTTTCAATAAAATTTTTTTGACAAAATTTCAAAAAATTAGTCCAAAACTTGACGTCTTTCTTATCGCTCATAAAAATTTTAAAAAATTAAATAGATTTTATTAGACAAAATAAAACAATATTTTTTAAATTTTCTGGAAAAACAATCTTAATGAATCAACCAAAAAAAGGCAAAATCGGGAAAAATTAACCACAAATTATATAAGGTTTAAGGAAAAACATTTTAAACAATGACAAGAGAAGGCAAGAGAGACAAATATTTTAAATAAAAGACAAAATTAGGCTTGGGCACTTTTTCTCTTTTTATCCGTGATAAATCTCTTCGGAGCTTCTGTGATGACGGCACTCTCTTGTATAAAAAAAGCTGCAGAAAATGTGCAGTTCTGGAAAAGACTGTCTGCAGCTGACCGCCGGTCAGTTTTGCTTTTTCATGTGAAAGAGTGGCCTTAACACATAAGCTCTGAAGACTTATCACGGCTAAAAAAAGAGAAAAAAGTGTCCAAGCCTGGACAAAATAATTAAATTAAAAGTTAAACCAAAAAAATTCTTCCAAAAAAAATATTCAATGTCCTCCATCTTCAGGTTTGCGCGGACGTCCACGACGATGTTTCAATCCTCCAGTATTTCCAATTTCCTCAAGCGGTAATTCTGCTTTACGTTTGATTGGCACAGGTGTGAGTGTAGCAAAAGATGTAGAAGTTGATGGTTTCATAATTTTTTGGCTAGATTGATTCTGTTTTTGTACTAGAAAAGAATAAATTAAGAAAAATTTAAATAATTTGGGGAGAAGTTGTTTGAAGTAAACTTTTATGAGAAACACTAGTTCATTAACAAGCAGAACTGTTAAATTTACAGACATTTCAAAGCTAAATAGGCATAAACTCTTTTATATGACAACAGGTTCACCCCCATTATTCGCACCCCAATAATTAAAAACAAATTTCAACATACATGCAAGATATTGTTGAACAGTCGGTGAAAACTTTGCCAAATTAGAAGATGTTGAAGAAGGAGAAGGAATCTAAAAAAATTTTCTTTTAAAATGTAAATAGAAAATAAACCTGGTTGGTCAAAAAAAGAAGATGGGCCATCATAACAGTTTGATTCTTCAACATATTATTAAGCTGGGATTTAATCTCTTTAATGTCATCGTCAGTCATCGTAGCCATTTTTAAAATTTAGAATAAACTTGATTTCTAGAATAATAGAAATAAATTTATGTGTATTAAGAATAAGGGTTGCGCCCTAAAACTAGGGGAAGTTATGTCGGTGTTGAATGCAGCGCGGAGGGTACCGCAGGGTCAAATGTAAGAATTTGACCAAATGTAAAGGGTCAAATGTAAGAAATTAAAAAAATAGTATCAAAAAAGAATTTTCCGCAAAAAATTTCCACTTTAGAGCTGCAGACAAAATACCTCCGGACAGAAGACCTACAACCAAAATACCTACAGACAGAACCATAGATTTTTGTCCTGTTCAAATTTTTTCTTTATGTTGTAGGGATTTTTTTCTAAATTTAGCTATGCTGTCAAACGTTCTCTTCACTAACAGCAAAAATCTAAACAAACGGCGTTTTTTACGAACAAAACAAGAAAAGTATTTTGCAACAGTTCCTGGACTACGAGAACAATTAACAAATCAAAGCGAGCTTAGTCATTGGCTTGTTGGTTCATGTGCATTAGGTATTTAACATTCAATATACGATTTATAGAAATCTAATTTTTATAAAGAGCTTTTTGGTAATCATCGTCTTGCGGACTTTTTTAAAGATGATTTTGATGGACGAGGAGTTATTTGGCGTTTTCAAATGTACAACAAAAGGGTGAAGGGAGATAAGGACCGCATACGGATGCATGGGAGATGTAAATTTTGATTTTACACGTTTAGTGACTCCCAGAATCTAATTCGCTTTCTAGCGTAGTGTGTTAATGCTGAGAAATAAACTCTTGTCTAATTTTCTTTAACAGTTTAAAGAATTGGACTTTACATTTTTTACGTCTAGTTTTACTATCTTAAGATTACAACAATATTTATTTGGGAAAACGTATCTTTGGGCCAGCGCGTAAACAAGTGTTTATGTACACTATCGTGGGTGGCATGGAGCGTCGCTTTGAGATTGTTGACAATCAAGTTAATCACATCCAGTTCACCCATGAGCATTCAGACAAGTTTGTTGAAAAGTGCAGGAACCAAAGTTTTTTTCTTTAAGTAGGTTACTACTAATTCTGTAACTTTTAGGCATTAAATGCAAAGATCAATCACGTGTTATTCTTAGTTACCCCGAAGAGCCGTCGTTAGATTCTTTTATTCATGCTAATTGTGTCAACTCGCCACTACTTTTCAATGATTTTATTATTACTCAGGCACCTATGGACAATACCATTAAGGATTTTTGGCGGGTAATAAAAATTAATATATAATTTATAAACTTTCATTTTATAGATGATTTGGCAGGAGCGTGTTTGCTTCATTTTTATGCTTATTAGTCGGAGCGACACTCGTCGTTGCGCTAAATATTGGCCTGAGACGTAAGTATACTTGAATTAAATGGCTTATATTTTTTATTTAGTGTTTCTTCGAATCCGTTTCAGTTCCATGGGTTAGTTATTTGGAACGAGGGCTTTGAGCCATCGGGATCGCGAGACCCTTTCTTCAATGTTACAAAGCTGAGGATTGTTGGCCCAAATGACAAGGAGGTAAGAATAAAAGCTCTATTTAAATTACTTCAACTTTTGGACAGCTTCGTCTCGAGCACTGGCAAGGCGACTTAAATAACTCACAGGATTTGGATGCGCCTCTACGTCTACTTCGACTTTCTAGGACTTGTACAACTCCTACTGTTATTCACGACCATTTGGGAATTAGCCGAGCGGCATGCCTTGTTGCAATCGAGCTTACCATATGTCAACTTCTTCGCGGGCCTATGCACAAAGTTTGTAAAATGCGCGCATTGTTTGTATATTTATTTTTTATTTCAGTATACTGTCCAGCAGTCGGTTCATTATTTGCGGTTTTTCCGCCCTTTTTCTGTGGAGACACCAATGCAATATATCGTTTGTTTTTCCAATGTTTTGTGTATTTTAAACGAATTCTAATTCAGTTTATCCATCGAGTTGTTCAACATTTTTTGCGACCTTTTGTTGGTATTCCAGATGGTTTTGACCAGGACTATGTGCGTTGGATGGATGAGCGTTCACAGCGTCTTTTTATCGATAGTATGAACTCGGAGGTTTGAAACAAGTTCGGCTCTCCTAATTTTCTATTTAAGATTCCTGCTTTTCGTCTTTTATCGCCGAAAGTCGATCCTGATTTGTTGCCATTAGTACGCCATCGTGAGCGGCCAGAATTGAGACGTGAATTGCATGCACATGTTGGGGAATTGCCATTACCAGCAGATATAGGAGTTGTTCATCAAACGGCGCATGAATATCCTGAAGAGCAAAAGAATCCTCTTGCAAACATTCAATTGCCTAAACGTTATCCTCGCGGAAAACGCTATGACTGATTTTATTGAATAGGAATTTCTCATTAATTTTTTATTTGGTACCACATACTACTACTATATTTAGTTTTCAACTTGTTGACTTAGGAAAATATGGATAATTTTTTATTTTCGCATATTTATTTCGTGTAAAATTATTGATAAATTATTACAAAAGAATTGTTCTCACAATCAGAGCTAATTTGTAAGTTTATTAAACTTTATTAAGATAACTAGAGAAATATAATATAGTTGAGAGCTGGTTCTTTTGTTGGTTAACAACCGAATAACTCTTCGAATAGTGACATTTATCACAGACTAAATAACGTGGCAGGGAATAATGTAGAGCGACTGCGCAAACGCCGACCAATACTAGTTAAATAACAGATAGTTTGAGACATTTCTTAAAAGTTCTAACATAAACATTTTTATTAAATTATGCTCAAATTTTATTCAAATATTGAACCATTTATATTTTTAAACAGAATTTTAATTTCTATATATCAGACCCAAAGGGATTTTTAATCTACAGATACATCTCTTTCATTTCTTCTGCACTAATTCGCTTCGAATTTGCAACAATCAAAAGGGTAATTAAAGTGCTAAGTCCAAGCACCAAATAACCAGACATATAAATTTGTCGAAGTTCCATTCCTTTTGCTAAATCAAATCCCTAAAATTTAATTTTTTTTTCATTTATTTGAATTTAAAAAAACCATAAAACGGATTCCATTGAGTGAGTGGAAAACAATTGTCCAAGCAATGATAAATTTAAACGTTGCAGTAATTGGCCAAGGAAGATTCCATGAACGAATTCGTTCGATAAAAGAACTATAACTGAACGGACCAAAAGAAAAGGCTAAAACGCCAATCAGCAGAGCTAAAAAATAAATTTAAAAAGCTTCTAAAAATAATTAAAAACACCAACTTCCAGACATTATACAACCACTAATTCGATGACCGCCAGAAATTATCCAAGTCAATTGTGGTTTATAAATATTCAAATGTGGCGAAATCGGCCGACCCAATGCTGTTTGTTGCTTCAAATACTCAAATCCAAATTGTTGAACCGGGGTTTTTGTGTGAGTCAAACGGAGAGAACTAAAAATATAGAATTTCTAATTAAACAAAAATAAGTCCTCACTCCAGCCCTACCTTAAAATAAAAAAAAACCCCAACACATTTTTTTAACAGCTTGGCATGATTTAAAAAATAGAAAATTGGAAACTAACCGTCCACACTTGCTCGGAAGCAAAATTCTAAGTTTTAAAATTGAAGGAATAGTGCCGACAACGGTCATTTTTTCGCTTTACAAATTAATATTTAACTAAAATTAACAGAAATAATTAATTATAAATAATAAATGTAATATTACAAATAAATTTATAAAAATAGTATTTTTTGCATTTTTATATTTATTTTTACAATATAAAATCCAAGAAAATTTACTTTCTAAATTAATTTTTTTTATTTTAAAATTTCCTAAAACAACAATATGTCCACTCAAGAGTAGCCAAAATAAAATCTTTAATAAACTTCTCAATGATCGTCTACACGAACAGGAACAGCAGTACCCGCCAATTTCTCTTGTCTCTTACGTTCCTTCAATTGCTTAACATAATTACGACCCAATTCAGTCAACGGAACAGGCCAATGCTTTGGCTCTTTTGGCTGTCCAGATCCATCAGGAATTCCAAGACCAGTTAGTGGATTACCTAAAATATTATTTTTTAAAAATAATCCTCTTTTAAACACACCAGCAGCTGGATAGACATTATAATCATGATAGCGGCGACGATAGTAAGACTCCTATTTAATAAATTTAAATAATTTTTCTAAATAAAAACAAACCTCATCGGCATTTTGTTCTTTAAAGAATAAATCGAAATAACGCCATTCACCATCGTCGTGATGGATACGCCAATCAGCATAACCATGCTTCTCTGCATATCCAAATTCATGAGGAAAGAACGTGATGTGGTGGAAATTTAAATACCTAAAAAATTAAAAGAAATTTTAACGGGAGCAGTTGAGGGAAATTGAGTGGAAAAACTCAAAATTGAGAGAGAAATAGTTAAAAAGAATTACATATGCTCAACTGGTGGCGCTTTGGCCCATTTCTCCTCAACCTTCTTAACACGATCGAGTCCGTCTTTTATCTTCTGCTCGGTAAATTGTAAACGTGCTTGCTTAAAATAATAAATTTTAATAAAATTTAATAAAAAAATAAAACATTATATTGAATCCATTTGTCAATTTCCTTTTGAAAATTTTCTGGAATAGTTCCATAAGCGATGTTCAGCGATTCCCATTGTTTTTTAAGAGTGTCAAGCGCAGCCGATTGTTCAGGCATTTGCTTTTTCAATTCGGCCCAATCAACTTTTGGAAGATCTTGCTCACGCTGAACAACCCTGAAATTTTCGATTAATTATAAAAAGGTGAAAATTAAAACAAACTCGGCATGAAATGAAGAGTTCTGCATTTTCAAACGATCCAATTCTTTCTTATGTTCTGGAACTAATCTCTCAGCCAATTTCGCCCAATTTACAGAGCTAACAGCAACACGTTTCGCCGGTTGTGACATTCGAAAAAATAATTAAAAGCCTTCAAAAAAACAAAAATTACCCAAAAAGTTATTGATAAAAATATCGGGACTCAATGGTCCCTAGCCGCATTAAAACTTAAAAGAGCCATCTGAGCGCAGACAAATGAGCGTCTGATTCGTGTCTGGTAATTTCGGCAGAATCCTTGGCCGATTTGGATAATCTTGGATTTATTTTTAAATTTATAATGCTAAATTTTTAATTTTTAGATAATAATATATTTTTAATGCCTTCATTGCGTAGTTCAATTCGTGTTACTCGTTCACGACGCAGGAAGGATATGCGGACAACGAAGGTTTTTATTTTAAAAGAGGGAAAAAGATAACTTCACCTTCTCCCCGCAAATTTGTTGTCTACAAAATTTTACGTTTAAATTCAAAGGTTATCTCTTAAATTTTCTATATTTTAGAGTGTGCTTATGCAACTTAACTCTTTAAGTCTTGAAAAGAAAAAAATTATCAAGAAAGAGGTGCCGCATAATAATAAAAAACTATTTCGTGGCGAAACTGTTAGCCCATCTACTTTACCAACGTCTAATCGCAAATTAAGGTTGGTTGCTTGTTTTTCTGTTTTGTTATTACTTTTGCTTTTCTATTTTTAGTATAGGTTTGTAGGATTCGACATATTCATTCGTGGTTAAGTGGGTTAAAGTTTAATTTACGTGTAAGCCTCAATGACGATACACTCAGCTCTCTCAACGCATTTGTGTTGAAACTAAAATTTGTTCCCTAAACTTATTTTCTGAGGGGCTAGAAGTGATTTTCTTTAACATTTTTCTCAATTTTTAGAATTAGTCTTTCAAGTTTATCAAACTCCTCAGGATCTCCGGAACTTGATTTGAATCAAATTGTTTTGAGAAAAAAAATTATACTATCTTCATCAACAGATACTAGTATATCTATTTTGAATAATTCTACTTCATCCAAACAAGACAATCAACAAAGCTCTGAACATCAACAAATTTTAATTGAGAATTCAAAGTTTGTCTAATTTAGTCTCACTATATCAAAACAATAATACCGTCCAATTTCAATAATTTTTTTTCTAAATTAATTAAAAATATTTAAGTTTGAATTATCTAAATATTTAAGTCAATGGCAGACCCCAGAATCAAAGAATCTAATAAAATTTCAAAAGACTCCTGGCAAAACAAAACGAAGGATCGGTGCTAGGTCAAGCCAATCTTCGGAAATTTTCAGGTTTTCTCTGCTTTTTATTTCAAAAAATATTTTTTCTAGTGCTTTGCAAAAACGAGTTCTCACCGAGATGGGCATTAAACCGGAGGGCCAGAGTAAGCGAAATACACTGAACCAATGGCTTCAATTTGGACAATTTGTCCGATTTAAACCGCTTTATGAGGGCTCATATGCTGAACCACTCAATTCTGCGTCCATAATTTATGTGTGTGAATTTTGTCTTACTCATTTCTTGTCATTGCAACTGTTTAAAACTCACGTGGTCAGAAACAAAATGAAGTAACCAAAATTTATTTTTAATTTTAGAAATTCTGTCCGTGTTGCTTTCCTCCAGGCAACGAAATATACAGGGACGTAGACGAGGGAATTTGCATTTGGGAGGTAGAAGGATGCTTTGAAATGGTAACTTTCTCTCAAAATTATTTTTTGTTCAATTTTCAGACGTATTGTCGAAATCTTTGTTTAATGGCCAAATTGTTCATGTCGTCTAAAACACTTTACCACGAAGTGGATACATTTACTTTCTACATTCTTGCTGAAATTTCAACGAGAGGTTGTGTGACTGTCGGATATTTTTCAAAAGTTTTTTTTCATAATTTGAAACATTTTAAATATTTTTAAGGAAAAGAATCCAAGTAAAAATAACAATCTCAGCTGTCTTCTAACATTACCTCATGCTCAAGGGAAAGGATATGGAAAATTGTTAATTGATCTCAGTGGGAAGATTTTTTTGTTTTATTTATTTTCTATTTTAAGGCTATCAATTTTCAAAACTCGAACACAAAATTGGTTCTCCAGAACATCCCTTATCTGATATGGGTCTTCTAGCTTATCGTAGCTATTGGCGATCAGTTTTATTTTCTGCTTTGAGGCAGCGTAATAATTCTCAAACTATAACGATTAAAGGTCGAATTACTTTTGCTGATTTAAAACAAAAATTTTTTGCAGACCTGAGTATCGAGACCGCCATCCACAGTTCTGATATTATATCAACTCTTATTGTTAATGATATGTTGGTGTCAAGGCATGATTGTTTCTACATTGATATTGTAATTAAAATATTTTTAGTTTTCTATAAGATTTTTAAAGGAAAAAGCTTTAAACGCGAGCCCTGATTCTTTACGTCGTCGTTCTATTCGTGCCGATTTGCTCAAATGGCTCCCCCCTTTTGATCCAATTCCATATTCTAAAATGAATTCCTATGCTTCTTCTAATTAATTTATTTGAATAAATTTTTTGATTAAAATCTTATTTTTTATATTAATAAAACGATATTATACGAAATATTTTTTTAACATTTTTATTACCTTCATAATTAAAGGAATTAGAGATTGTTTGTAGATAATGTACTTGGAAGAATTGCCACTCGAGCTTCTTCTTCGTATTTTTGATTATTTGCCTCCCAATGATCTTTGGTGTAACTTCAGAGCAGGTAACCGAGATTTATTTACATTCATTCAGTCATACGTTCACTTATTTATTTTTATATTATTTTAGTTAATCAAAGATTGAACCTACTAATTCGAGAGCAATCATACTGGTTGAAACGTGCCAATTATCTACATAGTCTTGTTCTTCCTAAAAGATTGACAGGTTCTCTCCCAGCAACTGATAATGATCGTTCTGGATTCTTTGTTAGTTAATTTTTATTTATCTTTTAATTTTTTTTGTTATCAGTTGTCGCCTATCTATCGATGTATTGCCACAGAGCAGACTGCGATTCGTTGGTCTGATAGTCTTAAAAATTTTGCTCACACAGTATCAACAGTTGATGCTCATTATGGGATAATTCATGCTATTCGCCTCTTTACCATAAATGGAAAATATTTTTGCCTTACTGGAGCTCGTGATCGTCAAATTATACTTTGGGATTTGGAATCAACTATTTATGTATATAATGAATATCTTTATTTGTATATTTTTATTAAGAATAATTGGACTGCTGAGAAAGCACACGATGGTTGGATTTGGTCAATATCCTGTTCAAAATATAATGTCAACTCTTTTTTCTCAGCCGGGTGGGATTCGATAGTTAAAAAATGGCAGATTGCAGAAGCATCTATTCTCGTAAGTTAAAGCTTATTTCAGAATATTTACACTTAGTAGTATGTTTATGAATAAAATTTGAGTTGAATTTTAATAAAATTCTTATAGCCAACTCAAAAAATATCAGTTGATACGGCAGCACTTTCGTGCGTTTCAGAAAATGAAAATATACTTTATGTATCAACTTTTCGAAGTGGGACATTACTCTATGATACTCGAACACCATGTACATCTCCACTAGCTTCAAATAACTGTCATGGCCAAAGGCCAGTCTTTGAACTTACGTCTATGGTTATTTTCAACTTTTTTTTAAATAAAAAAGAATTGTGTTTTGCAGGACGATTGCAATCAAATATTTTCAATTGGTGATGACAAGCAACTCGCAGCTGTAGATAAGAGGAGATTCGAAAGTGTAAATTACGAGATAATTTTTTTAAATTGTTTTTTTTTATTTTTTAGTTGGTTGGTACTTATCAGTCTAATGAGCCGATTTCTCATGTTGATTACGAGGACAGACAACTTTGTTTGAGTCTTAAAAATGGACATTTTCTTTTCTTTGACCCGGAAACGTTACAACTTGAAAATGTTTGTTTAAAAGCTGTGTAGTTTGATCATTATATATTAACAGGAATTTACTATTACCAACGATGACGATGGGAGAGAACTTAATGGAGACCAAAGCATTCGTGTAACTCGAGGAGGAACATTTTGTGCTTGCAGGCAAGATAAATATTTTATTTGTTTTATTATTAAATAATTCCAGTGACAACACTTTGCGAGTATTTTCTCAAGGAATTAAACCTCAACAAATGGCTAAATTAAAATTAAACGAGAATCTCACAATAGATGTACTTGATGGAAATATTGCTGCTTATACAGCTACAGGAGCAATTCACTATTGGCAAAATATTGCTTACTAACTAAACTTGTATTTTATGCTGAAATATATGAATGGATCTAGCAAGTATATGGCTTCTATGTTTGAAATTGTAGAGAAGAAAAACTAAAACCGCAATACATTTCTAATCATTTACATTAGTCCTTCATTAGTAACTGTATTTGGATATATCTATATATTGTATAAATATTTAGCCTAATAAATACCGATGACTTTAAAAGTTTTTAATGAAAGAAATTTTTCAACAATAAATTGTAAGTCCATCCAAAATCGCCTTGAATTTACCGATTTATCGGACTCAAAGAGTTTGTGTCACTTTGTCGCGCACTTTTGTAGCAAGACTTGACAATTTTTTGTTTACAAATTAGAGGTCGGCGCGGGACGGGATCCCGCGCGGGATTTTGCGGGATCCTGGCCCGCAAAGATTTTTTAAAAAATTTTATCCTGCGGGATCCCGCAAACACTATTTTGCCGACCTCTATTACAAATCATACGTAAATACAGTCCGTATCCTCAGAAATCACGTCTTGATTCTGTTTTTCGCGCATTCTTGCGGAAGAACAAGGCGTCCCGTTTTCTCGGTTCCGTTTATTGAGTCGATTTGTGTTAAAGATTTTCCCTATATATGGATTCTTTATCAGAAGTTTTATGATCTTTAAAAATTAAAAAAATTAGATGCGATAATGGTAAATCCAGCTGGATATGATGCTAAAGTTCAGGTTTAAATATTTATTTATAAATTTAATAATAGCCTTTTTTTAGCAATTGTTGGAAGAGTGCAAAATTTCCACAAAATTGGTGAATTACATTGAAAATTTTAATTACCCCTATGTTAATGATGTGCAATTATTTTATGAACAATTATTGAAAATTGGGCAAGGAACGTTCGGGTACTTGGGTTAATGGTTTAACCCATATTTTGACCAATTTAAGGGAAGTTTTCAAGGCAAGATGTAAAAGAACTGGACAATTTGTTGCTCTGAAAAAAATTCTAATGGAAAATGAGAAAGAAGGGGTAAGTGGCAAAAGAAACAAAAAATGTTATGAAAAGTTTTTCAGTTTCCAATTACTGCATTACGTGAAATAAAAATGCTTAAGCTTCTTCGACATCCGAATATAACTGAATTAATCGATGTCTGCACTTGCAAGCGTAAGAATTACTTTTTTAATTTTAATAGTTTTTGTTTAATTCAGAAAAGAATGCACGAGAACGTTTTTCTTTTTATTTGGTTTTTACTTTTTGTGAACATGATTTGGCTGGACTACTTAGTAATCAAAAAATAAAATTCAGTTTAGTTGAAATTAAAACAATGGCTAAGCACATTCTCGAAGGCTTGAACAAAATTCACAAAAGCAATATTTTACATAGAGATATGAAATCAGCAAATGTATTAATAACTGCTGGAGGAGTTCTTAAACTAGCAGATTTTGGGTTGGCTCGATTAATGATTAGTAAGTTTTTTACACTTTTATTTTATTGTGGGTGGAGATTCGGGTATTCCAAGTGTGGATTTATGCAATTAATGAGTCTCTTATTTAAATTTAAAAACTCTAATTATGAGAAAACTGCATATTTTTAATTAAAAATATAATATATTCTCATTTTTTAAGAACAACAAGATTACCGATATACAAATCGCGTCGTCACACTTTGGTATAGACCACCTGAATTATTACTTGGTTCAAGTAGTTATGGACCTTCAATTGATATTTGGGGAGCTGGATGTATAATTTCTGAACTTTGGACTAGGTCTCCAATTTTACAGGTTTTTTTTCAGTCTTTAGACTCTTTATAATGTTCATTTTAAGGGGAACACTGAACAAGAACAATTAATTAGGATTGCTAAATTGTGTGGATCAATAAATTGTCAGACATGGGAAGGCTGTGAAGCCTTACCTTTATATTCAAAATTAAAAGCAAGTGGTTCTGAAATGCATTCTGCTTTGAATAACGCACTTCCACAAAACTATCCACGTCGAGTTAGAGAGAAATTGTTAATGTTTCTTGAGGTTTATTTTTTAATTTTGCAAAATTATCTGAATTTTTTAGCACAACGAGCAAGCAATTTCTCTTATTGATCAAATGTTATCTCTTCCCCCAGAACGACGACCAACAGCTGAAGAAGCACTTGACCATAATTTCTTTTGGGAAGCTCCACTTTCTGCTGAAAATATTAAAGGCCTAGTTGACAAGCTTAAAGGGGTTTTGGCTTTTATTTTAAATTTATTTTTGCGTTTGTTTTTAGACGAATTTGTTCGAATATACTTCTGGATGTGGTGCTCATGCAAACAGGAAAAGACCTATAGCTCCTGCTGCTCCTACTCATAATAGCAGTGGCAGCAGTCAAGGATCTCAGCCAATGCATCAACAACCAAGAAAACCATTAAATGCCTTTCAACAACAACCAAAGTCTCAGCATTCAAATTTTGGACAACACCATCAACAATTTTCCGGCTCTGGAGGAACACAAAGAATAAAAGGAAATAATGCTGTTGCTGGACAAGCTCCGGTAGTTCGAATGCAATCTTCACAGCAACGCCAGCACCAACCACTTTCAAAAACTATTTCTTCATTTTCACAACAACAATCTTCTTCACAATCATTTTCACAGCAGGCACAGCAAGTAAGGAATTGGAAATTTTTAATTCTTCCAATGAATTTATTTCAAGGCATCCACTAGCGGTTTTGCTCAAAGCGGATTTGGTAATCAAGCAAAAAGAAAACGTCTTGTACCGCCTGAAACCAATGAAATTAATACAGATTCTCTTCAACATTCATCAAATCCTGTTTCATATCAGCATCATCAAAAACCACAACATCAATTTTTTCAACACAATCAACAGGTCTTTTAAATTTATTTTTCTTTTAACTTTGTGCTTTAAGTCTGGTTCGAGTAATTTTTCAAACAGTGGAAGAAAGCCAAATAGACCCTCCAATCAACATTCATATAATGCACAAGCGCCTCCACAATCTTTACAAAATGCTAATAAACCTCCAAACTTGTTTTCTCAACAACAGCAACAACAACTATATTTTGCCCAACAATCAGCCCCGAGAATGAATGTACATGTCTTTAATGATTTTTTGAAATTCTATTATTTTTTTCAGAATCCTGGTAATCGTTTCCCACCGCCACAACAATCGAATTATCCTAGACATCAAAACGATCAAACAAGATTTTTTAGAAGTGGTTTCTGATTTTGAATATCTACTGTTTTTTTCACTTGTTTAATTTTTTGATAAAGTTATATAAACATTTTAATTTTTGGTGTTTTTTTTGTTTAATCAACGATTATTTTACTTTATAATTTCAAAATAAGCTTTTTTTAATTTTAGTCAGAAATTAAATACAAAAATGCTTCGCGTTGGCGGTACACCTTTATTGGTTTTGAGTAAATCTGCTGAAAGAGAACAAGGATCTAAAGTTCAATCACAAAATATTAATGCTGCAAAGGTAAGTATCCGTCAGATTTATGTTCTAAAACGAAATGTTCGGACGTAGCCGGCTACTATTTTCTTTGATTTTAAGATGGTTGCCGATGTAATTCGAACAAGCCTTGGGCCAAAAGCCATGTTAAAAATGTTAATGGATCCAATGGGTGGAATTGTCCTTACAAATGATGGAAATGCAATTTTACGCGAAATCACAGTTAAACATCCAGCAGCTAAAACAATGATAGAAATTGCAAGAACTCAGGATGAAGCAACTGGAGATGGAACAACTTCTGTTATAATTTTGGCGGGAGAATTTTTGGCTCATGCACAGCAATTTCTTGAACAAGGAATTCATCCAACTATGATTATTCAGGTAAATGGAATTTCTTATTTCTCCGAAAATTTTCTTCGCCTTACATAAAGGCGAGAAAATTCCTACTTTTCTTAAAATACTTAAATTATTATACATTTTATTCCAGGCTTATCGTATGGCTTTAGATGACATGAGTCAATGGATTGAGGATAAATTTAGGCAATTTTGATTATTTAATTAATTTAGAATTTTAAAAATTTAGCAAGGCTGTTGATTTGAACAATGAAAATGAATTAATTGTTGTAATAAAGTCTTCATTGGGCACTAAAATGCTTGCAAAATATTTGGATTTATCTGTTAATATTGCTCTTCAAGCTGTTCGTTCGATAACTGTCACAAGCAATGGATCGAGTGAAATTGATATCAAACGTTATTGTCGTATTGAAAAAATTCCTGGTGGTTCAATTGAAGATAGTCAAATAGTTAAAGGAGTTGTTTTGAATAAAGTATTTTTTAAATCGATTTTAAATTATTCTTAAATTTTTATTTTAGGATATTGTTCATCCAAAAATGAGTCGTCGTATTGAAAAACCACGTATTATACTTCTTGATTGTCCTTTGGAATATAAAAAGGGTGAAAGTCAGACTGCGCTCGAAATTATGCGAGAAAATGATTTTAGCCTTGTACTTGAACAGGTAACTTTTTTGCATAATTTTTTGATCACATAACTTCTCTAAAAAACTTTAAGGAGGAAGAGGCAATACGTCGTCAATGTGAAGATATTATAAAATTGAAGCCTGATTTAGTTTTTACTGAAAAAGGTATTTCTGATCTTGCACAACATTATCTTGTCCGCGCTGGAATAACTGCTTTACGTCGTTTGAAGAAGACAGACAACAATCGACTGGCTCGGTAAATTTGACATTTTATGTATTTACTCAAAATTTAATTCTCAATAACAGTGTGACAGGTGCTCGAATTGTTAATGACACTATTGACTTGCAAGAATCTGATATTGGAACACAAGCTGATTTATTCGAAATAACCAAAATCGGCGATGAATACTTTACATGGGTTACCTCAGAAAAGACTACTGCTGTTACTATTGTTTTGCGGGGTCCGAGCAAGGATATCATCAATGAGGTCGATCGTAATATACAGGATGCTGTTAGTTGTGTTCGAAATGTAATGTTAAAACCACGAATTGTTCCTGGAGCTGGTGCTTTAGAGATGGCACTTTCAACTGTTAGAATAAAAAAAATGAAAAAATAAAAAATTTTTTATTTCAGGCTTTGACCGAGAAAAGTAAATCAATTCAAGGAATTCACAATGGCCCTTACAAAGCAATTGCAAATGCCTTAGAAATAATTCCGAGAACATTGGTACAAAATTGTGGAGGTTCTGTTATTCGTCAACTTACAGCATTACGCGCAAAACATGCCCAGGATCGCGAAAAGAATTGGACATGGGGAATTAATGGTCAAACTGGTGATTTGGCAGATATGAATCAACTTGGAATTTGGGATCCTTATGTCGTTCGACTTCAAGCGTTGAAGACAAGCATCGAAACTGTAAATATTGTTGATTATTTTATAATATTTTGATTGAAATTTTAGGCAATTATGTTACTTCGTATAGATGATATTGTAAGCGGAACAAAGAAAAAAGATGGTTCTGCTGGTGGTGCAGAGACTGCTGGAGCTGCTGGATTAGGAGCTGAATAAAAACGAATATTTAAATAGAATTGACACAAAATAAATAATTGCTGCCTATTTTTTAAAATATTCTCCTTGTCAATTATTTAAAATTGTTTAATTCGTTATTTACTCTCAGCTCGCTTTTATTCTATCTTAAGTAATTTTTTTGAATTTCATTATTAATTGTTTTCATTTTGTTATCGCTTTTTGGAGAATGAATTTGCTTTTAATTTCTTACAATTAGTCATATGTAACAATCAACGTTTTTACGTTTATTTATTTTAGTAATGCTTAATTTTAGAATAGTAAAAAGTTGTCATTTATAGTAAATATGGAAGCATCTAAGATTAGAAAGCCTAAAACTAAATCACGCGAAAACAATATTGAAGAGCCTAGTGGCCAAATTCCCGAGGTTCCAACACTTGATGAACTTTTATTTTCTGTTGATAATCCGCAGGACCCTACAGGTGTATTTTAATATATTTGGTTTAGCAATAAATTAAAGGATTTCAGTGTCCTCTGGTTCAATCGATGAAAATATTTTTGTAGGGCCTGAAGTGCTTTCACATCAACCCGAAATGAATTTAGAACTAAAAGATTCAGCAGAAAGTTCGACCATCACGCAGGCCTTGGAAAATGATGAAAAGGAATCTGCTTTGCCTTCAACTTCGAAACAATTTCAGGCATTTTTAGTTTTCAATTTTTGATTATTTACAAATTATCAGGAAGAATCTTGTTTGAACCAATTTCAGCAACAGCAAACTACGCGCGTCATTCGTGAGCAAAATATCTCTTCAACAAAGTATCCTTTAATTTCTGATATTAATGATTTTTCAATCAATCTACGTCCTGTTGAAGTCTCAGAGATTGGTATGACTTGTATTTTTTAATTTTTTAAATTTAATATATCAGAATATCCATCTTTGAAAGGGATTGGTGCTTTACCTTTATCAACTGAAATGGGTGAGGCTGAATTACTCAGTGAACAACAATTATTGGGATTTTATTATAATGATCAATTGGAGATTATTGACGATTTTATTGATTCTTTTTATGAGGTAGAATATTTTTAATAAACAAAATTATATTTAATTTTAGAGCGAGTTGGAACCACGTTACAATCTCTATGATTTATTAATTGCATATAAAAATGCTTGTGAAAAAATTCAATCAAATGATGATTTGAAAACCTCAAAACTTGCTGAAACACATAATGTTAATGAAAGAGTTTGGACTATTTCCAATCATAAAGTTGTTCATCAGGTATTTACTTTAAATTTTTTGTTGAAAAAATATAATTTTAGGGTAAGTGTGGCTGTGATAGAGTTGGTTATGGAGAGACTCATTACCAAAAAGCGGAACTTCACCCAGAATTGCTTGTACAGCTTAAAGAGGCTATGGATACTTTAGTTATCTGTGAACTTGATGTTGGTCTATGTCAGAGTGTTCGTGCTAGTTCTCTCGTATTCCAGATTCAGTGGACAATATCAGAATTGAGAGAACGTTTTTACAATGAAAATAATATTTCTAGAGAGTCTAAACTTTTGGAACAATGTGAGATTTTTAGTTTGATTTTTTAAATTTTTAATTTAAGCATCAATAAGACGTGAAATACGAGGTGCATTGTCTGATTTGTTTCATTTTCTACGGTTTCCTCTTATTCCACAACGCTTTCGCCAATCTATAATTAATTGGATAACACAATTGGTTTTTAATATTGTCAAAAATTTTAATAATTTTTATGTTATTTTAAAGGCTGCCATTTTACTTGACGTTCCTAAAAGTGAAGATCAATTCTTTTTATTGGCTCATATTTTAAGAACTCCATCTCCTTTGGAAAACTGGGCTGCTCCTTTGGTTCAAACTTTTTTGACAACACCAACTCTTGAATTAAAGAAACCAATTGACAACTTTGTTGTTATGCTTAACATGTTAATGCAACCAATTAAGCAAGTTTTATTTTTTAGTAAATATGAATATTTTTTGTTGGGGGTTCCAGTCTTTTGGCATAATTATTTTATTTGTGTATTTAATCTCACCTAAATGATCCAAGGTTATTCAGCCTGTTCATTTATTACAAACCTTGACAGTGTAGATCGATCTTTAATCTCATCCTCGTTAATTGATAAAAACAAAAATGAAACAAACATTCAGTAGTATACCTTTGGATTACCCCTACTGCGATAAAATCGCAATATGAGAATTCTCACTTTAATATAATTCAAAATATGAATTTCTTTGTATACTCACAAAATTATTGCCTGCGTCAGTAAATTTTTAGCTTCGTATAATATGTTATTATTACAGATATCGTGATCAATTTTTAATGCCAATCACTCGATTTTATGAAGGAGAAAATAGTTGGAATATGGTCTCTGAAAGTGGAGAAGTGGTTTATTTATTGCTTGAAAAATATTAAATAGTTTATTTAGGACGATGGAAAATTGACTGATATAAGCGAAGCAAATTTAATTGAAGTGCTTGCTCAATTTACTGTGAGACCATTACTTGGCATTGCTTTTCGATATTTTACTTTAATACATAGTAAGGATTTTTAATAAAATCTTGATGGGTTTTTAAATTTCAGAAGGTATTCGACTCCAAATTCTTTGTTCATTGGTTTCTTTTGTTGGCACTCTTATTAAAATTCTTGATGATGGTCTTAACACTTATTGTGCAATGTCTGGATTTTCTAAAAGAATTGCTGATATTATTAGGTAAAGTATCTTTAATAAATAAACAATTTTACTTTTAATTTTAGCAAAATTGTTGTTTGTTTTTGCACATATTGGCGTTTAATTCGGACAGATTTAGAAGATACTGAAAGACGTTTAATGCAAAATGAAGTGAATAGAGTTATGCTACAGTCGATATTTTATCTTACTTCAAAGAATAAGTATTAAAATTTTAATTAAATTTTTCAAATTTTTTTAGCGCAGCTATTCGTCAATTCCTTGTTAATCTTCCATATGACACTATAACTGAAAATTGTCGTCTTCGTTGTCAATTATTACTTCGTGAATTGCCAAATAAAAATTCTACAACAGTTTCTTCTCTTTATTTAATTCCTGATTGTCAATTACTTAATACATTAAAATCTTGTTCCCCATTAGTTGATCAATTAGGTAGTGGCACAAATTTGCGAGAAAGCGATGATATTACTTATACTGTACAAGCTTTAGCGTCAATTGTTTCTCATTCTGAACAAGATGTTTTGCATTTTGTTACTGAATTAATTGATATTTGTTTTCTTAATGAAAATACACGACAAAGTTTATATAAGGTTGGTTCTGAAGCAATGGCCATTTTGCTTGAAAGAAATCCAAATTTGCTCAGGTCTTATTGAAAGTCTTTGAATATATTCTATGTATTATTTTTAGTCCTATATTGAGATATATTGATCGTTATGTGGACCATCTAGATGATTATACCGTTAATATTCTCAAAAATGTTCCTTTAAATAAATGTGTCCTTTCCTGTGAAGATGTTACTGACCGGCTTGGTAAATGGCTTATTCAAAGACCAGTTTATCATCCGGCATCCGCTATTGCGAGGTATTTTTTCAGAGAATTGTTTTTATTAAATTATTAAATTTTCCAATTTGTAGGTTAGTTTTCTCTTCAATGAATTGGTCATCAACATCTGCTGATGTTTTGATCCCTATAGAAGTCCATAATATCTGTGCTGAAACTTTAGTTAAAGTATATATATTTACTTAATTTTCTTATTTTTATTTATTTCTCTTAAAAGGCACATTTTGTTCATTGTAAGCAACGAAATAGTCTTATTTCTAAACCTCTCAACAAAATTTCTCGTTTGGCAACCAAATGTCCAGATCTTGAACAAATGTTTGATAGATTCTGTTGGGATATTTTAATTAAACTTAAAATATCAGAAAATGTTAATTTTACTTTTTTACTTTAATTTATTATTTTATTTAATAGTTGAATGCGCCTTCTCCTCCAAACGATCTCACGGCATTTTTTGTTTATTGCATACAAAAATGTCTTTCTTGGTGATTTTAAAATTAATATTTTTGATGGTTAAATTCATTTTTAGCCCAAATGAATTTGTGTTGACTGGGATTAGTTACTTTTTGGAATTAGTTAATTCTTCATGTCATTATGCGGCTTTGGTTATTTTAGTACGTGCAGTAGCTACATTTTCGTCACGTATTCATTTACTTACGGGAAATTTGATGTTTGTTTATATCCTTAAGTAATTTAATTATTTTTTTCTAAAGATTTTGTGAATGTTTTGAACGCCTTTTGCATGCCGACGACACATCGTATGCTTATAATGCTTTACAGATCTTTACTGGTGGTGATAAATTTCCTGGTCCTGTAATAACTTTTCTCTCTTCGGCAATCATTGTATATTACAATTATTTTTAATTGTTTAAATTAAACTTTTACAGTATCAAATATATACTTCTAACATTCAAATTGAGCAAAGGAGGGAATTAACACTAACTTGGCTTCAATTGTTAACATGTCAAAAACCAAACTATAAATGGAATGATGATAAAAATATTCTTTTCTTAATTGGATGTTTAACAGAATGTGCATTTTTCTTTGACCATAATGAACTTTTTGGAACAATTGAGCTGGTGCAAAAATTATATAAAATACAAAATCAGCAATGGAAGAAGTCTTCTTCTGGTCCTTTCTCTTGGTTTTCATCAAATATTCGCCCTCAACTTATTAGCTCAAATCTTTTTTCTGTCTCAAAATGGGCAACTTATTTATTACTTTGTGCTGAGCAACAAGAATTTTCTGAATTTTTTGCTCAGTTCTACGAATCATTTCCAAAATATTCTAATCGTTCTCTCGAAGATGTTGTGAAGGTTTGAAATTTTTTGTGATGAAAAATGTGTTAATTTTTAGAAAGCTTCTTCAAAATCTGGAATTAATTTTACTGTAGATAATTTACCTTATTTTCGTTGGCTTCAGTTGTGTATCGAATCCAGTGATTCCACAAAAGACTTCAAACATCCTGTCTTTACTTTAGCACTTCAACAATTGGCTATTAATTTATTCCAACGAAGGAAATCTGGAATGTATTTTTTAATTAATTAGTTAATTTAATTATTTTACTTTAAGGACCATTTTCTGTCCGGGTTTGCAATTTTACAAATGCAAGCAAAGTGAAAAATTATTTGATGAATTTCGTAAAAATGTTTTGCAAAATTCTTCTAATGGACATAAAAATAGCAATTCAAGTAGTAATGTCAGTGATGATAGAATTAATCCTTCAACTGCTCCAATTCAAACAAATGCTTTATTAAGAGCTTTTGATTTGTGGATAAGTTCTGAGCGTTGTTTTGAGGCTTCACTACCAATTAGTAGTTATTGTGATTTGCCTATGGATTATTTACTTCAATTAATTATTTCTGGCAATATGGTAATTTTAATGTTTTTCTGTAATAGTTGAGTTAATTTTAGCAAATTTGGGAAGAGTTTATTGATCAAACACAACATGGAAAGTCTCTTCAGCAACGAGCAAACGTAAATATTTAATACACTTTTACATATCAAAGGTATTCCGGAACAAAATTTTCGGAATTAAAAACTCGAAATAAGGGAAATTGTCATACCTACATATACATATACTTATTTTCTGTTTTTACAGCTTTTTGTCAAATTATGTCATTTATCAAATGGTTCTAACGCTTCTTTTAAACAATTCAATAAAGAATATAAAAATTTGACTGAATTCTTCGCTTCATTTGAATTAAACGTCGAAAATATAGATAATGTAAAGCCAAAACCTGTATTGATTATTGATACAAAATTGCCAATTCCTGACAAAATTTTTGATTTTATTCAAAACAAATCAACTTTCGGATTTAAATCTTTTAATCCTTTTACAAGCTTTTCCGATCCTTCATCTGATACAGTTCAGCGTTTTATTTCACGCATGGAAGAATTAAATATTGCTGCCAAGTTTTAGTTCTTTTTTTTTTAAATAAATTTATATTTTTTAGATCATTTTTGGATATAAAAGATTTTGTTGATAAATCAAATTTAACTTATATTGAACTTTTTAAACAATTATATAAGCAATTTGAAAGGAAATTACAAATTACTCTTCGATGTGGAAATATATTACAAGTAACTAATTGCCCAAGACCTGGAATACATGAACAATTGGTTTTGTTTATTTAATATATTACATATTTTAATTTTTTTTAGGTAAAACCTTTTGAATATCAACAAGAAATTGCTGACAAAATGAATGATAATAGACAAAAACGAGAATTTGAGACAGCAAAAATACTTTCTAGAGCAAATCATTTGGCATTAATATCTGCTCGTCTTGAATATCTTTGCACGTAATAGTATTTTTATTATGAAATTAAAATATTTACGATGAACAAAAAATTTAAATTTAATTTATCTAAATTTCACACAACTTTAGAGATCTACGAAAGTATTTTTATTCGTGTTCTACCTTGCCCAACTCATCTTCCAACCTTTCGGATAATGATAGGCAGAACTTCTTGCAAATGGGCCTACGTCTATTCTATGGGATTTGCTCAAATGTTCAAGGGGATCAACTTTTATTTCCAACGGGAATGGATGTTTTGTCTGCTTGTCTGAAAAACCTTGGATCTGTAATAATAATAATAAAATTTGGAAGCTCTCTAATATTTTATAAATAATTTCAGACTTTTATTGCAAATAGGCCTGAAGAGCAAATGAATTTAATGGCTGTTGTTCTTGCAGGAAATCCTCTTAATCATTTATTGGTTGAACATTTTACTCCACATTGTGTCCAGCCTCCAGATTTACTTGCCAAACTTTATTCTAATTTGTCTTTGGCTGTTCGACAACCTAACACTTCAAAAGCTGCACTTTCTTTGCTCCGTCGTTTAGACATTGAACATGCTGGAAGACAGCTGCCAAGCAATCAATTTCAGTCATTAATTCCTGTTATGTTCGAAAATTTGGTTGCATCAACAATTAGTCGAAGCTCAAATGATGAATCTCTACAAGAGCATTGTTTATCACATTATTTACATACGTTAGTTAAATTTAAGAGAGTACCTATTTTTTATAAATTTTAGTATGTTTCATCATTTTCCATTTAATTTCACAAATGGACTTCGTTTGGCTTTGAGTGGCTGTGATAAACATTATATTCCTGTGTCTCTTTTTGATAATATTTCGAAACGTTTAAATATCGACTCAATATTATCAAAAGATTATTCTTCATTAAATCAACAGAATTCAAAGAATTTAAATTCAGAGTTTTTGGAATTAGATGCTGAAAAGGTTTTTTCTATAAATTTTTAGTTACCTAAATTTTTTTAGGCTTTGGAATGTATTAATGTAATTGAAGGTCAATTAATTTCTTCAAGGAGAGAATTAACCACAAGTCTTTTTACTGTATGGTCGCCTTATCTAGAACATATTTGTAAATTATCTGAGTTTTTCCTTCGTTCTTATGTTCGATTTTCTTTTCGTGCTGATGCTCCTGCTGGAATTATGGAGAAAGGTTAAAATTAATTTTTTTATTTTTAAATTAATTAGTACTTTTAAGAATTGGATAAAGTTTTTCATATTTCTCTAAAATGTTGGTCATCATTACTTGAACCTATTCCAATTTCAAACTTACCACCTTGGAATAACAGTGACACTTTAATTGCTTCAAAAATAATTGAACAATTTATTCATTTTCTTCTTTGGCTTCCTCATTCTCTTTATATTCCACCAGATCGTGAATGTCCAGAATCTCTTTTTTGGAATTACTTTACTTCTAAACTTGTCAATGAACAATTTAGAAATGTAAGAAGTAGTGGAGCTCAAAATTCAAATTTGCTCTATATTTATTCTGTTTATGTATGTTTTTGTAAATTAAATTAATTTTTAAAATTTTCTTAAAGGAAAGTAAATTAATAGCATTAAATTGGAGTCGATTTTGGCCAACCTTGCTTGATTTTGGTACTTTTGATCAATTATTGGATTATTCTGATAAATTAACTGAATCTTCTTCTTGTAATAATTATATTACATCTTTAATTGTTGAAATATTTGTTCGGTTACCTTGGCCTGGTCTTGTAGAACAATATTTGTGTGGATATCATCCATTGGATGCAACTCGAACATTTCATTCTTTATTGCTTTCAATAATTGTTAAATGTATTGTAAAAAGGACAAATTATAAAGTAGAGTGTTTATTATTTAATTAATTAATTTGTTTATTTTAAAGCGCTCTCGTGCCACAATGTGCAACAAAATAAAATTTCTTAGTGATAATTGTCAATGGGTTTATGTTAAATCAGAAGCAATTGAAAAGGTCGGAACGTTTCTATCTACTGCTTTTCCAAATTCAGAAGACTGGTTTACTGGAAATAATTCTTTAGACGAGGCACAACAATATTTTTTAGAAATTTGGCGGCAAGTTTGTCATGTTTCTACGATTCCGGTATTTAAAATATAAAAATGTTCTAAAGGGTTATTCGCCCATATTTTTATTTCTTACAACTGGCAGAAAATCCCTTAAGTATCATGCCTGTCATATATTCTGCTAACGAAAATAAGTCTTCGATTTTCTGTGTTTCAATTTTGTCGATCCAAAAAGACGTTCCAAAATCATAAGCATTTGGTCATTTGTAATCGATCCTTTTGAGAAAGATAAAAGAAAATACCATAAAAGAAATGGGGGCGGATAACCCGATAGATCTAAAAATAATATTTATATTATCAAAAATTTAATTTTATGTGCGTTTGCCGTCACAAATTTCTCAAAAAGAATTGGAAATACCAAAAAAGCAGGCAATTTACATTCGAACTCAATTGAGTCTTCTTCTTCGATTTTCTTCAAATACAATTGAATCAGAACAAAAATTAAAATATTATTCTGAACTTTTGGACAAAGCTAATTTTCTTGTTGTTTCTGCAGGTTATAGAATAAAATAATTTTTCAACGCAAAGCATAATTTTTTTCTTTTTACAGATAACAAATTAGAATATCAGGATTTTGTTTGTGAATTTATTAAAATTTGGGCTGAATATTTTAATCAACATCGAGGTAATACAGCAGAGAAAAAGTGCCTTGCATTTATTGAACATTTATATTCTAAACTTACTGAATGGCTGGAAGCTCATCCTGACTCTCCTCTTATACTTCTTTTTGCTAATATTTCAAAAATTTTTGAGAAAATTCCTAATGATTTGGACGATCAATTTAGTCTCGGAATTGCTGAAAGTTGTATAAATGCTTATTTTAAAAGTAAAATTAAATTAATTATTTTTTTTAATCTTCATTTTTTTAAAGAAAATAATAGTATCATTTCTCATAATTGGAGTGAAATTTCTAAATGGGTTCAATTGTCTAAACATCAAGCTGATTTTCTATTTGTTGTTCCAAAGTTGTATTTTTTAGTAAATTAATATTTTCATTTTAGTCCGCGTTTTCTTGTTCTCTACGCATATTTAGAACAAAACAAGTTTAAGACTGAGGAAACTGCTCTATTGGCAAGATTAAAACGGCTTTCTCATTTTCTTTTGAATATTAAGCCAAAGTATTTTTATTAAAATTTAAAATATTTAACAATTATTATTATTTTTAGATTTGTAACCAAATCCGAACCTTCATTTATTCTTTGTGTCCGAGAATGGCAAAGAATTTGTATTAGTCTATTTACACTTCCAAATCCGTCTCTAGTGTTATTCTACAATTATTTTGATGAATATATTAGCTGGCTTCATCGTGTTTATACAGAGGAAAGTGTTAGTGGGGGAATTCTTTCTCTTGTTACAAATAGATTAGCCCGTCGACAATTATTTTCTACAAGGTTTAAATTGAGTTGAAAAATACTAATTTATATTTTAATCATTTTTTCAGACTGAAATTGATTACAAATATTATTCATTTGTTCATTTCTCAAAACTTAACATCTTCCAAGCAATTACCGAGAATTCAACGTGGCCAGCATGTTTTCAACAATAAATTAATTTCTTTCCGAGAATTACAAAACAACAAATCTTATTCAGAATTTAATTTTGTTTTTGGGGAAGCTGAACAATATTTTATTAATTCTTCTAATTTTTGCCTTACCGATGCAGATTCGTTGTATCAACTACTTATTGAAAAGCTTTATCCGGAAGAGAATTGCCTTAAAAAATAAATTTTTACGAAAACTTTTTTTAATCTTCAATCTTTGTATATACTTTTCTTTTAAAAAATTCCTTCCTTTTTTAAAAAAACGAAGTATTTATTGCACACATTTGCTCATTATTTTTCACTTTAAATCATTCCTGTCTTTTACTTTACTTAAAAATTAATCTTTAATTTTATACATTTTACAACAAAAACAATTTTTTATTTTTTGTTTTGTTCATTTTATAGCATTACACTTTTGCTTTAATTATTTCAAATCAATTTTGTTTAATTTTATAAGAAATTCTAATTTACAGAGGACAGTAACCATGTCGACAATTATGTCTGAAAATGTACATGAACGTTGCTCAGAGTTGCCTAATTCTGAAACTCGTGCTTTATTTTCTTGCAAAATTTGTTTTGAGGTATTTTTAGTTTATGCAAGTTTAAGAGAAAATATTTACCTCTTTAGCCTTATTCAAAATGTCTTCGATGTCCCATTTCATTAAACTGTGGTCACACGTTTTGTCTAGTTTGCATCCGGAAGTTGGGTATGAACAAAAGTACTATTCAATGTGGGATATGTCGCAAGAACACTTATGCCAATTATAAACGACTTGGGAAGAATATTGTTCTGACGGGTAATTTTCTTTTATAATATCAATGTTGTAATGCAGCAAATTTATCTAAAATATTTCTAAACTTTAGAACTTTTGGAATGGATGAATATTCTTGTTAATGACATTGATTCTGAACCAACACTTGAGGAAAAATTAGCAGATGATCAACAAGTGGAAAATGAATGGCCGGGATCGCAACATTTTATTGGCCCCGCAAATTTGGAATATTTTTATGAAGAGGTTTTTTAAATTTTCTTATTTACATCCTCATTGTTAGGTTGCAACGTTTGATGCTCTTGTCCACAACTGGCCTACTTATGGTACTCTTCAACGTCGATTAGATAAGCGGGTTCAAGATTTGCGTTGTGAAATGTCTGCAGTAGAAGCGCAATTACGTCAAGCTGGGGATACTTATAGAGATATTTTAGTTAAAGTATTATTTTCTTTTTTAATTTTTCTTTGTTAATTGTTATTTTTTAGTTGGAGGAACTTCGTTCTGATTTAAATAACCAGATAGCTTCTTATCAACTTGAAGAACAAGATGGGCATATTTCACCTTTTAGAGATGGAGATAATTGGGATTTTGATGACATTGGAGGTTGGGGTGGTGGAGGGGGAGGTATGGCTAGCCCCCCACCAGTTGTTTTGCCTATGCCTGTGTTTGTTTTAATTTTTTTAAAGAGATTATTTAAATAATATTTTTTAAGTTCCGATGATAGTGACCGAGAAAGCGCCAATAACCAACGTGAACGTCGTCGAAATAATCATGGATGGAATTACAACAATAACAATCGTAGAATTCGCCCACGGACACAATATCAAGTTTTAGTTCTTTCCGAACATCCAATTACATGCCAGCCATTGCCGGCACGTTCACCTGAAGATGATTGGGGCTCGTCTAGCGGATGGAGTGACAACGAAGACGACAAAGAAAATGGCAATGCCAGGGCTGTCGCTTAGAATTTTTAACTTTGGGGATTGGGGAGTGTCTGAAAAATGTTTTTAGGAGCATTTCATTGAGCTTTGGAATTTTTGTGGATTAAGGATTTCCATAATTTAAATTATTTGGTCCTCAAGACAAATTTTTTTGATTTTAGTGAGGGAAATATTGGCGACAGCCTTGATATTAATGTTGACAGTAATGTGACTACAAAACAACAAGAAGGAGAAACGGAAAATGAGAAACAAAAAAATAAAGACGAGCAAGAGTCAAAAGGAAATGAGCTGGTGGTTAATATATTTTTTTACTTTAAGTATTTTTTTCATCATTTCGGATTTTTTAGAGAATATATTCATGAATAAGGCTTTTTATGAGAATTTATTTGTTTGATGATTAATCTTAATATAGATACAACTATTTTTTATTTCCCCTCCCTCTCAACCTCTCTTAAGCAAAAGGGTTCAAAAATAATAAAAAAAATATTAATTTTTATATAAAGGTGAAAAATCAAGAAGAAGCACAACAATCAACAAGCAATTGCAATTCAAATAATTTTCGACAACATCCTCCACGTTTGCAGCAGCGAGATTATCGTTATAGTTCTCAATACAAGAATTGGTATAATTATAGAAAGAATTATTATCAACGTTCAAATGGTATAAAACAATCAGAAGATGGGACGGCTGAATTGATTTATTATAATGGCAATGGAAATGTAAAGATTACAGACAAAATTTAAATTTTGACTAAGAAATGGTTTAAATTATTTATTTATTTGATTTTTTTTTTGTCTTTTTGGTGGTTTTAATATTTTTTGAAAACTTTTTGTTTTCTCTTTAATTTATTTAACAATTATAGCCAAATTTATATTTATTTTAATTTTTTTAAAATGAACACATTTAAAAATTATTTTAAAAATTCTTTCTCTATTTATTTAAACTTCACTTTTTTGGTTTTAAATTATTTATTGTTTATGGCAATATTTTTACTTTTAACTTTTTATTTTTGTTAGTTATAAATTTTTGAAAAAAATATTTTTCTAAATTATGTATAATAATTATATTTTTAAATATATACTGATTTATGTTTATTATTCATTTATTTTGAATTTTTGGTTGGGTTAGAATAAATTTTGACTTTCTTGCCCTTCAGAACAGAATCTTTTTAAAAGTTAAACAAATGAACAATGAACAGCTTCAAGACTGGCTTGCTAATTTACACGAAATTTTCTTTAATGAAAGCGGAAGAAATCAACGAGAACAAGTTTTTTGAATTATTTTTCCTATAATTTAAAAATATTTAAGGCATTTCTCTCAACCGGCCCAGAAGCTCAAAAATGGAGTCAAATTCTTTCAAAATTGGCACCACAAACGAATATTTTACTTAATTATTTTATGTGTAATTTTGATGATCCTAGACTTAGCGAGCCTCTCATAACACAAATACTTTCTCTTTATTACAAAATTGGTTTGTTTTTGGAATATTTTTTAAATAAATTTTTATATTTTCTAAAATTCTAATCAGGGGGAAGTCCGCTAACCTTTTTTGTTAAATTCCCAAATTAAAAATCCACCATGGAAAAATAAATACTCTGACTATTTAGCGCATAGGAAAATCTGATTTGAATAAAAAAACATTAAAAATTTTCGATAATATTGTTAAATTTCTATATAAATTACACACTCATTTTTAGGTATAGCTCGTTGTTTTGTTCTTCAATTAGTCCCAACATTTATCCATGCTTACCTAAAGGTTTTTTAAATTCCTTAAAATATTTTTAATTTTTTAGTCTTTAACAAAACGTTGGAGTGCTTCAGCAAAAATGTTAGAAATGTTTTTTCTTGCAATTTATAATGAGGAAATTTTAGCTGCTGGCCCTGGTACTCCTTCAATGGCTAAAAGAGTAATTATTAAAAATATTTTTGTGTTATTTTTTTAATTTAGTTTGATGAAGTTTCTCTTCCTTCCCTTCGCCTTGTTCCACACAAAACAGTGACTAACAGTGCTTCCACAGGGCAGAATAATTTAAAAATTGGTGGCTATGGAAATATTGCACAATGTAGTAGTAGCATTCAAATTTGTGTTTTACCTGAAGAAACGACTGAATTAGTTGGTGAAACTTAAATTTTTTGATATTTCTTGAATTGTTTTTAATCCTTACTTTTTTTGGACATACATGAGAAATTTTTTAACAAAATTTCTTGGCAAATGTCCAGTTGGCGGTCTACATGTCCGCAAAGAGAATCCGCTCTTTCTTTCCTTTTTGCATTTTTTGCGTTAGAAAAAGTGGCCGTCATTTTTCCTACATATTTCCTCCGTTTTTCCTCCTTAATACGGTATTTTTCCTTTTCCTACTTGCAGAATAAAAATTATAAAACTGATTTAAAAAATATATTTATTTTACAAATGATAAATTTTTGAAATTTTTGATTATACATAAAAATCAATGATAAATTCTGAAATGTAGTGTGGAATATAAAAACTAGCCCCTATCTTTACTCAATATCGATATCCTGATAAAGTAGAACAGGTGTAAGTCTCTTTAAATATTGTTTAGAAATTTTTTAGCACATTATTTTGGGCTTACATATTAGAAGTCATAGAAAGTTGCTATAAGATAGCAATAACCCTACATTTCAGAATTTATCATTGTAATTTTTATGTATAATCCAAAATTTATCATTTGTAAAATAAATAATTTTTTTAAATTAGAGGTATTGTTTAATTTTGAAAGTAGGAAAGGGAACACATATTGTATTTTGGCAGAAAAGGAAAAATGATTCGAGCATTTCTCCTAACGCAAAATATGCAAGAAAAGGAAAGAAAAGAGCGGATTCTCTTTGCGGACATGTAGACCGCCAACTGGACATTTACCAATTTCTTTAAAAAATTGCATCCCCTTTAAATCTAAATATTTTTAAAAAGAAAAAACAACCACTTAAAACAATTGGAAGTTCAGCAAGATTAGATGGACAAAATCAAAAATTTATTTCTGCAACAACGCCAACAACTTCTACAGGAATAAGTAGTATTGGAGCTTGTAGTTCTACAACTGGTGGATTATTTCAAAGAGTTTGTTTTTAATGTTAAAAAAAAGAGTATTTTCTTTAAATTTGAAGGGTCGTTCAAAAAGTACTGTTCAAATAGGCCCTTTCCCAGCAATTGAAAGAATTGTTGCCGAAAATAGATTTTTGGTGCTTACAAGATTAACTAGAACTGTAATACTAAATTAAAAATATTTGAAAAAAAATTTCTTTTAAAAAAGGTTAATCAACTTTTATCAAACATGGCAACAGAAGTTGTTTGTAGATCTTTATGTCATTCTTTATTATATATTTGTAGAAGTGGATTTTCTTTTCAAGAAAGTGATTTTAGACAAAGAATACTTAAAGAACAGGCTTCTACTGAAATTTTGGCAGATTTTAGCAGGTTTTCTTTTCCAAAATTAAAATTTGTCTAAATTGTTTTAAAAGAAAGTCAAGAATTAGAAGTATTCCTTCACACTTTTTTATTGAGTCAATTAATGGATTAAATTTTGCGTTAATTAATGGTTATGCTGATATAGCTCTTCGGGCATTGGATGCCCTCCATCAACGTGCTCAATACGAATTAATGGCTGATGTTCAATTGGTAAAGGCTTATATTAAATAAAAAAAAATTTGTTTGAATTTTCTTCCGATTTCCGAAAATTTTTAAAAATCTCCGAGTTCCGACATTTTGGGATTTTTTTTCCAATTTCTGACACACTCAATTCCGACTACATTATATTTTTAATTTTTCGTTACTTTATTTAACATTTTCAGTCAACAAATGCTCTCCGTCATATATTATTAGAGTCTTTAACTTTTCAATCCCTTATTATAAAAAGACCAGAAACTTTACAAAATGATCAAAAAGGAATTTTACAAAATGATAATGAGAAAAATAAAAATATTAAAAGAATTAATTCTTTTTCAAATAAATTAAATGGACAAGAAGAAACTAAATTTTAATTAAAAATTGACAAATACTTAATAGAAATTAGAATTTTTAAAAGATTTTTGTAGAATTTTATTAAAATAAAAAAATTAAAGAAAATTTTTATCAAAAAAAAAAGTTTAATTTAAAACAAAATTTTTTTGTGGAGGAGAAGAATAAAAATTAAATAAATAATTATTTAATAATTTAAATAAAGAGAAAGAAAATATAAAAATAAAAAATAAACAAATTAGTAAACGTGGAATTGCAAGTAAATCAATTGAGATTTTTTGTTGGTCATTTTCTATTTAAAGAAAAATTAATTTTTAAATATTTTTAGAAAATACCTGAAGAATTTTTGAGAATATTTTGTTTATTATTACATTCTTCTCTTGGCCACAAAATTAAAATAAATGTTAAAAATAAACCAAAAATTAAATAAATAATTCCCAATTGTCTTTAAATAAATAAAAATATTTTTTTTAATTTTATTTAAATACTTACATTCCTTTTTTACGTGTAGAATTAAAAAACCCAAATAAACAAAATACCCAAATTAAACTTAAAATAACTACACCAATTCCAATACTAAATATTTTTGGGAAAAACATTTTTATTTTTAAATAGATAGGTATTTGAAATTTGAAAATTCGGTAACCATGGAAATATGCATTAAAAATACTATATGTATATCAACTGTACTTTGAAAAGACTTAAATTTTCGAGACTTAAAAATTTGCGAAAAGGGACAACTTTGGAGTGAGTTAAGGCCAAAAATAGGTCGAATAAAAATGCACATTAGCTTCTGAAAATCTACTGGATCCTTTATCCACCTTGGGACTAAAATTACAAAATTTGAAAAAATTCGGTTGGGAGGGCTAAAAGATATAAGATTCAACGAATTCCCCTTATAAATGAGAGAAATTTTCTCTCTGCCCATTTTTACATTCCTTGCGTTTATTTGGAGAGTTTCGCGAATAAACAGGTCGTTTTGCGAATTAATGGGTTTCTCTTGTTATTTCCTGTCTGCCAACAGAGTTAACCTGCTTGGCGACGTTTTGATGACATTTTAAATTTATTAATTTTCTGAACAATTGATTTAACTTAATAAAACCTTTCAATGGGAAATGAATCAACAAAATCTGATGGAAGAAATGTCGAAAATACTTCAAATAATCCAACATCTTCATCTTCAACAACTCAAAGAATTCAAAAAGTAATTAAATCTGTCGGAGAAAAGCCATCTACAGCAATAATTCAAAAAGCTTTAGAACAAGCTAAAAAAAGCAAAACTTTAAATTTAAAAGGGACGGGAATGAAAATAATGTCCCCATTAATTGATGAGGTTTTTTTGGAAATTTTAAAAAATAATTATTTTTATTTTTTTAAAAAAGTTATCAGAAGAATTAAGAACAATTGATTTAACTTCAAATAAATTAAAACTTTTATCCCCTTCAATTGGCAATTTTGTTATGCTTCGACAATTACATTTAAGTGAAAATAGATTAATTGAATTGCCTGATGAATTGGGGTGTTTGAGGAAATTGGAAGTTTTGAATGTTTCTGGAAATTATTTGGAAAAAGTTTTGTTTGTTTATTTCTTGGTTGGAGGGATGTTTATGTTTTTTTAAATAATTTTTTGGTATTAAATTTGGGATCTGAATTCCTAATTATTATAAAAATTTTCCTAGTTCAAAATTCCATCGTTTGGGGTATTTCCTAATTTTTCCTTTATTTTCTGATTTCCAATACCTCCATCTTTTCCACCTTCCTTTGGTATTAAATATTTAAATATTTTTCAGTTACCCGAATCATTAGCCGGTTGTTCATCACTTTCAAATATTTCCGTTTCAAATAATCGGTTAAAAGAATTTCCGATAGTTTTGACTTGTTTAATTAAATTGGAATTGCTGGATATATCTGGAAATACAATTACTGGACTTCCTAATGAGGTTTGTTAATATATTGCTTGTTTATGTCCAAGATATATTCCCAGTTTTAGAGATTGGGTTAGCTAACAATAAAGTATAGTTGACTAAGAACTTTTTAATAAAAATTAGCCTTAATTAGTAAAATTTAAAATCGAATAATTTTAAAATTATTTAAAAAAAAGATTTGTAATTTGCGGGCAATTGAATTAAATTTACAAAAAAATCGTTTGGCTTCATTAAATGCTTCAAATTTGGAAAAATGTGAAAGACTTAAAACACTCAGAGTTGATGAAAATTGTTTGGTTAAAGAATGCTTTACTAATGTAATTTTTAGTTTTTAATTAATTTTTAATTTTAATTCTTTTTTTAAAAGGAACTTTTAACAAATTCACAAATTTCTTTAATTTCTTTTGATGGAAATTTGTTTCAAGAAAGAGAATTTCAATCACTTCCAGGATATGAAAATTATGAAAAACGATTTACTGCAACGAAGAAAAGACTTTTTTGAGAGAGGATTTTTAAATTAAATACTTTAACATTTTCAAATTGCCGGGCTCGGAATCCGAGTTGTTTTTCTTCTAAATTGATCCGTTTTTACATCCGGGCCTAGACAAATTTCTTCATAATTTGGAAAAAGTCTTTACATTCATAAAACCAGATTTTATTAAAAATACCGGATTTTATGGTTACCGGCCCAGAGAACCGATCCTAGGCCCGGCAGTGTCGAACTCTCCAAAAGATATATTTTTTGTAAATAAAAATATTTTAAATATTTAGTAATTTTAAATTGAAAATACAAAAATTGTCAAAATTATTTTTTAAGATAGTTTAGGCTCTACAAATTTAATTAAAACTATATTTATTTTTATAAAGTACAAATTTAATCAAAAAAATGAAAAATTTCTATAGAAAATGGGGAAAATACAAACATTTTAAAAATTGAAAAAAGGAAATAATTATTTGATATTTTTTTTAATATTTAAATAAAATCAATCATCAAGTAAATTATTTCCTTTTAATTTTAAACGGAAGAGAGAGGGATATACTATAATTTTATTTGGGTAAAATTGAGAAAGAATATTTTTTAAAAACAATTTAATTTTAATTTAATAAGGCACCCTCCAAAAATTATTTTTTTTCTTTTTATTTTTCGAATCTTTAAATTTAATTTCAGTCAGAAAAAGACACATTTTGGCAATCACAAAATATAAAATTAAGTTTCGTTGCTATACAAAATTAATTCCCCTCCACAAAAATTTCATCAAATAGGCCCAAGAACCTAAAAAATAAAAATAATTTTTAACCAAAAAATTATTTATTAGATTAAATTTCCCTCTTTTCCCCATTCTGTTTTTTCCCCTAAATTTTCTTTTCATTTGTTTTCAATTATCATACAAAGATAAGAGAAATAAAAAGTAAATTTTTGTACTATAAATAAACAAGGGGAATTTTGCACGTGAAAACCAAAAAATAAAAGAAAGTATTTATCTCAACATCTAGAAATTAAATTTGGGTCTCCAGATGTTTGTTATACCCCCCCCTTTTTCTTTATAAAATTTGAATTTTTAACCCTTATTGAATATCTTAGGGGTTCTTAAATTTTTTAAAATTAAAAAAACCAACTTGGCTAATCTTCAATCTCCAATAATAATAAATGAAACGATAAAAGAAGAAAAGAGTAACCAAAGAGACTAAACCCAAAATTATATATTTAAATAATCCAATATTTTGTTTTGAATAATTAATTGCCAACTAAAGAAATTAAAAAATTAAATTTAAAAAAAGAAAATTAAAAAAACTATAAGGCCAGCAAGAATTAAAAGAAAAATAAACATAACAAAAAAATTCAAAGCAGCACGAGAACGAGCAAAACGAACACCGACAGAAGAACTTTTTTTAATTTAAAAAATATTTTTAAAAAATAATTCTTTTAAATTTACCAATTTTTACAATGCGGACAATGGGCAACAGCATTAGCAAGTGTATTAAACATAAAAACCTCAGCACAATGAACACATTGAACTCGGCAAGTACCCGCGGGGGCACGAACTTTTATATTTTTTAAAAAAACAAATTTAATTAAAAAAACCAGCAGTCCCAACGGGAGAAGATGCAGCCAAAGTAATTACTCGACGACAATTTTGACGTGGACAGGCAATTCTTGTAGAACTGGCTTTACAAACTAGAAGACAATTACAAGGACAACGAACATATTTTTTGCCTGGTGGGGCTGCTCTGATTGGAGTTACCTTTAAAATAAAATTTTTTTTGGAATTATTATTTTAAATTTAAAAACTAATATTTCGTTTTAGTCAAAAAATAAAGAAAATCTTTAAACAAAAAATGAAAGAAAAACCTCATGACATTGAGAGCACCGAACAACTTGTTGATTTGTTTTGCCAACAAAAGGAATATTTGTTTCACAAACACGGCAAACAACCATTGGACCTAAAAAATATACAAATTTATTTAAAATATAATTATAAAACAACCATTTTGTGTTGGAGTATCTTCAGAATTAAAATCTTCTTCCCCGTCTCTTTGAATGTCTATATTTTCTTTTTGTTTTGGATTTTTAGTCCCATTATGTTGAATTGGTGACCCACTAATATTTGGACTTCTTAAAGAAGGCAATTCTGGATTTTGATAGGAAGAATTTGACAAAACAGACTAAAAAAAGATTTAAAAAAATACTTTTAATTAAACTAACCCCATTTTGTTCCAAATTATCTGTTACAGGCAATTCACCAAATGGTCTAGCTTCTTCTCGACTTGAATTAGTTTCACTATAAGCATTTAAACTTGTATTTGCAGCTGCCGATTTAAGTAACGGGGAACGCTCATTACCGCCATATGACATTTTTAAAATGAAAAAATTAAAAGCTAAAGGAAGAAAAGTAAATTTTAATGCACGTGTGAAATTTTGTAATTATTTTTGGCCAATTGCCGTACTCTGAATTAAATACTCTGAATTAGTGCCTGGCAAAATCAGGCCATAGTCGGCCCGGTGCCGAGCACTAATTTTTAAGAAAAAATTTTTTGTTATTTAGAGAGAGAGACTTATTTTTAAATTTACGCCTTTTCAGCGTCCTTTTTTTGGCTTTCTGTTTTTAATATTGATTTTTTCTGTTATTCTCTATTTCGTGCCCGCTCAACTCATCGAATCCTTAACTCATCGAATCGGCCAAAAACGCTCAACTCATCGAATCGGCTAAAATTCCTTAACTCATCGAATCGGCCAAAAACACTCAACTCATCGAATCCTTAACTCATCGAATCCTCAACTCATCGAATCGGCCAAAAACGATCAACTCATCGAATCCTTCCAAAAGGGGACGTTTGAGTCCCCGTGTTTATTTTTCTCCCGAAAGGGCTAACTGAATCTTCGGTAAAAAAATTTTTTGCTGCTATGGAGGCTAGGAAAAAGGCCTTTTGGGCATAATCGGGGTCTACTGGACTAATCTGGTCCGGTTTTACCCGGTAAAATCTCCATCATAATTTACCAGGAATGTGAGAAAACATTCTCATTATCTGATAATGTTTTCACTGGCCGGATAGACATGGATGAGTGCCCGATCAACTAATTAACAAAATTAGTTGAAACCCCAGAAGAAAACAAAAAAAATAAACAAAACAATAGAAATCTAAAAAAAATAAACACACGGACTCAAACGTCCCCTTTTGGGAGGATTCGATGAGTTGATCGTTTTTGGCCGATTCGATGAGTTGAGGATTCGATGAGTTAAGGATTCGATGAGTTGAGTGTTTTTGGCCGATTCGATGAGTTGAGGATTCGATGAGTTAAGGATTCGATGAGTTGTAGGGTAGCCCTCTATTTTCTTTACTCTTTTTAGACCACTCGACGAAGTGGCTTGTGTCGTTTTGAAACTAAAACGACATTTATCGCCAAGATGGTAGGCGCTAATTACAAATTCGATTAAAATTTGGTGCCTCACTTGTAGATTGGCCTTGCCTGTAGATTAACTTGCTGTTTCTTTTACAATTAAACAGGAGCAAGGTTGGATTTTTAAAAGGGGTCTAGCCATGGGCCCGGACACTTCGAATCCACTGAGCTGGTTCCGGCTTTTGGAGTTGGGGGTTATCTCACAAAAGATATTCCGACAAATGTCATAACAACGTACAATCATTTCACATTCCATTTGTCATTGTGTTCCGTTAAGCGACTTCAAAATTAAGTGGCGATTGACTTCGAAATCGCTATCGCTTTGCAGAATAGGCTAAACCTTGGTAAACAGGCCTAGAGAAAAACTCCTTGTACACAACCCAACAGCCCTCTAGTCAAGTCTCCTACATTTTTTTCAACTTTTAGCATCAGACAAACAAGTAACTGGTTATGCGTTTTTGATTTATCTTAAAGAAGGCTTTGTGCAGAAACTCATTTCAAGTGTTATCGTGAAGGGGACCATTATATACTCTTATTTGGTGAGGCTGACCGTGAAAAACCCGTACAGATTCGACCATGGCGTTTGACAGATATGGACTATATGCCTCGAGTTTTTTGCACGGTTTGTTTTTTTGCTTTTATGGCTCTTCGGCTTCACTAGGTCCGAGTTTTTAACCTAAAAATGTCAAGGAACCAAGAATGTATTTTTGAGTTTCGGTCTCCGGTTTGAGTTTCGGGTCGAAATGGGGCAGGGTTTCCGGTAACTCACATTTCTGATACGTTTTTGGGGCCACTAAACTGAAAATACCAAAAAATATTTTTATTTCAGGTTTTTATTGGTGAGTGCCGTGGCCAACAAATCGAGGCTTTTGTTCTTTAAAGTCTTTATGGCTCAGTTTGCTATGCAGGCATTAATGGGGACCCAAAATGAAATATCCCAAAGGAACTGCCGAGTTACTTTCAATACTTTTAAATCTTATGTTGCTGCGATGTCTGGCCGTTTTGTTAATATTCTACATTAGGATTTCTGGTTTACTTTTGCTTTTAGTTTTGTAATTAAACTCTTAACTTTTAGCTTGATGCTCTCTTGTGTTCTGCAACAGCAAGATTGGCTCTCCTCCTTTTTAGGGGTGGGGGTACTATAGGACCGGACAAAACTTGCTAATGAATGATCTTTAAACCAAATTTAATAAATGTTTTTTCAGTTTTCTTCAACTCAACATCAATATCGTGCAGGTTCAACCTTTCAACATCAACAAAACGTTGGTTTAGTTTTTTAATTTAAAATCAAATTTTACTTTTTAGTATATGGAGGACTTCCCCCTTCCACGGGCCCTTTCCCCTACGAACTGTTCAGTTCAGGATTCACATTCTGACAAACAGTTCAGTTCAGGCTTTTTCAAACATTCTGACAAATTGTTCAGTTCAGGAGAATCTGACAACTTGTTCAGCTCAGGATGAATCCTGGCAAGTAATTCAGTTCAGGAGACTTCTGACAAACAGTTCAGTTCAGGTGAATTCTGACAAACTTCAGCTCAGGATGAACTCTGACAAACAATTCAGTTCAGGAGAATTCTGACAAACTGTTCAGTTCAGGATGTATATTCTGACAAACAGTTCAGTTCAGGAGGATTCTGACAAATTGTTCAGTTCAGGAGGAATTCTGACAAAGTTCAGTTCAGGAGGAATCTGACAAATTGTTCAGCTCAGGAGGATTCTGACAAGTTGCTTGTTCAGGAGGAATTCTGACAAACAAGTCAGTTCAGGTAATTCTGACAAGCAATTCAGTTCAGGATGCATCGTCCAAACCCTTTCTATTTGTTAGGTTAGTCTGGGTCATTCAAGTCCTCCAGGTAGTTCGACAACAACAACGTCAACACTCATCAATGACCGACAAACTGTCAGCTGACAAACTGTTCAGTTCAGGATGTAAATTCTGACAAACAGTTCAGGAGGATTCTGATAAATTGTTTAGTTCAGGAGAATTCTGACAAAGTTCAGTTCAGGAGGAATCTGACAAATTGCTTGTTCAGGAGGAATTCTGACAAACAAGTAGTTCGACAACAGCAACGTAACACTCATCAATGACCGGCGACTTCCAAAAGTTTGTTTTTTTATATTTTTTAGACAAGCAAGTTTTGTCCGCAAATTTTATGGGGCCTAAAAGTAAATAGTTTTGAGTACTTAAAGTTTGACCTTGTTGAAAAAGATATTTCCATCGGATAATCCTCTTTGACCCTATCCCGAAAGAAGGGTCGAATCGTTTTTTTTTCATTACTTTTTATTAGTTTATAAAAATGGTCAATTTTTCTTAAAATTGATGTATGTTGATGTTTGCTTTGAGGAAAAATGGTGACAGATGTTAACTTTTTATATTTTTTCCTTGTTGTTTGTCGGACGGACTCGGAGACACAAAACACGGACGACCAAGACAGACAAAACACAGACGAACAAGAACAGACAAAACACAGACGAGTACGGACGGACCCGGACAGACAAAACACAGACGAGTACGGACGGACCCGGACAGATAAAACACAGACGAACACGGACGGACCCGGACAGATAAAACACAGACGAACACGGACGGACCCGGACAGACAAAACACAGACGAGTACGGACGGACCCGGACAGACAAAACACAGACGAGTACGGACGGACCCGGACAGATAAAACACAGACGAACACGGACAGACAAAACAAGGACGGACACGAACGGTCGGACATGTGTCCGTGTTTGGTCCGTCCTTGTTTTGTCTGTCTGTGTTCTTCTGTCATTGTTTGTCCTTCTCCATTTTTCCTTAAGGCAAACATCAACATACATCAATTTTAAGGAAAATTGACCATTTTTATAAAGAAATAAAAAGTAATGAAAAAAACGATTCGACCCTTCTTTCGGGATAGGGCCTCCTCTTTTTCGTAAATGATCTGATTAAATTATGTGAAGAATTATGATCTCTACACTCGAGGTTTGTTTTGATTATTTGGTAATGACGAAATCCTTTTTATAAAATAAATAATACTACAACATTGGCACAAGCATATGCTCAGCGAAAGAAACAAAAACCGAGGCGAATCAAATCGTGTTTTTAAAATCAAATTTTTTTTCGTCCCGTTTCTGAGTGGGCCCTTAACTAAACTATATCCAAAATTTTTTATACGTACATAAACATACAATTATAAAAATTAAGTAAACATTTATTTACATACATGTTTTATATTTTGAACAATAATATCCATAAAATACACATATTTAGAAATACTACATAATTATACAAATATATTTATTATAATACCTAATGTTTTTATCTTATATATTCCAACTAATCCTTCTCATCTTTTCCATCTTCCTCTTTCTTCTCATTTCCTCCTTCATTCTCAACTTTATCCCCACCATCATTCTTCTCATTTTCATCAAATCCCATAGCCGTTTCTCCTCCTCCCCCAGCCTTTCCTCCTCCACCTCCTCCATCATTCGGAAACAGCTCTTCCTCTCCTGGCAATTTCGAATAATCTTCATTAGCGGCAGCACTTTTAGTATCCAATCCTTCCAGGTCTTTTGAAGCTTTCTTTGAACGCTTATTACTTTTGTAGCCACTTTTCTCTCCCTTTCTATGCTTCCCTCCTCCTCCTTTTTTCTCCTTAAAAATTAAAAGAATATGTATTTTAAAAATTTATATTAAATAATTACCCCAACATCTTCTACAGCTCTCAAGAATGCTGGAAAGTCATAAGGATTTGGCCTTTCCTTTGGATTCATTTCAACTCCCCAACTTGCCCAATCAATTTTTGATCCAACCATGTCTGCTGCCCTTTGTCCATAAACATCCCTTTGAAAAAAAAATAATTATTTTTTTATTCCGAAACTTATTTCTTTACCTAACTTTCTTAATTATATTCTTTTCGGTAATTGTCGTTACTTTGTCTTCATCCGTATTTAATTCAAGAATTTCTTGTTCCGTTTGTGCCTTATATTTCAGATATTGAAGAACTTCCGATTCTTTCTCCTTTTTAGGATTTTGAGGATTCTGCTCATTTTGAGGATTCTGCCCCTCCTCCGTAGGATTTTGCCCCTCCTCTTTAGCATTCGGCTCCTCCTTTTTAGGCTAAAAGATAAATTTATTAAAAATTAAAAAAAATAAAAATTCCAAACCTCTTCTTCCATTTTTGAAGAAACAACGAGAACAATGAACAAAAGAAAGAGAGTTTGGAAAGAGAATGGGTGTTTTTGTTTTGAATGTTTTTGAAGAAATTTAAATAAATCTTTAAATTTGTTTTGTTTTTATACTAGTAAAGCAGCTGGGCTATAACTACATATTTCTCTCCTTCAGCTAGTGCAAAAGGTTATTCGGCGGCTGGGAGCGAACCAGCATCTTCAGTAGACCGGACTGATGTGTTAGGAATTAAATGGCTATATGGTTTACGTACTAATCTTTATTTTTTGCTAAATTTGCATTAATATGAACTAATTTTTAATTTATTAATTTTTAATATAATCCTTATTTTAGAATATTTAAAAAAGTGAATATATAATTCTTTTAAAAATTAAAGAGAAATACAGTAATTAATGGCAAAACTACAAATTGAAGAGGAGGAGGGGGGGTATCTAAAAAAGGATATAATTAATCTTACAATTTTGCCGGTCTCTTGAAGTAGTTTTTGACAATAACTGACTGTAAATATTAAATAAACTATTTTCTACCGGTTATTTAAATAAAAAAGAGAAGAAAAACAAAATTTTAATTAAGAATATTTTGCAAAATGGAAACAGAAAAAAAAGATTTTTTGGATCAATCACTTCTTCTTAAAAATTATAAAATCTGTTCCATTTTCTATTAAAATTCTGATTAAATTAGAGAATAGAGTTGGAGAGAGAATTTTGGGGGGATATGTGTGTTTGTTTAGTAAATTTACAAAAATAAATTTTGAAAGAAATAAGAACAAAATAAATTTTTTAATTAATTAAAATGCTTGGCAGTAAAATATAAATATTCTTTCGATTCCAAAAATATAAAGATTCTTTATTTCAGAACTAGAATTGCAGTTCTTGAAATCAAAAGAATATCGGCAGTGAGAAAAGAAGAAGAAAATATTAAAGCTATATATTTTTGATTAAAAGTTTGGGAAAAGATTGCCGGGTTAAAAAAAAAGAAGAGAAGAAAGATCAAAAATAATTAAATATATTCTCTAAAATATGGGCAGTTAATGTATGTTAAATTAAAAAAATATTTCCTTTTTTTATCCATAACCTTCTAAAGGATCTTCTAAATGTTTATTTTGTTCATAATGTGGTTGTATTTTAATTAATTCTGTATTTTGTATATTTTGATTAGATTCACAAGCTTTATCACAGGGGTGGAAACCTGATAATTTAATTCTTCCAACCTTTTTTTTTTAAAAATTAAATTTAAATAAAGTCCAATTTTTACTTCTCTTTTTGAATGCCATCCATTTCTTCGTTGTAAATTATCCTTAAAATTTCGTGGGCGACGAAGAAAACGAATATGAAAGGCAAAAGGGGAATAAGTATCCATCCACTAAAATAAATAATTTTTAAATTAATTTTAAAATTTACAGGTTTTAATTTAAAACATTCATTTAATTCTTCATTATTAAACGATTTTAAAGTTTTAGTTGAAGTTGTTGCCAAAAATTTGTCTAAAACACATTCACCTCCTTCATACATATTGCAAGTATATAATAATAATCTTTAAATATTTAAATTAAAAAAAGAGAGTGGAAGGGGGGAGGGGGAGGGTCTTCAAATTCTTCAACGTCTTCAAAATTAACTTGAAGACGTTGTTGTTTTTAATATTATATTAAAGCTATCCCCACTCACCCTCCCTACTTATCTAAATTAAGTGTGGATGTTATTTTGTTGTTTTTAATTAAAATAACCTCCTTAAAATAATTAATTAATTACCTGGTTCTTTTTCCTTCAATACGAAAATTAACTTGAAGACATTGATTATCTTTAAGTAAATAAATAGGTGTTCGTTTATGTATTGATATTTGATTTGCCAAAAAGTTTATATCGGCGTGGATATCAATTAATTGAATCTTTAATTGAAATATTTAAAGAATTAAAGAATTTAAGGAGGGCATTCAACCTTTTGCTAGTTAATGCTAACACTATCTACTTGAAATACTAATTGAGATATCAAAGCTAAACCCCCTCCCTCTCTCCTTACTTATCCTAAATTAACTTCCCTCCTTCCCCTTTATTTAAATATTCTCTCCCTTTTTTTACTTTATCCATAGTTTTTGGTGTTTCTGGAGTAGGTAATTGCCAATCAACAGATAATGTTTGCTTTTTAGCCAATTCTTTTTTCCTTTTCTTTGCCCTTTCAATTTTTTCTTTCCATTGAGTATTTATTAAATTATTTTCATTTATTATATTCTTCTTTTTAAGTCTAAATTTTAATTAAATTTTTATTAAATTAATTTAAATAATTAACCCCCCCCCTTACTATAAAATATAAAAACATTTTTTGTTGAAGAATTGTCTCTTATAATTAGGTAGGGGATGGGACGTTTTGAAAAAAAAGTTGGGTCGGGTTTTCAAAAATTTCTCAAATCGAATTTCGAGTAACTCCCCCCCCCCATTCCACATTAAATAAAAGGAAATTATTTGGTGTATGTATTTTATATATTATAGTAAGGATCTCTTTATAAATAATTACCTAAATGGACTTATTTGATCAATTAAATGTGGAGACCAAAAATTTGTTGAATTATTATTTTTAATTAAATTAATTGTTTGGATATTAATTAATAATAAAAATAAAAAAATGAAAATTAAATTATTATTAAACATTAAAAACTAAAAATTAAATATTTATTTATTTAGAAAAAGAATGGAAATTGACTAACTAATAATTAGCAATTTAATTTTAAAAATATAAATTTATGGGTTTAAATAAAAGAAACAAAAAAAGAGAGAAAATAATTTTTAAAAAGAAAATAAATATTTAAATTTATTTTCTAAATTTTGATTCTCCCCTAAATAAGCAAAATTAATTTAATTTTTTTAAAAGATTTTTTAAAAATAAAAGAAAATTTTTGGAGAACAAAGAAACAAAACAAATTTATTTAAAAAAGATTGATCAGACTTTTTTGTAAAATATTTTTAGTAAAAAAATATGAATGAAATTTGCATTTTATTTATTTTTATTTTAAAGAAAAGGAAATAAAAGGGGTGATTGAAATAAAAAAAAAGTTTTTATTTAAATAAAAATAGCTAATTGATGGATATAAAAAATTGTTAAAATAAAAAGAAAAAAATGCCCCTTTTTTGGAAGAAAATAGAAAAAAATACAAAATTAAAAAAAAAAGAGAAAATAATCTGTCCCTAAGGGAAAATAAATTTAAAAAAACAACAAAGGTTTTTTAGTTTTTTTTAAATATTGTCGGGATTACGTAATTTTCTAGGCAATTGTGGGGAGAGGGAGGAAAGGAATATTTGAGGTGTTTCTGGGTAGGAAAAGGAATTGGATAATAATTTAATTAATTATTCTAAAATATATATACAATCTCATTACTGGAGAGATGAAAAATTGTTATCCTATAATTTCTTTTTATTAAATAATCACTTAGTAGTCCTCCTCATTCACCAAAATATACCTATCTTAAATAGAGATTGTAGACTGTAAATATTTTTATATATATTTTTTTGATTAAAAAATCATCCTTTACAAAAATTCTTTTAATTTATAAATAATTATTTAATTACTTCACAATATTTTTTAAAAAAATATTTGTGTCCCCATCTGTCAGTCTCCCCTCCAACTTTTTAAAAAGTATTTGAATTGTTTTTGTCACAGAAAAATGAAAGGGAGAGAAGAAAAATAAAACTTTGAATTAAAAAAAAAGATTGGAATTTTATATTTATTTTTTTAAATGTCTAGAGAGGAAAGAGTAAATAAATTTAAAAATAAAATTCAGCTGCAAATTAATTTAAAAATAATTTTAAATTAATTTTTAAATGGCTTTAAAAAGGAATTAAAAATACAGAAAATTCTTTAAACAAAAAAGAAGGAAATGCTTGGCTTTAGGTCAATATACTCTTTTTTTTCTTCTAATAATTTTTGTATGATTCATTTTTTGATTTTAAAAATAAAGAGAAGAATATAGAGGGAGAGAAAAGTATATGTGTATTATTTCATGAATAATTAAGTGTTAAATATATTTTTTTTGAAAATGATTGGAATTTTTATTTAATATCAAAACAAAAATTTAAAAATATACTCTATTAATTACCCTCCCTCAATAGTCACCCCGCCTCTATTAATTACCCTCTCCCTAGAGAAGTCGAAACATTAATTACCCAGGGTAATTAATATACGGTATGTGGCAAAAAAGGGATTAGTTATTTATTATTTCTATTATCTTCGTTTTAGGGCCGAAAAGAATATATCCATAATGTAAAGCAAATAACCTACATATACTAGCAATTTTTTGTAAAAAATAAAAAGTAATTGAATCGTATGGGAAATTCAAGGCGAACTTAAAACCTAAAATTAAATTCACTTCAACTAATGTGAGAAAAGCGACATTGAAAAATTGTTTTTTTTAATGCTTCTTCCACTTTATAAAATGACAAACAAAAAAAGATGGCAAAATGGAAGAATTTATTTGTGTATATACACGTAAGAACATTTTATTTTTACGAGAAAAATTGAAGGATTTTTTTTGAAAATTTTGTTGTAAAGCAATGAATGGGCGGAAGCTTTCAGAATTGAAAAGAAAGGGCAAAAGGGTAAATGAATAAAAATGTAAAAAAAGAAACGGACGCGTGTAAAATAAAATAAAAAAAAGAAATCCTCGAAAAAAACATCTACAAAATTCCAAAAAGTGTTAAGGCAAAATAATATAGAGATTACCTCAAGATATTAATTGAAATCTATTATCAATCAAATGGGATAACTGTAAAAAGAAAACATTTTTATAGCCAGAAATTATTTTTCTGGTTAAATTATTTTTTAACCAAAAAAGAGAACATTTTTTAACTAATTTTAAAATTAATTTTGTGTTTTAAAGTTGAATAAATTATTTTATAAAAATAATATTTTTATTTTTATATACACAAAAGTAAATATTTGAAATAAAAATGTTAATATAGACAGCAAGATGGGCTTTAAAAATATTTTTTTATTTTAAGCGCAGGTGGCAGGGTTTTTTATAATAAACTTTTCTTCACTTATTTTATAAATTTCTATTCATTAAAGCCTTTTCTTTTTTGATATAATTTTTGTTGTTGAAGTATTAATAGGGGCGGCAAGTAATTCTGGGTTTGTTACCATCACCTGAGTAAAAAGAATTTATTTTTTTGAAAAAAATAAAAGGCAGAATCTTTCTATTAAAAAATAAAATTATGACTAATTCATTTCCAAAATATTTACTCTCCTAAGAGGGTGAGGAAGAATCCTAAAAAGTCCACAAAAAATATTAAAACAAAAAAATCTACCTTTGCAACCAATTTATCTGTGTATTCCTCCAAACTTCGAATTCTTTCTTCTTTCTTCATCAACTCATTTCTCAAATGTTTTATCACATTAAGTAAATAATCAGGCGAAGTATGTTCATTCTAAAAGCCGGAAATTTAAAAAAATCTTTTCCCTAAAAAAGAAATTCACCAAAGCACCCAACTGTCCAGAGCCAAGAGAAACAAATCCAGAAGAAGAGCCAAGGGAATCGCGGCGATTTAGTTTGTCAGCAAAATCAGGAAATTCCGATAATTCTTGTCTTGTTAAATTTTGTTTTTTTGAGGAACTGTTGCCTCCAGTTAATCCACGCAATTGAAGTAATTGTTCCGCTTTTTGACGCATTTTTACACGCAATTTGTTAGAAGATACTTGTGGTTGCTGTTAATTGATTAAAGAAAATTTTTAAAAATAATTTATAGAACCTCATCATTTAAAAGAGTCTCCTCTCTAATCAAAGTTGGAGTAACAATAATTCCACCAAAAGCCGAACCACCAGAGATACTTGAACGATTTCCATCTAAATTGAAGTTATATTCTTTTACCAAACTAAAAGGAATTTAAATATACCTATAGAGCTTTGTTCAAAATCAAAACTTTGAGAAGAAGCATTAGGATGAAGATGTTGTTTTTCAAAAGAAGGTAATTCACTTGATGTATTGGCATAAACATTTCTTTGGTCTTTAGCTAAAATTGGCATATTTATTGATAAAATATTTTAAAATTAGAATTACCTCCAATATTACGGTTTGAGCCATTAATTTGAATATTTTGTACAGATAAAGAATTCGCATTTTGATTGGTAAAGGGATGGCGAGGTGTCACTCCAACACCAAAAGTTGTTGATTGTGTAGAAATTGCATCATCGGCCAATTGCCTTCCAATTCCAGAAGTTAAATCATCAGGCAATAATTGTGTTGAGGGATTAGGAGATGGTGAAGAAAGAGCCAAATGAGCGGCAGAATTTGTAGACAAAAGAGAAGAACGACGATGATCATCTGCCCCATAATGATTACCAAGATGGTTATTAATTGAAACAGAAGCAAAAGATTGAGAATCATCTCCTTGATTTGATATTGTATCATCCATACCCGTTGCTTTCCTACCAATTTGTTGCATTTTTCGACGAAGGCAATATAATTTCCCTTCTAAATCCACAATTTTGAAAAATAAAAATATTTTTAAAAAAAACCTTTATCAATTTTATTTAAAGACATATTAGAGACAGATGTAGCCCCGCGATTGCCGAGTGAATTAAAAAACTGAAAGCCCAATTGAATTTGCCCTCTGTTCTTATTAGAAGCTGAGGTATGAGGATTAAGAGCACTAAATTAATTTAAAAAATATTTTAAAATACAAATTTCCATTTTTTACCTTCCTGCTTTTGATAATTTAAACCAAGCTAAAGGTTGAACTCTAGGCATCCTTTCTAATTGAAAAATATATTCACCCAATGTTTCTGTTGTGCCAAACGAAGTTTTATGGTTAATATGGATGACTAATTTTGTATCCATTTCGTTGAGTTGACTAAAAAATTTAATTTTAATTAACTTGCATCAAAAATTTAAAACGGTTTTTGTGTCCAATGAACTAGGCAGAAGCCCACTAAAAGGAGAACTGCTACTCTCATTTGACTAATTTGATTTACCTCACTTTTGCACAGTGGAAAACCATTTAAATCGGTCAGCCACCCGGCTTATTTATGAGGATATGCGAGAAAATAAAACATTAACCCGGACAGGGATTGAACCGTTGACCACAACACAACTATGAGCAAACCTCTACCAACTTAACTAAGGTAACGTTGAGTGAGAAATGCTCTTTTCCCCTTTATAATTCATCAATATGATGGCAAATTTTTTCTAATAAAAACGAATAAAAAACAAACAATTCGCAATGTTCATCCCATTTAAGTTCAGCTTCAGGAATTGATGGATCTAGCCTAAGTTGATTTGTGCTCACTTTGCTTTTCCAAGCACCTTTACCCATAGTGGAGAGAGAACAGTAAACATCAACTGCTTTGCCGCCTTTGACGCAAAGACCACGAGCTGAGACAACTGAAATTATAACATCAGCACATTGGTTTTGTAAAATTAAGAAAGTGGAAAAGAATATATACCGTGAACGACCAAAGTATTTCCTGGTGCCGTCATTGATGAAATATAAATGAAAAACAAAAATTAATGGCAAGAATCTTAAAAAATAAGAAAAATAATATTAAATTTGTTCAATATATAATGGTAAAACGTATGGTAACGTTCAAAAAAATATGGTATTAAAAACTTTTTTAAACAAAATTTAAAAATTTAAGGTCATTAAACTATAAAAATATTCAACAAAAATTGAAAATCAACAAAATTGTAAATAACAAGTTGAAGACAAATAATTAAATTAATAAACCGTATATAAATTTAAAAAAGTTGTCTTTGTCCTTGTTTTGATAAAATAACAAAAAAGACACACATTAAGGATAAATGTAAGAATTGCCTGTTGATGCATAAAATAACAAATTGTTATTAGCTACTACACAAACAACAGGCAATCCTTGCTTCTTCTTTCATTTAATTTTATTCTCTCATTTCATTCTCTCCTTCCCTACCAACATTTGGCTCATCCAATTCAATTGACTCATCTCCCCCTCCTATTTCCCTCATTTCAAGATCTTTTTGTAAATAAATGACCATAATACGATTTTTAGCTTCTTTCAAAGTCCACCAACGACCGCGTTTGTGTTCTTGGCCAACTGCACAGACAATATAACATCCATTATATGAGAAGCGAATATCGTTGATAAAACCTGGCTAAAAACGGGAATAAAGTATTTAGAGAAAATATTTGTTTTTGATTTTTAGAATGAAAATACAAAAGAGAAAAGAGAAACAAACTACTCATCATTTTTGTTTGTGAAAGAAAAATATTTAAAAAAAGGAGATTATTTTACACGTGTCAGAACCAATTTTGGGGAAAATATTTTAAATAAATTTTATTATTAAATATTTTATGGAAATCTAAAATAAACGAGCTCCAAAAATATACAAGCATATTAAATTAAAGCTATCTGTATTCTTTCTTTGCATAAAAGTAGCAACAAAGTGCGATATATTATTTTCAAATATACATTTATTTTGACCGGTTCTCAGCTGGCAGAGTGAGTGAATTGATCGGTTATTGCGCTCACTTAAAGTGGAATTGAGGAAAATGGAAAAATAAAATATAGTACAAATAAAATGAAGGAAAACAGGCCTGTAACTAAAGGGGTGATAAAAGTGGGGAATTTCTCTTCATAAAATCAAAATAGGTAGTAATAATTTTGGGAGAAATTGAAGAAAATATAGTGGAAAATTTTTCAGATCAAGAATTTTTCAAAGATTCCCCACTCTGAAATTTTCCGCTAAAAATTTTTGATCTGAAAAATTTTTCACCTAAAATAAAAATACCTAATAAGATTTAAACCAAAAATTTTTGCTGATAAAAATGAATTAAACTAAAAGAATAAACGTTATATTTAAATTCACAAAATGATTGATGATTTTGTTTTAAATTTTTTTGATCAATATTTTGTGAAAATAAGAAGAGAAATTGAATTTTTAAAAGAACTTTGATGAGTGTGATTGGGATTTAAGGAATGTAAAAAAAGAAAAGAAATGTTGACTTTGTTCACATTAATTGGTAACGCCTTTTTGCCCAACAAATTAATCAAAAATAAGGCCAAAGAGAAAATCACAAGATTTTTAATTTAATTATAAAAAATATTTTAAACTGACCACGTTAAATTGTGCAATTTGATCGAGTGATTTCCAATCTTGTCCCACTCTCCATAAACGAAGGAAGCCATCACTGCTACCACTAGCAACTAAATCTGTATAAGGTAAAGCTGCTACAGAACAGATCCATCTGGGCTCTCCCACAGATTTGTTGGCTTTTCTTGTGCTAAAGCAAAAAAAGAAAAGAATAAATGATACAAAAAATAAAAACTTACTTTAAATCTTTCATTAAATCAACATCAATTTCGTTGTTAGAATTTTGGATTTGCGGCATTAAATGAAAACCGTGAGCCTTTCGTTTAACAAAAACAGGCTTCTTTCTTGACATTGACCAAATATACAATGAACTAAAGGTTTTAAGGGTTTTGAAAGAAAAATTGAAAAAAACTAAATATCGGTTAAAATTATTTAAAATTTACCCGTCAGCAGAACCAGAAATAAAATGCTCCTCATTAATTAAAGCAACACAATCAATACTTATACAATCAGTAAAACCATTAAAAACTAGATGGGATTCTTCTATCACTTTAAATAGGCGACAGGATCTGAAGTTTTTTTAAATCAAAATTAGATTTTAATTGAAATTTAAAAGAATTATTATTAAAAACATTTAAACTAACAAAATATTTTTTTAAATTAAAATTAATTTACTTGTCCATCCCTCCACAACTAAGAACTCTTGGCCATTGTAAAATATCTAATTGTTCAATTACATCTTGATGACCATATAATCTATTCATTAAACCCATTTCATCCATATTCCAAACCTTGAAAAAGATTAATTTTTAATTAAAAAATCTTGAAAGTCAACCAAATTTATAATATTAAAAATTAAACAAAAAAATAAAACAAACAATAATTGATCTATCCGTGCTTGCAGAAAATAATTCAATAGAATCACATTTTTGTCTAAACCGAAGAGAATTGACAGGCCCTCGGTGTCCATCAAAATCTTTTATAAAAACAAGCTTTTCAAAGTCCCAAATCCTTAAAAATAAATTTAAAAATAAATTAAAAATAAAATAAACTTTATTAAATTATCAGAACCGCCAGTAACCAAAAATTGATCATTAGGGGATATTTCACAACACAATACTCGTCCTCTATGCAGATTTTCATTAGCAACATGAGAGCATTTTAATTTTAAATTATTTTTATTTTTGGATAAAATAGAAGAGAGAACACCAACACGGCAACGTTTTTTTAAATCATCTAATAAATTTAGGAAAAAAAATTAATTTAATAAATAATTAAACAAACATTTTATAATTGATCCATCTTTTGAACAAGAAACAATAAAATTTCCTGAATGAGAAAAACAAACACAAATTGGGGAAAGTTTGTGAGGACGATAACTAAAAGAATTCTTTTCATCAATTTTAATAGAGTCAGCAATTTTTTGATGAGCTTGTACAGATTTTAACTCTTCTTTTCTTTTTTGTTGAGATTCTAATGGTTCCGTAATTCCTTCAAAATCATCTAAATCTTGACTAGCTGATGAAATCTGTAAATCAAATTTCTAAAAAATAAATTAGTTGGAAAACCTCGATACTTTCAACCAATTTTTTAGCCTCCCGAAAAGTCAATGTTTGATTATCTTCATATTGTGTATCATTTTCTTCAGTCTGCTCAATCTCGTTTAAATTCTCTTCAGTATTTTGATTTAAATCAACACTTTTTTCTTCCCCCTCATCATCAGAAGGAATTTCTTCATCTTCAATTTTCCTTTCATTTTTACCTTTTTGTTGAAGAAATTTCCCCTTTCTTATATTGCCAGTTGCTGGTAACTTTCGTTTTTTGTTGTTTTCGTTAATATTGCGCTTAAAAAATCCCATTTAAACTAAAAAAATAATTTTAAAATTATTTAAGAATTTTAGAAAAAAATAAATTTAAAAAAATGGACTGTTGACATTCTGGGGCGGGTAGGAGCCGATTAGGCGCGACTTATTCGGGCGTGCCCCTTCCATAGTGAACATAAGGGCGCGCACAAAAAAGCTTTTTAATAATATTTTGTCCCATTAATTAGAAAGAATTGAAAAATGGTTTTATTTCAAAAACGTTCTACAGATCTCCAAAAGACAGTTCCATCAATACTTACGAAAAGTTTATCAGCTTCAAAATTTTCTAAATTAAAAATACCGATTGAGGAGGATATTCAAGTTTGTTTCTTCTTATTTTACTTTTCTAAAAGAACTTTTAACTTCAGAAATTTATTCAATGCTTAGAAAACTCGCCACTTTCAGCACATGACGATAATGATCAGAAAAGCATAACTTTTAACAATTTAATGGTTATTTATTTCATAACTTTTAATTATTTATTTTCTTTTAGTCTTTGTCAAAACAATTTCCTAAAACAATTATTTCCTTTCTCCAACCTGCAACATTTTTTCTCGCACACTCAGAATGGCCACCACGTTCATTTTCAGACTTGCAAGTGCCCATCGGAACAATAATTGATTACATTACATTAAAGGCTTCTTATGCTCGAAATCGTATTGCTATGGCTAAATATGATACGTCAGGGAATGGAATTTTAAGCAGAGAGGTTTTTAAAAATAATTATGATACATAAAATCTTTATTTTTAGCAATTTATTGCTTACTATCGTGGTGAGGTTATGCCATCTGTTGATGTGCTAAAGGACCTTGAGGTTCATTATTTTTCATTTTAAATAGGGTAGCTCAAGCCTGTGGTTTTTAATTTTTCAGTTCAGTCTCGAATAGATTAACCAAACTATTTTTTTATAAATTTTTCCTAAATTTTTATAATTGAAATTTTTTCAGGAAACTTTTGAGATTTGCTATATAAATACTGTCGAGTCTTTTTGTTTCTTTTTTCTTGATCCAAAACATTGGGGAAAAATTAGAATTACCGATTTACTTGTCAGTGGTTTCTTGGAAACAGCTTTTGGACTTCAAAACAACTTTGAAGACTACGAGAATTGGTTTGTTTCTACATTAAATTTTTTAACATTTAAGAATTATTTCTTTTAAAGGTTTTCCCCTGAAAAAACTCATGAAATGAATTCACTTTTCCAAATGTTTGATACGCGGCAGAAAAATTATTTGGACAAAGAGGACTTTAAACGAGTCCAAAATGGTTCATTTACATCAGTTTTTATTGAAAGACTTTTTGAAACACATGTTTCTAATGGCGGTTCAAAAATGAGTTATGAAGAATTTGTTATCTTTCAAATAGCTTATAATCATCTCGCTGTAAGTTTATTTTCGACAAATAAATTTTTATAAAATTCTTTTTAGCATCCTTCTGCTTTGGCTTATTTCTTTAAAATTCTTGATGTAAATTCTGATGGTTATTTAGATAATTATGAATTACGTTATTTTTACACTGAACTTCGATTAGCTTACAATGGTTGGTTTATGGATGGTGCAATGCCTGAATTCGGTGATTTTACCGATCAGTTTTATGATATGGTGAAGCCTGCCGTTAATAGAAGGTTTCGATTTTTGTAAAATTTTGTTTAAATTCTTGTTTGTTTTAAAGAATATCTCTTCAAGAATTGCTTGCATGCAAACAAGGACATGATTTTATTCTTTGTTTAATTAGCCATACTGAATTTTACAGATATGAAATGAGAGAAAGTGAAAATGGAGCTCAAGTAAATTTTGAAATATTTTAAAAAATTTATTTTTTTTTAAATTAGGATTCAGAAATGCCGTCATATTGTGGAGAAGATAATTTGGACGAAGTTGAATCAGAAGAAGAAAATTCCGAGAATGTACAACTTTAAGCATTTTATTTTTGATATTGAGAATGATGTATAATTTTGTTTGTAATTTTTTAAATTATTAAAGATTTTTTTGTTTATTTCAAATAATAATTTGTGTATTTTTGCAATATTTTTATTATTTTTAAATTTGATTATTCTTTACATAGCCTTTTTAACGGATTAAATGTTTGCTCGATGTTCTACAAGTATTTTAAATTGCAATGATATTTATTTTGCAAGGATTGCTTACCAAAGTTCAAAAGCTGCATTGAGGTTAGTTATTAGGTTTTTACTAACAATAAGAAATAAATTTTAAGCAAGAACGAAATCGAACGACAGAAAAAGGCGCTTGGCAATGCCAGAGTTTCTTCTCGTATTACTGGGAAAATTAGAAAATGGATAAGATTTTTAAAGGCAGAAAATTCTGCTATTCAAAATTCAGTTATGGAGACGACAAAACGTTTTGAGTCAAAATGCCCTGAACTTTCCCTTTCTGTTTTAAATTCTTGGCATGAGGCTCCAGAAGGAGTTTTTGTTGAATTTTCCTTTCGTAAGGTTCTTTTTGCAGTTAAATGTTATTTTTTAAATTTATTTTAGTTAGAGAGTAATAACGTGCTATCTGAATTCTCTTCTATTTTTAAAAATGGTTCACATGTTATTTTGAAATCAAGAAATGCCCCTTCGACTGAGATTCCAGCCGTTATTGTGTATTTCAGGTAATTTGGTGAACATCATTGTTTTCTATTAGTGACATATTTTGAAAAACTTACTCATAATTATTTTATTCCACGAAATTTTGAATGTGTCTTTTCTCGCGTTTTTCGAAATACTCTAGTCCTTATAAGGAGTTGTAAAGCGGCTTATTTTATATTACAATTGCAACAATTGCATTAAATTTATCTCTTCAATTTTTAGTCATGGGAAATTAAAAGTCATTCTAAAAGGCCATCAACTAAGCCCAAATGCCTTCCGCGTCAACAGCACATGGATATTGAATTTTGCGGAAATTAATTTTTTTGAGCGTTTACTGGAAATGTTTAGAGGTGAAAATTTAGTAGAGTATCCTGGTTATGGACTCTTATTAAAGTCATTCAAGATTGGAACTGTTAATAGAGTTTTGAGAGACAAAACGAAGAATATAAAAATTAAAAAGGTTAAAAATATTTTTTTAATTTCTTATTTTTTTACTTTTCAAGGAATTTGACGAGTCGCAAAAGAGTGCAATTTATGCGGCAATAAATGATAAAAGAAATTTTGTTGCAATCCATGGACCTCCAGGAACTGGCAAAACTAAAGTTATTGCAGAAATTGTTTATCAGGTGCTTACTAAATTATTTTTATTAAATTTTGGAATTACTTAGTTACATGTTTAAAAAAATGTAGAACAATTATTTCCTTTTTTCCTTCAAAAATTCATCAATATTCCCAAGTACTATTTCACTTCTTATAGGAATTTCTTTTTTATTAATTTTCAATTAATTTTAGTCTCTCAAGAAAAATGAACGTATAATTGTATGTGCTCCCTCCAATAAAGCTGTTGATGTATGTTTTAATAAAAAAATTATATATTTCATCCCCCTCCTCCATCCAAAAAAAGGAATAGAACGTAGAACGAGTAGATTTTATATCATAGAAGGAATCGTTTTTGAAACCATCAAAAGCAAGTTAAATTCGGATGATATACACAATTCTCCCCTCCCCTGAAATTGATATACGTAACAATTAAATCGGGAAAGAAAGCCAGACCATTATGCATCTTTTGAGGGAGGAAAATAGTCACAAACATAATTAGCGATTTTATTGAATATTTTTCTAGAATGCTTTAATTGCTTGTCTAAGACGTGGAATCGATGAAAAAGTTTGTCTGCGTCTAGGACTTACAAAAATAAATGAAAATATCTCATCAACACATTTTGCTTCAATTTTTAGACAACACACATTTTATGAAAGTCTTCAAGATTATTGGAACAGAACGGAGAAATTTAATGAAGCAGATAGGTAATTTTATAATTTATTCTTATTATTTTTTAAAATTTTTAGTGAGTATTTTCAAAAATTTGGTGATATTGTATCAAGAGGTTCTAAACTTGAGATGTTTATTAATAGATCGCTGATTAGGGACATTGAAGTTGTAAGTTTGTTATTTTAATTTTACAGAAGCAAAAAAGTATGTTAATAAAGTCTAAAATTGATAATATTAACCTAATATTAATTAGATATAAGCCTAAAAGAATTAACAAATTTTCCATTAAAAATAAAGTTTAAAATTGGGAATTAAAAATAAATTTAGAAAAAAATATTTAATATTAGATAATTTTATGGTTATTTCATTTTTACAATTTTGATATTATTTTTTATTAAGGTTTTCTGCACTGTAACAAATACTTCTCTTCATTGGTTTAAAGAACAGAATTTATTTAACCCAGATTTGATAATTTTGGACGAAGCTGGTCAAGTTACAGAACCAATTTCATGGCAAATTCTCTTACTAGTTTCTTATTTATAATCTAAAAAAATATAAATATTAAAAAAATTAGGGCAAGAGATTTGTTATTGTTGGTGATCACCATCAATTAGATTCTATTATTTTTTCAAGAGAAAAAGGTATCCCATCTGATTTTGTTCCCTGTTCTTTACTAGAGCGATTAATGTCTGATTTTAAAGATAAAAAGGTTTTTCTTGTTAATTTTCTTTTATAGAATTTATTTTTAGGGTTATATTTTTACATTAAATGTCAATTATCGTTCCAATGAATTAATTCAAAGATGGTCAAATAATCAGTTCTATGACAAAATGTTAATACCTTCTGTCAAAACCGAGAAAATTCATATAAATCAAATAACAAAAGATGATAGTTACCAACTTATTGATGACCCTCTTGTTCTTCTAGATACAGTTTGGTTATTTAAATTTATTTGATTATTTTATGAAAATTCTGAAAAAATTATTCGGAAATTTACATTTATTTTTTAAAATTATACTTCAGTTTTTAAAATAAAAAATTAGTATAATAAAATATTTTAATAAAATGAGAATTTTACAATTATTTTTGATAGGCAAACATCGAAAAGGAAGAATTATTAGAATTACAACTAAAATATCCATTCTTGTCACCCATTAGCTTCTTTGATTCAAAGCCTCAAATTTCCTCTTCTTATTATAATTTAGGTTTGTTTTATCAGTCAAACCAAACAAATTTTAAAATTTAAGGTGAAGCTATTTGTGCAGCACATCAGATATTATCACTTAAAAAAGCAGGATTACATTCAAGTGAAATTGGTTGTATAACTCCATATGCTTTGCAAACTGAAAAAATTAAAAAATTACTCGCAGCAAATTCTGATGATTCGCTTGATGTTAGCTCTGTAGATGCATTCCAAGGACAGCAACGTGAAGCAATTGTTATGTCTTTTGTGAGAAATAATAACGTGGAACACATTGGATTTTTGAAGAATTTACGGCGAATGAATGTAATTTTTAATTAAAATTTTTATTTTCATTAATTTTTAAAGGTTGCCATTACTCGAGCAAAACGACAATTTTTTCTAATTGCGTCTTCAAAAGTATTGAAAAAGCATGAAGGGTATACAATAATTATTTTAAAATAAATTTAAAAATGTTTTTAGTTTTAACGATCTCTACAATCTTATTGTAAAAGAGGGACGTGTGATTCGGCCAAGAGATTCATTACTCGATAATTCCATTAATTTAAAAATTCCAAAATCAATTATGGAAGACATTAAAGGAAAAACTGTTGAATCTAAGTCAAACACAATTAGCAGGTTGAATGAAAATAATATCAAGTATTAGGCATTTTTAATTAATTGGAAGAGAGGTTTAAAATAGTGATTGAAATATTGTTGGTATTCACATTTTTATTGTTTTCATGCTGGTATTTACATTATGTTCCTGCAGTAATGCTTATTTCTCAAAACATTCATTTCCTTCAACCAAACTTCATCTTTATTATATTTCTATGCGTAATGAATCATTATTTTTGTACTTACGGTTTTTTGCTTCACACTTTTTAAATTGAAAATTTATATAGAATTATAAATTTGTTTTTAATTTTATCGGCAAAAAATAATTTTAAAATTTTGTTTTAGAACATATCTTTGTTTATGTTTATTAAAATACATACTTTTTTCATTGAATTTCCAGATATGTTATCAGGCTTAAATAATTTTTTCAAAACAAATAAAAGAAGTTTTCTACAATTAAATACAATTTTACAATATTCAAAGTAATTCTTTTAAAATTTATAATAAAATATATTTTAAGTTTTAAATATTCATCAAACACATCCTCTTTATTTGATAAAGCTGTTTCTGACTTGAAAAATTTGTCCAAAGAACCGAATGATGAAATAAAATTAGAATTATATGGACTTTTTAAACAAGTTTTTATTTTTTAAAATCAGTTACGTTTTTAAAGGCTTCCACTGGTGATGTTAAAGGAGAAAAGCCAGGAATGCTTGATTTTGTTGGTAGAGCAAAATATGATTCTTGGAATAAAAATAAGGGATTATCAATGGTTTCTTTTAATTTTTTAAAGAATTTTTTCAAATTATTTTAATAGGAAGAAGCAAAGCTTAAATATATAGAAATTATTAATAAATTAGTTGAACAAACTAGTAGTGTTGAGCAAGCATCAAATGTTGAAGGTTTTTAATTTTTACAATTAGAATTAAATGTTTAGCGTGCTTATTTGATTTTTTATTTTAAATTTAATTCTGATAACTTTTCGTTAAAAATGTAGTCTAGTAGAATCTTTATAGTTAAAAATTTATGAAACTTTTTAAACACTTCTTTTTGTAAATTTTTCCCTTTCTAGATATTTTAATTAAAAAACAAGGAAAAATATTTCGAATTGAATTTAATCGGCCAAATAAATATAATGCAATTACATGGGAAATGTATGAAGGTAAAAATAAATAGATTATAGTTTTCTAAATTTTTTTCCCTCTAAATTTAGCATTAATTGATGCTTTTTCTAATTCTAATAAATGTAATGAAACAAGTATAACTGTGTTAACAGGTTACTTTTTAACTTGTAAAATTAATTAAATTGTTTTATGAGACTTGATGAATGATAACAAAATATAAATTCAAAATGTTAAGATTTAAATAAATTTATTTTTTTGTTAAACTTTGTAGACTTATTTTCAAAAGAAATTATTGTTATTTGTTATCAACATTATTTATTTTAGCAATTAAGGAAGGAAATGTATGTTTTTTAATTTAAGGAATTGGGAACTATTATTGTGCTGGAAATGATTTATCTAATTTTACAAGAAATGTTAAAACACCAAATGATTTTATAAAAATGGCTGATAAAGGAGAAGACGTATGTAGATTTTTGTTTGAAATTATTTTTTAATTTAAAGGTTTTGGAACGTTTTGTACGTGCACACATTGAACATGAAAAACCGCTTATTTCTTTAGTTAATGGACCAGCAATTGGTATTTCAGTAACTTTAATGGCTCTCTTTGATTTAGTTATTGCTTCTGATAAAGTTTTATTTAAATTTTTTTTTTCTTAAAAATATTTTTAGGCTTGTTTTCATTCGCCATTTTCCTCTTTGGGTCAATCTCCTGAAGGATGTTCTTCTTACACATTTCCTATGCTTATGGGAGCTACGAAGGTTTATTTAGAATCTCTTTTAAAATATTGCTTATTGCTAGATTGCGATTTTAACAATTTTATAAAGACAAATTAAATAGGAAATTATTTTTGGTCTAAATATTGTCAAATTTTAAGATTCTCTTACAAACTGAATATAGATCTATTTTAAAAATATTTAAGGCTTGTGAAATGCTTTTATTTGACAAAAAATTAACGGCTGCTGAAGCTTATGAACGAAATTTAGTCACAAGTATTATACCTCATAATAGTTTCTATGAAGAAACGGAACGTTTGGTTAGTTATAAAAATTATATTTTAATAAAAATGTTTAAAAGGTTTCTCGTCTTTCTGAATTGCCGCCAGAATCATTAAAAGTAAATAAACAATTACTTCGAAATGTACATAAAGATGCTTTGCTACGTGTTTGTAAACATGAATGTGCAGTTCTTAAACAAAGATGGTTAAGTGTAGAGTGCCAACAAGCATTGCAAAAATTTGCCAGTCGAAAAACTTGAAAATTAGAAAGAAAATAGAAAAATAATTAGATGGATTGATTGAATTTCTTTTAAATTTTATAAATAATTTCTTTATTCTATAAACTCTGCATATTTGTATAATTTTCAATTTAGTCACATGTATTATGCCTCATTATAGTTTCTATGACGTTTGTTTCAGTTATGTTTCCTAGGTATCTTACACGATAAACAATATCTCGTGAGATTTTCCACAGTCTGGAGCAGACAGTGGTCGCGGCTGATTTTAGCACAGCTGGAGCCAGGGGAGGGCCGTGAGCTGAAAATTGGCGTGGCACGTCAAACAACAATTTTCAAATCATTAAAACACGCCAAAATCTGCCAAAAATTTAAGAAATTTAACCAGTCGGGTACAGCCCAAGTAGGCGCGCGATAACTAGCTTCAAGATTTCTGAATCTTTCAAAATTTAGTATTAAACGATTCCTCTCATCGAGCTAAAGAGGTTGGTACCAAAATTAATAAGGGCCAGAAATGTTCCAGCTAGTTATGGCTTTGCGCCTACATGGCCGCGCGCCTACTTGGGCGTGTCCCTAACCAGTCAGGGCAAACTTCTATTGGTGGCACGACTTTTCGTCAACGGACTTTCCGTCAATGGACTTTCCGTCAACGGACTTTTCGTCAATAAATGAATGTTTTTTAATTTTAAGAGAAAGAGAGATGATACACGTATGTAAAAGTGTTGTCAGATTGAAAATAGGACTGATTTGATAATTCTGAACAAAGTTATAAGCAATTGTGTTACTACGAAGGATAGGTAGTCTTTTCAAGGTTGAAAATCGGTAAAAATGAATAGGTTTATGTTACTGGTGTAGAACCCAGCAACCTTTGACTCCCCCGTGAGGCGCGTGCCGCAAAACCCCGCGCGAAGCGCGGTTTTGCACAAGCGCCTCGCCGACGTCCCATAGGTTATTCGAGAGTATTTGAAGAAATAAGGAATTTTATACAAAATTGGGCACATAATTTAGTTATTTGTGGCTTTGAATAGGCCGATTAATTTCCTAAATTTTTTAAAAGCGATCATTTATTGATGAAAAGTCCGTCCATTGAAAAAAAGTATTGACGGAAAGTCCATTGACGGAAAGTCCGTTGACGAAAAGTCGGGGAGCCCTTCTATTTAATTGTTGTTAGCGTTTCGTTTTTTTACTGGTGGGGACTCAAAAAACGATCCTTTGATAGTTTTACCCGTGGCGATCCTTTGATGGACGATCTTTTACTGAATGACCGTTTAATACTTTTTGCCCGTGACGATCCTTTAATCGTTTTTAGACGTTGCGATCCTTTTATGTGACGATCCTTTGTAGGGACACGGCTTTAAACAAGAGAGCAAATTAAAGAAGCAGAAAAATGAGACACTTCACTATGTCCGCTTTGACCCGCTGTGACTTTGCTTATTGTGCCGAATGTGGCAATTTGTACCTCAAGACCCCTAGACTCAAACACTTAAAAAATATTTAAAGAAGAAAAATTTATTTAAATTAATTAAATTCCAAATATAAAAAAGGGGAGAAAAATATATGGGGAGAAAAACAAAGGCTAGGCTGGTAGGAACGGCTGGTAATTAAGAATGAAGTTCAAAAACTGGCTTTTCTCTTAAAAGCAAAATAGTTAAATAGAGAAGTGATTGGGCGGTACAAAGCAAAGTTAGGTGAAATGAGAGATAAATGGAATGGGCGGAATCGATAAATAAAATTAAAAATAATAAATAAAATTAATTAAATTTTGAGGCAAAATTGTGCCTGTTCGGCACATTCCCCTCGGCGAGAAAAGAGGAAGAGGGAAGAAAAATGAATGTCCAAAATAATCACAAAATGGTTTATTAATCATCGGCTCTTCTAATTGTCTTCTTCCTCTCATTGGTTGCCATCGTTGAGTTCGATTCCATCACGCATTCCGAAGGAAACTGGTTGAACATGAGGGGTTTTTTCTATATCCACTGCGGATGCAGAAACAAGGTGTGGCCTTAGAGATGCTCTGATCATTGCTGTAAGGCCAAGGTCGCTTTCGACCATAATGGGTTGGTTTGTAGCTAGGGTGTACTGGGGCACGGTCTTGTAACTGGTTGAATGGGGAAGCGGCTGGCATTGCGGAGGCTTCGGACCTGGGGGTGAAGGTTCTTCACTTTTAATTTCTGTGGGATTCGCTTCGGCTCTACGCCGTGTAGGTCTTTCATATTCGTTTCGGTGCTTTCTCTGAAGCGTTAATTCAAAATTTAATTCTGGTTTTTTCTCTAATTTCTCTTCTATATTTCCCCCCAAAGCATTATCCTTACCGGTTTCCCAACCAATATGTTGTTGTGATGATTGTTCCATTACTTGATGTTCACTTTTCTGGTTGTCTACATTGTTGGGCGCATGTAGAGGATTTAAAATAAAATAAAATAGTGGTTGCTGTTGTTCTAGTCTTTTATCATTTTCCACAATTTTCTCACTTTTTGATGTATTTTCTATTGCTTGCTCTTCATAAGAGTCGAGAACACTTTCGCTAGTTGATGATACAATAGCGCTGCCAGAATCCAACCATTTATTCATAAGATCAAAATTCTCAATTATTTCTGAGCTGCCCAACTTTCTAAAATATGCTAGTTGTATTGAAGTAAAAGCTGTTGTTGGGTAAGGAAACACGGAGGACAACTGCGATGAGTTAGGAAACAAACAAAGAGTCGGCTCTATAGCCACAACTGAGAATGGTTGAATGCTCCGAGCTACTAATCTCGGTGGAAGGCTTCGCTGAGCTAATAAAATAAAAGGTACTTGAGCTAATAGTGCTGAAATAGATGGAGGGAAATTGCTAATAATAGGTCCGTCCTTTGGCACAATTCCACCGCCTAGCTCATTGAGTGTTTTTGTCTCTGCTTTAATAAAGGGAGTGCTTATTCGCCCAAACTGTTGGCGCTCTTTCTTTTGTAACTCAAATATTTTCTTAGGGCTCTTGCCCAATCTTTTCCCATAACTTTGGAAGAGCACTAAACTCTGCTCTGACTTAAGTGATAAATTATCGCCCTCTGGCGGACTATCACCAATTACTTTGTTTAAACAAATTTTTTGAAAAATTCTGGTGGGGTCTGGTGAAACTTTGTGGTTTGGGTCTCTGACCCCTTCCCCACTTCGCAAAAAATTAAATAAAATGTTGTAAATAAAAAATGCTAGTGTGCTTTTAAAACTGATAATTATGGTAATTATACTGATTATGTAAATAAAAATACTGGGTAAGAAAATTTTGTTTATTAAAGTCTGATTTATGGATTTAAATTCATTAAAGGGTATATTAAGTGGAATTTTCTTCCTCTTGATGGTCTGCTCTTCTCGGCAGACTACTATTTGGTCCTGTGGTCACAGCTAACGTTTATTATAAATGACAGAGAAATTAAAATGAGTGTAATTCCATATCCGGCTAGGTTTTCCTGGGGCATTTCTTTTAACTTTTCTAATCTTTTCTTGACTCCATGAGCTCTCTCATCTAATATTTGTTTAGGAAATAGCTTTTCTGGTAATACTGTAAGTGAAACTTTAGTTTTCTCTATTAAAGGAAGATCGGAAGGGTCTTTCACCCTCTGGAACTTAGTAAATTCTCGGTTGGTTCGACGCAACTCGTCTGGTCGTATGATGACATTATGAGTCAACTGCTCCATGGTGTCTGGACTATTAAGGGCGAGTTCGGTAATTCTATTTTCTTTCTCTATCTGCAGCTTCTGATAAGATTTATCTACTGGTTCGGTAATTATATTATCTTTCTCTATTTGGAACTTGTGGTAAGGCAAATCTGATGAAAGATTCAAACTTTCACAGCTAGGAGAATCACTATTATCTTTGAGATGGGTAATCTGATTGTAAATTGCTGTCGTGTTCTCTTTAACACAAAAATTCCCTTGTATTTGCCTTACTCATTAGTGGCTTCTCTGCTTGAGGGCAAATATCTGGCTCTGTGCCAACCTCTGGTTTAACTGTTTCCTTGTTAATAGTAAATAAAGTCATTATCTTGGGCCGAACTGGTAATGGCTCAGTAAATTTTACAGCTTTTGGAACTGGAACACGTTCCTGAACTACAACCATCTGAGCGGGTTGAATATTGGTCTGAACAGGTTGGATTTCTCTAATTTGCTGTACTTGGTGTCGTAATGTTGACGCTTTATTTGAATTAATAACTGGACTCTGATTCTGGCCTAAAGCCATCTGGGTGATTTGCTTTTCTGGGTAATAATTATCTTCATCTGGTGCTAGAAAATCCTGATTAATGTCAAGAGTTCCCGTGCATACTAGCACGTGATGGTTACCTTGACATTGGACACAAATCTTAAATGAAGGACATTCTCTGGCATAATGTCCTTCTCCAAGACAACGGAAACAACGTCTCTGTTCTTTTAATCTCTGAAAACGGGCCTGAGGTGTTGTATAACTAGGGCATTCACTCGGGAAATGAATTCCTTTGTTGCACAATGAACAATATCTTTTGCCTTGAGGGGGCAACTGTCTGCTTTGAACTGGTCTTAATTGGTCACAAAATGAATGGAATTGTTCTGTATATCTTGTTCTAGGACGGTGATAATTCCTCTGATGGATGGGAGGGACAACTGGGCCTCCCCGAGGCCTCACTTTGAGTTGTGAGAATCGCATAACCTCCTCGCTGATCTCAACTAGGTTACATAATTCTTGTCTGAGTCTGGTACTGTCCCATCTGGATTGGGAATTTCGTTCCTTCTCAATTAACTTGGCTATTACTGATTGGGGTAGCTTGGTTTTGATAACTGTTGAAACGAATGGGGACTGATCCATCGCTCCAAATGCCTCCAACTGACGGCAAATTCTTTCCACCGAGTCAACGAATGCCCTTAAGGAATGGCTGGAGTCGTTGGGTGGGGTAAGGTTCATAAGTTCAGCCTCTAAAGCCTCTGTGATGGCCCGGCTATTTCCGTAACGTGATTTGAGCAAGTCTAATGCTCGGTTGTAATTCTCGTTGGTAAGGACAAAACCTGCTACTAAATCCTTTGCTGGCCCTTGTAAAAATGTAAGAAGGTAACTCATCTTTCTGATATTATCCATGGGACGTGAGTCTATATTCGCTGAGAAAAGCTGCCAAAAAGTGGTCCACTTTTTGGGATCTCCATAGAAGGGATCCATTTTAAGCTCTGGAAGTCTGGTTTCTATAAGATAGGTTGGGAACTGGTTCTCTTGTTTAATAATATGCGGGATCTGCCGCTCTGTCTTATTCGTGACTGACGATAACTGTTCGCCTACTTGTGATAAATTCTCTGACACTTCGGATACCCCTGCCTGACTGGATTGGCCTGAGGGTACAGTTTGTTCTTCAATAAGGAAATCGAGATCGCCCAAAACTCCTTTGGCTTTCTCAACTAATTCCATAAAATGATTATAGTCTGGATCTCCCGCTGCTCGGGGAGCGAATCTCTCATAAAATTGTTCCTCCTGGGCAAGTTCATCTCCCTCAAGGCTATCGAGGAAATGAGCCCATTTAACGTGCAAAGAATCGACTCGATCTAGAGTGCGATTTAATTGAAAACGCTCTGCGCGTACTTGATCTAAGTTCTGATTATTCTGATAATTGGCTAACAACTTATTAACAGTTACTAATTGATTCTTTAATGATTTAAGGGCTGGTCCTAGCTGAGACCGGATGGGCCCTGATGATGGCATACTGAACTGGTGGGGACTCTAACCGGCACACCAGCAGAAAAAGGGATTCGGCTCTCCTAAACCGATAAATTAATCTTCGGCTATCTGAGCCGTGGTGAAAGTACTTCGAAGCGAGTCGGCCTTTGCCGTGTAGAAAATATAAAAAAATTTAAAGTTTATAAAAAAATAAAAAAATTTATTTTTCCCAATAAAATGTGCACAAAGAAATGTGCAGAAAGAAAAGACACACCAGATGTGTGTTTATTCGGCTATCTGAGCCGTGAAAAAATTGTTTTGTAAAAACCCTTCTTTTGGGTTTTTCTTTTAGAAAAAATTCGCTCTTTAGCGATGTAAAAAATTTATTTTTAAAAATAAACAACAAAGGATTAATTTTTGCTTTTACACCAGAAGTGTGTAAAAAGAAAGGAAAAAGGAGAAGGAAAATTGCACAAAAATGTGCACGTTTGTTTATTTGTGTTGGCCTGTACTTTGGCCAAAGAACACAAAAAATATTTTTTTAAAAAAGGAAAGGAAAAAATGGCGCGATTCGCCAGATGTGCAAAAAACTATAAGGAATGTAAAATGGCGCAGGCTCTCTGATTGGCCGGCCAAAAGGACTGTTTGAGTCTGAAAAGGGTCACTTGAGTATGAGGTGTCCAAGGGGTACTTGGGACCGGCACTTGGACTGTAGACTGATTTTATTGAACGATGGGCACTTTGGGGCCGGCAATCGTTTATCCGACGGGCACTTGGGGCCGGCACTCGGAAATTAGGTATCTAGGTAACGACGGGCACTTTGGGGCCGGTAATCGTTAAAGGTAACTAAAATTAACTGATGGCACTATTGCCAAAAAAACTTGTTGGTACTAAGGGTTCGGCTCTGTGCCGGGAAGATTATCAGTGGGTCGTTCCCACTCGATAACAAAAACTTTTAAAGAACGGTGGGCACTATTGGGCCTGCTACTCGTTCTGGGGCTAGGGATCCAATGATCGGCACTAGCCGTGATGAAGATAACGGGTATTCACTGACCCGTACGGGGCTCCAATTTTTATGTGCCGAATGTGGCAATTTGTACCTCAAGACCCCTAGACTCAAACACTTAAAAAATATTTAAAGAAGAAAAATTTATTTAAATTAATTAAATTCCAAATATAAAAAAGGGGAGAAAAATATATGGGGAGAAAAACAAAGGCTAGGCTGGTAGGAACGGCTGGTAATTAAGAATGAAGTTCAAAAACTGGCTTTTCTCTTAAAAGCAAAATAGTTAAATAGAGAAGTGATTGGGCGGTACAAAGCAAAGTTAGGTGAAATGAGAGATAAATGGAATGGGCGGAATCGATAAATAAAATTAAAAATAATAAATAAAATTAATTAAATTTTGAGGCAAAATTGTGCCTGTTCGGCACACTTATTTTGATCTGCGTGTCTGCAATTTTGTTTACCAATTTGGAATAAAAGTTATTTAATGGCATTTTTTCAGGTGGCTTTTTGTCGTCTGGAATTTACGATGTAATGGTATAAAAGCGCGCTAAATAAGTAGAAAGTATTTTCGCGAATTTATATTGATTTCCGTTTCCGACTTTTGAGCTATTTCCGGCGATTCCAATTTCCTTCTGACCTTTGGTACCGTGTTCAAAAGACACATTGTTGTAATAATTACCAACTTATGTCAATCCCCGTTTGAGTTTAAAGCTTAATGCTGGTTAGCCCTTTAGCTATAGAATTTTGATTGGATCATGAACTTCTCATGGGCGCATAAAAGTTCATTGAATGAATAAACTAGACCAGCGCCCGATTTTATACACAGACTCGTTATTTAGTGACTCGTTTTATATTACTTTCATAAATTTATGCTTATTAATTTATAAGCGAACTTCATTTTTGATCATTTACTGCAACTTTTTCATTATTTTTGTTATTTCAGGGATTACATTTAATACCGTGAAATGTACTTTAGTGAAAATTCTTTTGGTAACAGCCGTGGAGGGCGATCACAACAGGTTAATTAGCAGTCAAATATTGATTGAATCTTTTATTTAGCCAAGCTACTGGCAGAATTCCTCTTCAGGGATTGGTGGTGGTTACAAAAGTGGATTCAACTCGACGAAGCAAAATTGCAGCAACTCTGCACCGGTATTACCAATTAGCAAAGACAACTATAAACCGGTTGCTTCTGTCAAAACTCGAGCTCAGTCCAAGGTTGATCGTTGGATGGCGGACAATGATGTGACGGTAAATGGCGAGAATGTGCCGAGCCCTGTTTTTGAATTTGAAGAATCAACTTTTCCAGGTTTTTGTTTGTTTTCTTTCACGTTCTTCCGAGCATGTCAGTCCTGTGTCTTTTAGACTTTAGTTTCTACTCTAGGCTTATGTCCAACTTAATTCTTCCTTATTTTCTCAGGAGTGATTGTCAACCTTTTGTTGAAGCATTTTCAAAAGCCTACACCAATTCAAAGCATTAGTTGGCCTGTAGCTTTGAGCGGTCATGACTTGGTTGTTTTATGTTATTTATCTTTTGTATTTATCTTTTCTTAGATCTCAATTGCTAAAACTGGTTCTGGCAAAACTTTGGGGTTCATCTTGCCAGCTATTATTCATGTCAAGAACCAGCCTAAACGCGAAATGCGTGAGGGACCTTTAGTTGTTGTGCTTCTTCCGACTCGTGAGTTGGCTCTTCAGGTTGAGGAGGTTGCAAAGGAATATTGCGATGTAGCAGACCTTAAGGCTACTTGCTGCTACGGAGGCGCCTCCAAAGGGCCACAAGCACGTGATTTGATGTATGGTTAGTTGTATTAATTTTTATCCATTCTTAACTTTTTTAACTTTCTTTTTAGGTGTTGATATTTGCATCGCTACTCCAGGGCGACTTTTGGATTTTCTTGACAATGGCACTACTAACATGGGACGATGTAGTTATTTTGTGCTTGATGAAGCTGATCGCATGCTTGACATGGGCTTTGAGCCTCAAATTCGCCGAATTGCAGATCAGATTCGCGTTTGTTTTATTTTCATGAAGCATTATTATTTATTTAGCCGGATCGACAAACGCTCATGTTTTCTGCAACTTGGCCAAAAGAAGTGCGTAGATTGGCAGCTGATTTTCATACGGATCCAGTTCATTTGCATGTTGGATCTCTTGACTTGGCAGCAAATCATAATATACTTCAGACTGTTGAATGCCTTGAAGATCATCAAAAGAACAACAAACTTTTTGAGATCCTCGACAATATTTTGGGTGAAGATGTGAGTTTTCCTTTAATCATTCAACGAACTTTAATTATTGAATAAATTAAGGGTAAAACAAAGACTTTAATCTTCGTTGAGACTAAGCGAAAGGCTGATGACTTGACCCGATGGATGAGACAGGACGGTTAGTGATTTTCAACTTATTTAATGTATCAACAAATATTTTGTTATTTTAGGCTGGCCAGCACTTTGTATCCATGGTGACAAGGAACAACGAGAACGTGAATGGGTTTTGGCAGGTTATTAATATAATTAGGTTGCTTGAATAAACTTCTTTGTTAAGAGTTCAAGGCTTCTCGTACTCCAATTCTTATAGCCACTGATGTTGCTGCTCGGGGATTAGATGTTGATGTTAGTTAATTTAGTCAAATTTTTCTACTTGAAGTCGATATTTTTTCTTAGGATGTGAAATTTGTTATCAATTTTGATTACCCGAACAATTCCGAAGATTATGTTCATCGAATTGGACGAACGGGACGTAGAGATCGCTCTGTTAGTTTTTTGATTTTGAGTTGTTAACATTAATTCAGCTTTATTAGTTTTAATTTTTCCTCAAATTAAGGGCACGGCGATAACTTTCTTCACATCAAATAATGCTCCCAAAGCACGAGATTTGATTAAAGTCCTTGAGGAAGCTAATCAGGTTTTCATACTTTATTTTAGAGTTGATCAAAACGATACTGGTATCGGCCAACCCGAGACCGAGATTGACCGATACTCAAGAACCCGATACCGAGACCGATACCATCATTTTGAGCCGAGACCGATACCGAGAAACGATACTGGCCGAGACTAACAAAATTTTTTATTTTATGTCAAAAAATACGTGTAAAAATAATTTATTCATTATTTTCATCATCCACGTCATCAGATAAATACTCTTCATCATCTGGATCCGATCTGGCTTGGCAATGGACATCCGTATCCGATTATATCCTTACAACTTTTGAGGCATATCCATCCGCGGGTATCCGCGGATGGCCGAAGTCAGCGCCGAAGGCAAAAATTTTTAGAATTTTAGAAGTGCAACAGATTTCTACCACTTTTCACGCCGCAGGCGAAAATTTGTAGTTTTGGAAGGCCAATAAGCCAGAATTCGTCCTATTTTCAGCGCCGCAGGCAAAATTTTGGAGAATTTTGGAAGGCCAATAAGTAAGAATTCGTCCTATTTTCAGCGCCGCAGGCAAAATTTTGGAAGGCCATGAAGCCAGATTTCTTCCAATTGTTACCCTCATTTGTCAGATACGCAAACTCAATGCGCTCATCCCTGCTTCCGATCATTTTTAATCCACTGGTGGGAACAACATTTGCCGAAAATCGGTAGGCTTTGTAATCAAAATCTTGAAAATTTAACGGCAGAGGGCTCGGAAAATTCAATATTTCAGGGCCGCAGACGAAAATTTATTAAATTTTGGAAGGCCAAGTCACCAAATTTCTTCCTTTTTCAGCGCTGCAGGCAAAAATTTTTTTAATTTTAGAAGACCTTATTCGAAAAAAATTCACTTTCTCTGTTATAGACTGATATCCGAAAAAAAATATGGACGAAAACTTGGACAATATCGAGAATTTTGGTTCTTTGAGTCAGTATCGTTTCTCGCCGAGAAATGGACCGAGAATATCGGTTTCGAGACCGAGAATGAAAAAACCGAGACCGATATTGGAAAAAAGCCGAGAATCTCGGTATCGGTCTCGTCTTGATCAACTCTACTTTATTTTGATTTTTCACTTTACAATATTTAAGAATGTGCCAGCGAGACTTGCCGATTTTGCTAATGGCACTTTCTATGAACAAAATGGATTCCGCTCTCGTCGTGGTGGTGATTTTACGGGAAGTAACTCTTTCCCTGTTGGTGGAGGTGGCGGTCGTGGTCAGTCGTTTGGGAATGGAGGTGGCGGATATAGTGGACGAACTTCTCGTGGTGGTGGAGGAAGCCGTGGTCAAAGTTTTGGAAATGGGGGTGACGGATATGGTGGAGGTGGAGGAAGCCGTGGTCAAAGTTTTGGAAATGGTGGTAGCCGTGGAAGAGGTGGTGGACAAAGCTTTAGTCGCGGTGGAGGAGGAAGTTCTTACAATTTTGGTGGTGATGGTGGAGGATCGGATGCGACCAATGGTGGAGGCTGGGGTAATGCCAATGCTAGTGCATGGTGATTTTTCATTGTTGATCGTTTGTTTCGATTTTTGACTTTTTGTTTAATTTATTTATTTTTTTGTTTAACAAAAGCAATTTTTTATTTTCACTTGATTTGGATAATATTTACTTTCACTTTGTTTGAGTAATCTTCTGCTTTACTTGTCTTTAAACAAATTTTTACAAATTTATAGATTTTATTTTTTCCATTTTTTTTCTAGGGGTTTAGTAAAGGAGAAAATTACGAGTGATTTATCGGGGCGTTGAAATTTTGACTTTTGATTTAGTTTTATTGGTTTTTAAAATTCTCAAAAATAATTTCATCCCAATCCAATCATTACTACAGCCAATATATACGGTTCTATATTGTGTGTTTGTTATGGTTGTTATGCATTTTTGTTAAAATTTTATGTATACTAGAGATCGTTCTGACAATAAGTTTTCCCAGAGCACTTGCGTATTTTCTATATTAACTTAATCATGGAAGGCCCGCATATTTTTAAATTTAAATAAAAATCCATCCATTTTTCGATCTCTAATATATATCTCAAGTAAATTACCACAATTTTTGCACTTTTTTTAATCATGGACAAGCGATGAAGATTGAGAAATTAGTTAAATATACATAGATATTTTTTAGTTAAAAGTTTACCCAATCTTTTCAAAATAGGTATTTTGGGAATCGGGTTACAAAAATAAATTAACGATTTTCGGGAAATATGGCGAAGTCATGCTCGTAGTATGAGGTAGTAGGTTTACACGTCGAACCTGTAAACCAGGTCCTTGATTTTCGTGAATCAGGACGGTAGGACCCATCGCATGTATCATTGACTTCTATAATTACCCAATACATCAACTCGGCCAAATGAAAAAGCTAAAAATTATTAACAAGAAAAAATTTTAAAAAAATGCACACTAAAAAATGGAGTTAATTTAGGATGAATTATTGTAATGAGTGCTAATGTAGAGGGTTGCTAATTTTCTCACACATAGGTAGCTGCTATTTAAACTATTTTACACCCACAGTCCGTCCCATTATTCATTCGTCTATTCCATAATTTTAAATTCCGCAAGTTGGTATGCATGAATTGTATTTGTCTTCGATTGCCTTTTTAGAATGAAACAAAACTTAAGGAGTTTTATTTATTTAAAAATATCGAGATTTATTCATTTTTTTATTTTCAAGATAGTAAGTTTGGAATATATCAAACTTTAGATTTTAATAAATATCAGAGCTGAGCTAAAAAAAGGGTGAGAAGAGAACTTAATCAAATTCTCTTAACTTTTGTAATACTTTGTTTTTAATCTTTTGGGCCAAATATTTTTAGGAAATATTTTGAAGATATGTGTACTAAGCCAGCTCTGATGAAAGAGATTATTTGTAAATGTCCGGTTTATAAGACCGGTTTTATTATTATTTTCTCTTTTCTGTTTTCACTTAAATATGAATCACGGTTGCTTTTCGATCAATGAAGATGCTCATTTTTTTGATTTTCATTTTTCTATTTTATATAAAATGAATTTCCATTTAAACAAAAATGTTTTTTGCTTTTACATGAAAAGTTTTTAGCATAAGAAAATTATTTTTGAAAATTAAAGAATATCACATTTGTCTTTTTTTATTTAAATTAAATTATCTTTATTCCCAAATTATTATTGTTTATCAGGATAATGACATTAAGTAATTGACAAAATATTCTCTTAAAATAATTTGTTAAGCTCGAATAAAATTTTAGAAATTGAAAGAGAATATGCAATAGTTTTTAGAGTTTATTATATTTATTTACTTTATTTCCTTTTCTGATTAAATAACAAAAATTTATTTTATTTTTTAGTAATGAAAATTTTATTGTTTTTCTGGATTTATAGTTTAAATAAATAATTATTTTTAATTTTCTTATTTTTAATTACAAAGTTTTTTTGTTAAGATAATTTTATTTTAATGTTGATTATTTTTATACAAAAATTTAATTTCTTTAAATAAACACAACAATGCAAAATAACATTAATCATGTCCAAGAAAATTCTTTGAAACGTCGGGTAAATCCTTTTAAATTTTGGATTGAAAAAAAACTAAAAATTGTGTATTTAAATTTTCAGAAAATTTGGATCACTGCAAATGAAAAAACAGTCTAATCTTTTAGAAAAAAGTTCAAAAAAATTTTCCCTCGGAGGTTCGAACCCACTACCCCAAATTAACATGTTTTTAGATGTGGAACCATAAAAATTGCAAAGTTGTTTGAAATAAGGAACATGCATTAGAATAGGAAAAAAACAATTAACTTTTAATAAAAATGATATTAGTCTTGCTGATAAGCTAGCCTATTTTCTTTTGTAGAATTCAGAAGAAGAATTTTGTTGCAATGAAGAAAATTTAAATAAAAAAGAGGGGGAATCAGAACAATTTTTAGTTTCTTCAAATAATTTACAAAATATGGAAAATAATAAAAAATTGTCAGCCCAAACAAGAAGACAACGTTTTGCTTTAAATAATACAAAAAGTGAAGGGGGAAATGTTGAAAATAATTGTGAATTTTTGTTTGGTAAATTTTAAGAAATTTTAATTTAAAATGAATTTTCTTTTTAGAAAAACAACAAAATATTTTTGTAAATCAAAACACAATTCTTTCTGTTTCTTCCTCTTTTTTGGACAGAAAAGTGGAAAATAAGTAGGTTAATTAGTTAATTTTTTTTATCAAAATTGTGTAACCCTTTTTTGTGGCGATTAAATTTTAATAATTAAAAATTACATAATTTTGATTAATTTTTTGAAAAAAATTTCATGTTAGTTTCTAAATTTAAACTAAAAATTCGGTACTTTTCCGTTATCCCTACGGAATTTTGTGGACTTTTTTCCTTCTTTCTGCGGAAAAAAGGCAGTAACATTTATTTTTCTCAAGCAATTAATGATAGAGAAAAGAGAAGAAATGATTGAGAGGAATGATAGAAACATGCAAAAAGAAGGAAATAAGTCCGCAAAAAGTCCGTGGGGATAACGGTGAAAAGTACCAAAAAGTAAATTTAAATATAATACCCCCCCTTTTAATTAAACAAACAAAAAAATAAATCCAAAAAAGAAAAATTCCCACCTTTTTATCAAACATTTAACTAAAATACCTTCCTCTCCTCCTCTCCCTTTTAAAACTAGTTGCGATAAAAAAAAGAGAGAGAGAACATTTTTGTATATTTTTTAAAGTAAAAATATTGAAGAGAAATAAATGAGTAATTTTTAGGGGAAGGAGGAAAGCACAAAAATACATAAATAAAAAATAAAAATTCTTTTTTTTTAATGTTCTCTCTTCTCTTAATTTTAAATTTTTATTGTCCAAATATATTTATTGATTATTTTTTAATCATTTAAATTTTAAATAAATTATCGAGATTTTCTAAGAAAATTAATTTTTACTTTTTTTTTATTTAGCCAAAATTCACCAAAAATGGGAGGAAAATTAAAAGAATTAAAAAATCAAAAAATAATTAATTCTTCAAATAAAGAAGAAAAATGTTACAAAAATAATAATAAAATACAACAACAACAACCTTTAAATCAAAATGATTTTAATTTAATGGAAAGAGGACACAGAGTTAAATTTAAATAAATTTTTTTTTAATTTAATTTTTTAAAAAGGTTTGTAAATTAATTGCTTTAAAGAAATTTGATATAATTTATTTTCGTTTATGGTTAAATACACAAACACAACAAATTGTTTTGTCTAAATGGAATAATAATTTTAATCATACAAATTCTTCTTGTTCTTCGCTGGATATTAATTGTAGGTTTTTTATTTAATGGATTTTGATTTTTCATTAAATAAATTTTTCATCGAAACAACTTTTAATTTTTGGCAAAAAAATATTTAAAGTTGGTGCTTTGGGAATGTCTTCCCGCATCTCCGCAAATGCTTGTTCGCAACTTTTTTCTTACCTACTCCTCCCTTCTCTCATTATCATTTCCTAAAAATTTTGATTATCAATCCTTGACCATTTTTAATCTATGAGAGAAGCAGGAAGGAGAAAAAAAAAGAAAAAAGTTGTGGACATGCGCGGAGATACTTCCAAAGTATCCAAAATTTTGTCATTTAATTTTAAATTTAATTGTATTTTAACTATTTTTAGTAATAGAAATTTTTTGTTGGTTAAATACTAAATTAAAATTTTTATTTTCGAATTTTAACTTTTAACCATCAAATTGATTTATTTAAAAAGGTTCTTCTTCTTCAACATTAGAAGAGCAAATAGAAATAAACAGTCGAAGTTATAGTACAACAATTCCTCCAAAATATTCAACAGCAACAACATCAACACGTTCATGTTCCTCAACTTCTTCATTTTCTTCTTTAAAAACCCAAACACTCGATTTAAGATTAATTAAGGATGTCCAGGTTTTGTCACAAATAGGGACAACAATGCAAATAACAGAAAAATGGAGGAGAGATTCTGCTTTACAACGTTTTGATAAAAATACAGTTTTGTGTATCAGTTGGGGTGTTACTTTTATTCCAAATAATTGGCTTATTTTATGTAAGAAAAATTTAAAAGTGAATTTTGATTAAAAATTTATTTATTTTAAAGTTGATAACAAAGAATTGTGTAATTTGTGGTGCCAAGGGCTTCGACAATTATGTTTAGAACAAGCAAATGCTTCTCAAGCATTAATTGTTGAACGGTGGTTAAGAAAACAAGTAACATAAATTAATTTAAATACATATTTCCTTTTCTCTTTTGATTCCCTCTCAATTATTCCTCTCAGAAAAATTAATTTAAAGGACTCTCCCAAACAATTTTTTTCCTAATTTTAATTGCAAGGAAGAGAAAAATCCGGCTGCTAGCTTTTAAAATGCTCACTAGGCCGAGAGAGCGTCCAGGTAGTTTAGTTGGTAGAGCACCTGTACGTGGTGAGCGAAGCTAGCATTAACTGGCAGGTGGTCGCAGGATCGAAGCCTGCCTGGGATTAAAGTTTTACCTTGCTCTTACTTAATTTAAAATAAATTTTTTTTTAATTTTTCAGTTTTATTCTTTACTTGTTCACCCAACAGACAATGCTTGTATTTCAATAAAACATATGAAACCTTTTGTTCAGCAAAGATTACAATGTAAAATTAGTGGAAAACAATTACAAGAAATTATTGAAGTTTTTTTAATATTTATTTAAAATTTAAAAAAATTTTAGAATGAAATGGGCTTTGAAAGTTTTGTTTTTGCACATAATTGGTTATTAAATTTTCATTCTTTATTTATGTCAATGTTTTCTGACTTTGTACATCCACAAAATGAACAAAAAATGAATTTTAGAAAATTTGTTGATTTTCTTAAAAATGTACAAAATGTAAGGAAAAATTTTAAAAAAAATTTGGAAAATTTTTTAAAAATTAGGATGAATTAGGTAAAAGTCCAGAATTGGCTTCAGATTATTTAAGACGTTATTTTCGAGATGTTGACCCAGACAGAGATATTGCCGAGCCTTGGTTAAGTACGAGTGAATTTGTTGATTATTTATTTTCTTGTGATAATTGTTAGTTTTCTTTTAAATATTAAAAATAAATTTAAAATTTTTTAAAGCTTTATTCGATCCAGTAAACAAAGAAGTTGTTCATGACATGACTAAAGTAAAGAAATTAATTTAACAAAAAAATATTTCTTTTCTTTTTAGCCATTAACTCATTATTGGATATCTTCTTCTCACAACACTTATTTAACTGGAGATCAACTTAAAAGTGAATCTTCTTTGGATGCTTATGCCCGGTCTTTATTACTTGGATGCAGGTATTTATTTAATTTAAATATTTTGGAAAGTATTCTTTTAGGTGTGTAGAGTTAGATTGTTGGGATGGACCTCAAAGAAAAGGTCCAAATGGGGAAACAATAATTGATATAGTTATTTATCATGGATATACAATGACTTCAAAATTGGCATTAAAAGATGTTTTACAAACAATTAAACATTATGCCTTTCAAACTAGCGAGTAAATAATTTTTTTTTGAATGAAAGAAATATTTTTTTCAAAAATTTTTTTCTAGTTATCCATTAATACTTTCAATAGAAGATAATTGTTCTGTTCCAGCCCAACGTCAAATGGCTATTGATATTCAAGAAGTTTTGGGGGATTTATTATTAACTTCACCAATTTCTAGAGACGAATGGGAACTTCCATCGCCTTGTGCCCTTCGAAATAAAATTATTTTAAAACACAAAAAATTAAGAGAAGAACAACAAGAAAATGAGAATTTAAATAATAATTCTTTTTTGTTAGAAGATGAATTAGATCAGGATATTTTAAGTAGACAATGTATTAAAAAAGGTGTTTTGTGGTTAAAGAATGATGTTTCTAATGCTAATAGAGGAATAGGTATTTTTTATTTTTAAAAAGGGGTAAGGTGAATAATAGGAAGGAGAGAGAAGGGTTTTTAAATTATATTATTGTTTAACTGAATAGGGTTGTCGGTTCTGGACCGAGTCGAAGAACCAATGATTTTTCGGTTCGGTTATCCGAAAATTTTTCTAGAACCGACAACCCTATACCTGAATATTAAACCAAAAATAATTTTAATATTTTCTACAGAATCAATTTGGAGAAAGCATATTTTTGTTTTATTTCATGATCGTTTATGTTATTTAATCCAACCAATTGATGATGAAAATAAAATAAATAATAAATTAAATAATGTTATTAGAGAGAAAAGTTTTGGAAGTCAAAATGATGAAAATTTTAATGGAGATGAATTGGAGGAAAATAATGGAGGGAATAATGGACATAGAAATAGGTAATTAAATGGAAATTAAATATAAAAATAATATTGACTGTTAACAAACTTTTAAATCGGTCTTGGGACCCTTAGAATTTCCCTTTTAGCTTAAACTCAGGGTGGTCCTTTTACCTCATTTGAGAGGAATTTGCCACCTTTTTGAGTTTCTCCCTTTTTGCCACCTTTTATAAATTGCCCCCTTTTGGTGATTTGGAAAAGGCCACCCTGTTTAAACTTTCATTTAATTTTTCATTTAAAAAAGCATTACTTCAACAACAACAACATTATTAGTCGAAGATTGTTCAAATTGTCACATAACAGAAGAATGGTTTCACGGTAAAATAGACAGAGAAGAAGCAAAGGAAAGATTAATTAAAAATAAAATAAATGGAACATTTCTTGTGCGAGAATCAAATACTTTTATTGGAGACTTTACTCTTTCATTTTTATTCAACAATGAAGTACATCATTGCCGGATAAAAACAAATATTTTACCTGGAGGAGAAAAACGTTATCATTTATTGGATACTTTGAAAAAAGAAAGTTTATATGAATTAATTAGTTATTATATGAAACATTCTTTAAATACTCCTAATTTTAAGGTTTGTTTTTTGAAAAAGAAATTTGAAAAAAATTTTTAGACATATTTACTTACACCATGTCCTCAACCACAGCCACATTTAGGTAAAAGAATTTTTGAAATTATAAAGATAGCTACTATTCTTATGTATAAGCTGCTCCTATAATGACATCCGTGTTGAGTGTTTTGTTATGTCAAGTGTTCCGTGCAAGTGTCGAGTTGTTGTGTCCTTCCTACAATGAAATAAAAAAGGCACGAACCAAAACACTTGACACTCAACGCTCAGCATTTAACACGGATCCATTGTAGGAGAAGTGTAAGATTGGGAATGGACTCTTTATGGAGGCTTCCTGGGGAGCCTACATTATTGTTGTTTTGTTGTCCCAAAACTATAAAAATAGAGAGGGAGAATTATTTAAAAAATTATTTTTTCTTTAAGACCAACAATGGTTTTGTTTAAATTGTGATACACAAAAAGCAGAGGAATTATTAACAAAATTTGGAGAAGATGGGGGATTCCTTATTCGTTATAGCAAAAATGATACAGATTCTTTTGTTTTGTCGTTAAGGGTAGATTCAATAAATTGGCATTTAAGATTAAAAAGGGAAGGAAGAGTTTTTGTTGTTGGAAATCAAATATTCGAGAATTTGTGTCAATTAGTTGAATATTTTGGAAAAATACAATTTTTTAGAGGAATTTGTTTAAAATATCCAGTTAATGAAGAAACGGTAAAAAAATACCTGAAAATTTTTAATTAATTTCATTTTAAAGGTAAAGGATAAAAATACAAAAGAAAATTTAAATTCTTTAAAAGAAGAAGAGGATAATCAAGTTGATGGCTGTTATGTTGAATTAAACGATTTGAAAAATGAAGTAAAAATTTTTTTTAATAATTTTTTAGGTTCTTTTTTAGGTTTTATTATGTTTTTTCCTTCCATCTTTACAAAATGGTAAATTTTAGGAAGGAAAAAATAGACGGCAACTCTAAAAAAATCGGCCTAACGGCAAAATTTAACATTAAGGAAATTTGTTCATTCCGAGGCAGGAAAATAAAAAGGGAAATTAATCTGAAACTCAAATAGGCTGGTGGTGGGATATTAAAAAAATATTAATAAAGTATCCTTTTCGTTTTAAAAATCGACATTAAAATTTAATTAGCCCTTATAAAATTAAAAATCCACCTTTAAATTTCGATATAATCAATCTAATTTTATTTTTTAAGTTCCAAGTAGAGGCAATAGAATCATTTGAAGAAGTTCAATTTATTGAAGATTTAATGTTAAAAGATTATTTTAAAGAAGGAATACCTTATAATGGTAAAGCTTTATGTTTTCCTCTTGGTGCTAAAATTACTGTTTTACAAAAATATTTTTTAAATAAAAATGAAGAACAAAAAGAAATAGATAAATGGCTATATTTAGGTAGATATAATAATGAGGTTTGTTTGCCCCCACTCTGCAAAAAATTTTTTAAATTTTTATAGATTGGTTGGTTTCCACCTTGTAGTGTTAATGAGGTTTCTGATGTTTCTTTTGAATCTAATAATTCTAGTAGCGAATTAAATTATGGAACTATTGAATTGGCTGGAACTTCTTTTGAAGAAAATGTTTTTTTCTTTTATTTTAAATTTAAAAATAATTTTTTTGTTAATTTAAAGAGAGAAGAACGTCCTTATTCATTCAAAATTTCTTTAACACAATCTCATTGGAAAGTTCGAGTTTATATAGTTGCTACAGATAATGAAGAGGAATTAAAAGAATGGTTATTAATATGTCAACAACAATCTAGACAAGCAAATGATAAAATACAGCAATTAAGGAATAGGGAAAGACAATTGAGAATTGCTAGTCAATTGTCCTGTTTAGTGGTAAATTTAATTTATTTTAATGATAATATTATGATATGTATCGAGTCTGGTTCTGAATATCTTCCTTCAATGAATATTAATGTTATACATCCCTCGATCTAAAACGACTTTTGAGGAATCCCCCTTCTTTTTAAAATTCTTTCGGGGGTTCGCTCCGTAAAATGACATTTTTTTCAGAATTTTCTGCAAAAAATCCATAAACTATTACCCCCTCCTCTCTCCAACTCCACACATTTCACCTCCTACTTACGCCCACGCCCAGCAACCACCCCGTACCTTGGCATACCCCATTTTGGGTACAACTCTAGTGAAAAAATTATTTAAAATAGGTTTATTGTCAAGCTGTGCCTTTCAATCCAGATTTTAAATTACAAGATCAAAGAAATTCTTTTTTTGAAATGTGTTCTTTTAGGTATTTTTAATATTAATTTTTATAATTTAATTTAAAAAAAGTGAATCAAAGCATGATAAATTAATAGAGAAAGGTTTACCTTTATTTAATCAACGTCAACTGTCCAGAGTATATCCACAAGCTAGTCGTTTAACTTCAACAAATTTTAATCCAGTACCAATGTGGAATAGTGGATGTCATATGGTTGCTCTAAATTTTCAAACTGGGGATAAACCTATGCAATTAAATTTTGGACGTTTTAATGCAAATGGAAGGTAATTTTAAATAAAAAATAAAATTTTTTGAAGAAATTTTAGAATAAATTTTTGTTTATTTTATTTTTGTCTAACAATAAGACTAAAATACTTATTTACTTTTTAATATTTATTTCCTCCCAAAATTTCTTCTCTAAAATTAATTAATTAAAAATTAAAAAGGTGTGGATATGTCTTAAAACCTCAATATTTAATGGATGAAACTTTTTGGCAAAAACAACAAAATGAATTATTTAATCAAAAATTAGAGGGAGTAAAGAAAAAATTACTTTGTCGATTTTGCCGCAATAAAAGCAAAATACCTTTAAATAAGTAAAGAATATTTTTAATTCATTTACAAAATATTTTTGTTTAAGAGAAAAAGAAAATGGAGATTTACAAAAATGTTGTTGTGACAAATTAAATTTAGATTTTGATGAAAATTTGGAAGAAAAACAAAAAGAAAATAATTTAAATGGAATAATTAATAATAAGGTTTTTTTTAGAAAAATTAATTTAAAAAATTTACTTTTATTTTTTCTTTAAAAAAGGTTAATAATAATTCCTCAACACTTTTTACTTCAAATAGACCAATTATTTTAATTATTACAATTATTGCTGGAAGACATTTAACTCGTAAAAGTGGTTATGATAAAGGGGGAATTTGTTCTCCATATGTTGAAATTGAATTACTTGGATTTGGAAATGATTCTCAAATTCAAAAAACAAATACTATATGTAAATTTTTATTTTTTAAATTTAAATTTCATTTCAAAAAAGGTTCAAATGGTTTAAGCCCTGTTTGGCAAGAACGCTTTTATTTTAAAATAAAATATCCAGAAATGGGCCTTTTACGCTTTTTTGTTGAAGATGCGGATTTTGTTGGGCCTAAAACGGATCCTTTTATTGGCCAAGCAATATTTCCAATTGACTGTATTCGACCTGGATTTCGTTCAATTTCATTACTTAATCAATTTAATGAACCTTTAGAATTATCTGCTTTGCTTGTGCATGTTGAAATTCGGTATATTTAAATTTTTTTTGAAAATATTTAATTGAAATTAGAAGGGGATTGGGAAGTTTTTGATTAGAAAATTTTTTTAGAAATTTGAGATATTTCGACAGAAATTTTCTTTAATTAAAGAAAGCATTTTATTCGATTATTTACAACTTCTCTCCAATTTCCACTTAATTTTTACCTTTTATTTTTTAGTGAATGGAAACATTTTAATACAACAATAACAACCACAAAATGTCGTTCAAATTCACTTTTAGTTGCTGGAAATTCTTTAAATTTTTCTTCAAAAATTTCTTCTTCATCATTTTCTGATGGAAGTAATTTAAATAATAATTTAATTGAGGAAAACCCTCCAATTTTGAATATTCACCAATATTTACAATTTGGACGTTCAATTTTAGCTGATTCTCAACAAGAGCAATTAATTGAAAATAATTCTTCTTTAGAAGTAAAAGAAATTTATTTTAATTAAATCTTTTAAATTAAAGTCTTCTGGAATGATCTCAACAAAAGAATTAAGGCAAACAAATAATTTAGAAGATTATACTTTTAGGTATTTTTTGGAAAAGAAAAAATATTTTTTTTTATTTTTTTTACAGAAATCCAACAACAATATCACCACCAAATAATAATAGAAATTCAGCTTTGCGTAATGGATCGAGTACTTTAAGAAAACTTTTCCGATTGGGTCGAAATAGCAATAATTAGAATAATGCCATAAAATTAATTTTTTTAAAGCTCAAAACTCAGTGAAACTAAAAATATTATTTATTTTGCATTTAAATTTTTTTCTAATTTTTATAAATTTTGCACTATCATGTACTTTTGTTTTTCTGTTTTTATACTAAATTATTTATATTTAAAAAAATATTTTAAAGTTATATTTCAAGTAGAAAAACCTAGACTAGAAAAACCTAGATCGATGTCTCGAAAAATATCGGGCTCGAAAAACCGAATTTTTTTCGAGATTTCATCTCGATTCAATCTAGAAAAATTTTTACACACTTTTTACAATAACAATTTTAAGATAATATGAAATCTTCTGCTCCTCCAACAACTGACAACTCTCAACAAAAGAATGGGTCTGTTTCCTCAACACAACAAAATTTGCAAAGTCCGGCTAGAAAAGTTCAAAATATTATTGCAATAAAGCCAAGAATTAAAAGAAAAGTTGTGGAATTATTTTGTTCTGAAGTTAGATGGTTTTTTAGACGAAAAGAGGACACGAAATGGATGCCTTTTAAAGGTTTTTTAAAAAGATTTTGTGAAGAAAAATTTTTAGGTTATGATTCTACTGTTTTAGAAGTTGCTTTTAGACGTCAAAAAAGATTAGAATTTGATGACGAAACAACAAAATTTTTAAATTCTTTACCCGATTCTGTAATTGTAATGGAAGGTAATTACGTGGCAGATGAACAATTGCAAAATATTAATGCAATATATTGGAAGGAGGATACTTTTCAGGTTTTTTTTATAGAATTTTGGTTACTATGTGGGTATCCCGTACTTCGTTTCATCCTTCTCTCTCTTTTACTCTAACATTGTTGGCAGAATATTTTTTGAGTGTCATTTTAAAATATTTTTTAGATTCGTCGAGGAACCTGGTTTTATATGGAAACCTGTCAGCCTCTTCCAGATGATTTTGCTGATACAATTGAGACTCATCATTTAAAAAGCTTTAAAGGCAATGTTATTCCAGAAACACCTGTTTTTAGTGAATCGGAATCCAGCAAGAAACCTGGTTTATTTTTGTATTGAAAAAATAAATTAATTTAAATTGTTTAGAATTAACCACAGTAAAGTGGGGAGATGAAAAAGTTTGTTGGAATTCTGTTGTCGATGTCCATATAGCTTCAAAAAGTAATGCAGTTGTTCGTTTTTTGACTAGAGCTAAAACTGTTCCTTTGCGTAGAGGATACATTGAAATGGCAAACCCAGAGGAAGGAAGACCTAAATTCTCTGATTTGGTTAATTTTTATTTTTTTTTATTATTTTAAAATTTTTTTATAGATTCTTGTAATCCATGGAATTGGACAAAAAGGATATGAAAATTTAATAGCTAAAAATACAGCGCAAATACGTGATGCGGTAATTCACCAAATGGATAAATATTATCCAAATGAGAAGAGGCGTCCAGCAATATTGCCTATTGAATGGCGTTCAACTCTTCAATTAGACAATGGTTTTTAAATTATTTTTTTACAAATATTTCTTTCCTAAAGGGATGACAGACGTTGTAACTCTTCCAAAAATGGTTTGGGCAAGAAGTACACTTAATTCTGTTTGTATGGATTTAATGTATTATCACTCCCCTCTTTATCGTTCTGAAATTGTAAACGGAGTCATCAAATGTTTAAATAATGTTTATACTTCATTTTTGGAAAATAATCCTGATTTTTCTGGTTTTTATTTTGTAAAATAATTTTTGGTCATCTTTTAAAATTTTAGGTCCTGTTTCTGTTATTGGACATTCCCTTGGATCAGTAATTGCCTATGATATTTTAACCAATTGGAGCCCTTTCCTTCTTTATGATCAATTTGTAACTAATGCAATTGCCGAAAATCTTCAACAAAATTTCCCAGCGGAACAAAAACAATTATTAGAACAATTTTATGATAGCCGGAAAAAAATGCTTGATTTGGGTGATTTAATGGAACAAATTTTGGTTAGACAAGATGAACCGCTTAAATTTAAAGTTTACTTTATTATCTTATTTTTTTAAATTATTTCTAAGGTAAAATATCTTTTCTGTCTTGGTTCTCCTCTGGCTGTTTTTACAATTATGAGAGGAGCAGATTATCGAAGTATTGTGCCGGATAAAGATAAAATTGAAAGAATTTTTAATATTTTTCATCCATATGACCCTGTTTCTTATCGGTTGGAGCCTATGTTTCATGAAAATTATAAACACATTAGACCAATTAAACTTTTCAAGTAATTTAAAAATTCAATTATAAATAAAATTTTTATTTATTTTAAAAGCTATCGGGATGCAGTAAAACCCTATGATAATAATTTTTATGATTGCCATAAAAGCTATTTGGAAGAATGTAAAGATAGAAAGAGGAGGGAAGTCAAAGCGAATAAAGGAAAAGAATCAAAAGAGAAGACTGGAAAAAGGTTTATATTTTTTAAATAAATTTTATTTTTTCTTATTTTTAGTGATAATGGATCTAAAAATAGTGGTAAATCCCAAAAAACTAAGAAAGAACGCCCAAAGTCAGTCGATGGAGATGACGAAGATGAATATTTTAAATATGAAGTGGATTCTGATTCAGATGCTGGCTGTCAAAGTAATTCAACTCCGGCGACAGGTTTTGTTTAAAAATACATTTTAGAATAACCATTAGTTTATAAGTATATAAATAAATGCGTAAAAATTTTCAGATTTTTCGAGATCTATATATAATATTAAATTATCTAAATCGGATCCCGAAAACCCCATTTGCAAAAATTTCGAATAATTTTCCTTTTTGACCAATTTTAGGTTCATCTCCTCGAAGTATAACTCCCCATAATATTGATAATAATACAAACGCTACACTTACACCTGCTACTCCAACAATTCAGGAATTAAAATTTTGTGATCCTGACTCTTATGCAAAAATTAATAAAGATCAAACAGAAATTGATGAACAAGCACTTGAAGTTGGAATTGAGCCTGGGGTTGATGATGAAGAAAAATTTAAAGAATTAGTTAGTGATGTTGAAGGTAATCAACAAAAGAATGTTGCCTCACATGATATTTTGAAAACAATGGGGGAAGCTGGTCGTTTAGTTGAAGAAATTCCACCTGAAAGGCGAATTAATCAAAGACTCGATTTTCAGGTTTTTTGTAAAATTATTTAGTTATTTGATTATTTTTAGGTACAACCTTGGACTTTAGAAAAATCATATTGGTCAATGCTTCGTTCACATTTTTCTTATTGGACAAATCCTGATGTTGCTGCCTTTTTGCTTAATACACTTTATCCGCAACCAGAAAATTCTGAGAATTCTTAAATATATTTTTTGTTAAACTTGAGATCTTAAAAAAACTTCTTTAACTTCATTCTTCAAAACCCAACAATTTTATAAATTAATTTCTTTCTTAAAATACAATTTTAAATAATACTTTGTGATAGTTTTTAGATTTTTTAAATTTTTAATTCCTGGTTCTAATGTAGATTTGCTTGATGACACTTTAGTGGCAATAAAATTAAAATATGTAACTATTCTTGTTTGTTATTTAGTGCTTTAAATAAATTATAAAATAAATTTGCTTTTGAAATTTTATTTAAAATTGGATACAATTAAATTCTAATAATTATTTGTTTTTTAAATAGATTAAAGTATTTTCAATAAAATAATTGTTTTTTAGGGCAAAATATATTTTTAAAAAATGATTGGAGATCAAAGAAAATTAAAATTTGTGCAAGTTCTCATCAGTTTTCGACATTTTTCATGTTCTAGAGGGCTGGTTAATAAATCATTTCAATATGTTAATACAAAAAGCATTGTCAATCTTCAATTTGTTAGGCCGTTGTCTACAAAGGATGTTTTCTTTAAAGAAATTGGTTTGGTTAAATTTTTGTTAATTTTTTAAATATTTTTCATTAGCTGATTTAACGTCACAAATTCCTCCGCCTCCAGTGCCTTCTGGCACTAAACAAACGTTGGAAGAATTAGTGGCTGCAGGTGTTAGTATATTGGATGATTTGGAATTGTGGACTTGGTGGAAGCCTAGTTGTTGGTTGCGTTGGGGGTTTGAATTATGCCATTTTTACACTGATTTGCCTTGGTGGGGAGTAATTGCAGCTAGTTAGTTATTCTTTAAATTAAAAAAATTTTTTGTTAGTGACTGTTCTAATTCGTTTATCTTTGATTTTTGTTCCAATTAAAATTCAACGTTTTAATGCCATGCAGAGTCAATTCCGACCAGAAATTCAGAAATTTAATGATCGAACAAAGGAGGCAAAAAGAGAGGGAGATCACATGCTTGGTTTGTTTTGTAAAATTTTTTAAATTTTTATTTTAGTTTATCAAATAATGATGGAACAAAAGGATTTTTTGAAACAAAAGGTTGTAATTTATTTTTTTATTTTTATTAAATTTATTTAAAGGATATAAGTCCTGTTAAATATATGCCGCTAATCGCTTCAAACTCTTTGGTATTTATGTCACAGTTCTTTGCTATAAGAAATATGGCTGTTGCTAAATATCCAGTTAGTTGAAAATTATAATATTTTTAAATTTTCTTTTTGTTAGGGTTTTCAAGATGGAGGGATTTATTGGTTCACAGACCTCACTGTTGGCGATCCTTATTGGGTATATTAATTTTTATTAAGGATATGCAAAAGTTCTTTAAATATTTATTAATTTGTGTTTGGAAATTGCAAATGATTTTGTTTATCTTTGATTATTTCCTCTAATAACAGAAGGATTCCCTGGGTACAGAATTATTATTTGTCCACAACATCATATTGATTTAGATGCAAAAATCCATTTATTTCGAAACTCCAATGTGATGATATTCTCTTTTCATTTAGATACAAGAAAATTTATATTCTGATTTATTTATATTAATAATTTTTTTTAAAGATTTTACCTGCCATCTCTGCAATTACAGTTCACTTCGTTTTTAAGGTTTACTTTATTTTTTAATTTATTTCTTTTTTACAATTAAGAGTGGTGTAGATATAGGATCTTTGGATGCGTCTCCAATAATGCGTCCAGTTCTCTTATATGCTTTTCCAGCTGTTGTATTTGTTTTTGCTTTACAATTTCCTTCGGTATTTCGAAAATTTTACAAAATTATTTTTATTAGGCACTTTGTGTTTATTGGGTTACAAACAATGTGCTTTCCATGTTTATATCATTCACACTTAAAAGGGATTCTGTTCGGCGTTTATTGGATTTACCCGAAACTGTTGCGTACAATAAATCTGGAAAGGCAGAACTTAAACAAGCTTACCAGGAATGGACAAACAATGGTTAATTAATTTTATTATTATTTTGACAAAAAGGGGCTAAAAACAATTATTTTTAACTAAAATTAGGTAAGTTATACAAATTTAGTTACACATTAGTTACAATTAGTTAAACCTTGATATATTAACCTTCCATGGTAACTAACCTCTCGAAATAGAAAACTTTTCCATCGGTTCCTAAAAAGTTTCACAAAAATGACTACCCAATTTAGGAGAGAAACTCCGTTAATATTCATTTTTAGCTGCTAATCAATGGTCTTCACGTAAAAATATCAGACAAGAGGATTATGAACAATTTCAAAAAGCGGGAAGGGGAAAACCAATTCTTTTAGTAGAAAATCGAGAATTAGAAAATGAAGAGAAACCAAAATTGGCGATTAAAAAAACAATTTAAGTAAAATTAAAATGTTATTTTTAGGTGTTTTTTGTGTTTATTTTTTTGTTATTTTTGTTTTCAATAATAATATTTTGATTTATTTTTATTTTTATATCTCCCTTATTTGTTGCTATTGGTTACAAATAATTTTTATTTAATAAAAAGAGGAAAAGAAATTTTAAATTTACCAATAATTTTAAAATAATTATTTCTTTTATCAAAAGAAAATGAGTGCTCAAAGTCGCCAAGCACAACAATTATCGTCTGCTAATAATCAACAAAAACAAGACGATCCATATGGAGGTTTTAATGATTATGACCATGCTTATGATTTGGAGGTTGTTTGATAATACTTTGGCTTACTTTGGTTTATATCTCCCTTTTTCCTTTTCTCTTTTTCCCTTTATTGTTCCTGAAGCAGAAAAGGGATTGAAGTTAATTTAGAAAAGTAAACCAAAGTATCACTTTTTTTTATAAGAATGAAAAAGGTTTGGATCAAAAATCATTTACAAAATTCAAGAATCATAAGGGATTCATTATAAATCCAGCTTTAAAGAAAATGAGTGTCAGTCTCCGGGAATCACGATAAACGATATGGATAACGGAGTAGTACCCTTAATGTTAGTAGATTATTCCATGGCAATAAAAATCCATTACATGACCAGAGTGTACTTAACACACCCCCAATGTTTTCTCTACCTTTTTGCTTTTGAAAGAATAAGAAAAAGGAGGGAGGGAAAAGTAAAAAATCATCAGGAAGGAGAAGTAAACCAAGGTATTATGTACTGTTTTTTTATTAAAAATTTTCTTTACCAAAAATATATTTAAAGAATTTATATTCTGATGGAAATTTTGTTCAAGCAGCCGTTCGGTCAAGTTATGGGCGTAGACCGGTTAAGTTAAAAAAGGAATATTTTATATAAATTTTAAAGGCTACATCTTCACGTTTGGGCACATCAATGCCTGTAGGAACTGCAATGGGTCTTCGATTGCCCACAGCTGCCTCATATTCTCAAATGGGCGTTAAAAGACTTGCAACTGGAGGAATTAATGGTAATTTTTCAAATTAAAAAGAACCTCAAAATAAATTTAAAAATCTTTTTTTTAGCTCATCATCCTCTCCCTCTATCTCGTGCGAGGACAGGAATTGCTGGTGGAACAGCTGCTGGGTTACGAACTGGAATGCCTTCAGAATTAGCACGTCCAATGACTGCAATAAGAGGGGCTGGTTATTCTTCTGCTGGAAGAAGTAAATATTTGGAAATGATTTTTAAAAATAATTTCAAAAAAAGAAAGTACTTTCGATAAAATACCAATTCAACAAAATGAAGACAATAATAACCTTCAAAATGAAGAAAATGCGCAATTAGAGAAAGCAAAGAAATTAGAAGATCAAGCAATGGAACAATTACTTGAAAGTACTTTTTTGGCTGAAAGAGGAGAAATAAAAGCTGTAAAGAAAATTTAAATTAAAAATTAAATTTCTTTAAAAGGCATTAGATAAAGCTAAAGAAGCAACAAGACAATGGAGAACATCAGATAATTTACGTAAAAGTTCGGGAGAACAACAAAATATGGATTTGGGTTGGTGTTCTTTATTGTGTTTAGCACAACAAAAATTAATTAATGGAATACCTTCTGAAGCTTTAAATATTTATCAAACAATTGTCAAGTAATTTTTTTTGATAGAGGGAATTTAATAATTATTTTTTGTAGAAATCGTTCTTATGCAAATGGGCATAGATTAAAAATAAATATAGGAAATATTTATTTTAGAAAAAAAGAATATACAAAGGCTTTGAAATATTATAGAATGGCTTTAGATCAAGTACCAAAAGTGAGCAAAAGAAAATTATTTTTTTAATAAGGGAGGACTGGGGATAGTTTTTAGTTATTTAGTTATGAGGCTAAATTGTTAATTGATCAAATAATTATTATTTGGTTATCCCTTTCTCTGTCTCTCTCTGGATATCCCAGCCCTCTCTCTCTGGATATCCCTCTCAATCATTTCAATATCCCCCTCTCTCTCTCCACTTATTTTTAACTTTTAGGTTCATCAAAGAATGCGTGCAAAAATTTTGAGTAATATTGGAGTTGCTATGGTTAGACTAGGACGGTAAAAAAATAAAAAATACAGCGGTGTGCACAAGTAATGGTACTCAAGGGTTATATTTTTGTTTCTGAATATATTTAATTATTCTTGTAATTTTTCACAATTAATCAAAATTGTTTTAATAATTTTTGAGTAATTACTTTTGCACCTTCAATAATAAATAAATATATCTCTCTTTAATTTTTAGTTATGAAGATGCTTTATCTTCATTTGAGGAAAGTTTAGAATTAAATGGACGTTCAGCAGCTGATTATTCGACTGCTTTAAATTTAATAATGGCTGTAAGAAAAGATTTTATTTTTTTAATTTAAATTAATTCTTTTGTAGGCTTATTGTTTGGGAAATGAAGAAAAAATGAGAGAATCATTTCAACGTTTAGTTGATATACCTATTTTAATTGATGAAAATAAACAACAACAAGTATGTATTTTTATAAAAGAAATATTTTAATTAATTTAAATAAAAGGAGGAATTAGATGTATTAACTACCCAATTATTAGAAAATGATGCTTTAGCTATTTGGGAAAGGCGTAAACGACATCAGGCAGAGAAAACAATTCTTTTGGCTGCAAAAATAATTTCTCAAGCAATTGCCCCAAGGCAATCTTTTTTTTAATTTTTTTTAAATCATCTGACATTTTTTATTTCCTTTAAATCGAAAAAATTTGTAAAAACAAAGAGACTAATTTTATGGGTAAAATAATTCTTCAAAAGTTTTTTTTCAGTTTTTCTGAAGGTTATGCTTGGTGTGTTGAATGTATAAAACATTCAATATATGCAACATTAGCTACAGAATTGGAAATGAATAAAGTTTTTAATTAATTTAAATAAAGTTTTTAAATTTTAATTAAAAAAAGGTAATTGAATTATTACGTCAAGGTCATTTGGACCAAGCAATTGAAGATTTATTGGCTTTTAATAGTAAAACAGATGGAAAAATAGCAAGTGCAGCTAGTAATAATTTGGCTTTAATTAATCTTTTGGTAAATTTAAATTCTTTATAAAATCAGTCGGATTTAAATTTATTTTTTAAGAAAGGAGAAGATAAATTAGAAGATGCATTACAATATTGTGAACAAGCATTGAGTTTAGACCGGTAAATAATTAAAATAAAAATATTAAAAAAATATATTTACTTTAGTTATAATTCAAATGCTTTGGTAAATCGTGGAAATATTCATTTTTATAAAAACGAGCCTCAATTAGCTTTACAATGTTTTAGAGAAGCTTTACAAGTAGATTCTGGTTGTATACAAGCTATTTAGTTAGAAATTAATTTTAAAAGAAAATTCTTTTTTTTTAGTAATTCTGGTTTAGTTTGTCGTTTACTTGGGCAATTAGATGAAGCAAAAAGAAATTTTTTTAAATTAAATGATATGTTGGCACATGAACCTCAAGTACTTATTCAATTGGCAGAAATGTAAATTTTAAAATTTAATTTAAAAAATTTTTGAAAAAGAAATATTTAATAATTTTGACATAATTCGATTGCCCCTTTCCTTTACTTTAATCCTTTTTTAGTTCAATAATATTTTTTAAAAATTAAATTAATTAATTTAATTCCAAAAAAGATATAATCAACAAGGAGAACATTCACAAGCAATAGAATTATTTACTCAAGCAAGTACTCTAGCCCCTACAGACCCTTCAATATTAGAAAGATTAGCATCTATTTACGAGAATTTTGGTGATAATTCAACAGCTTTTCAATATTTTCGTGATGTTTGTTTTTTTGAAAATTAATTTTTTTTTTAAATAATTTTTTTCCAAAAGAGTTTTCACCATTTTCCTTCAAATATTTCATTAATTAAATGGCTTGGAAATTATTATATGTCTGCACATTTCTCAGAAAAGGCTGTTTTATATTTTGAAAAAGCTGCTTTAATGGAACCTAATAATCCGGTTATTTTCTTTTTTAAAATTAAAAATTATTTTTATTTCAAAAAAAGGAATGGCCAATGTTGACTGCCGGGTGTCAAAGACGTTCAGGAAATTTTCAACGAGCATTGGAAATATACAAACAAGTACATAGAAGATTTCCTGAAAATGTTGAATGTAAAGGAATTTTTTAAAAATAAATTTAAAAAAATAAAAAGGCATTAGCTAATTAGTATATTTTGTAGATTAAGTCCCTAAATTGAAGTTCCAAAATTGGTTAAAGAAAACTAATCACGGAACATTAAAAATTTGAAAAACAATGGGAAACTAAAGATTTGTTAAAATCTTTGTTTTGATATCTTTCTATTATTTTTTTATCAGACCTAGCTAAGAGCAGCAATAAAAATAGAAAATAAAGTTTCTCTTATTCCTTCACACCTGCCCCCATACCTTTTTCAATTCTAAATTTTAAGAAAATAATTTTTTTTAATTTTAAAGGTTTAAAATTTCTTGTACAACTAAGCAAAGAATTACGATTAACAGTGGAAGAGCGTGATTATACAGAAAAATTGGGAAGAATTGAAAAAATAGGACAATTAAAGGCACAAAGAGAATCTGGAGGACAAAGGCTTTTATTTAAAATTATTTTTTATTTATTTTTTATTAAAGGCAATTATCAGCAAATAATGAAAGAAAAAATATTTTTGATATTTCAACTCCAACATCCCAACAAAATAGTCAAAGAAATAGTGGAAGAGGAACAACAACTAATTCTGAAAGAGCTTCACAAATTTTACAACAAGTTGGGGGAAGTAATCAAAATTATCAAGCTACAAAAAGGGATATTAGTAAATATTTATTAAATATTTTTGTTTAATTTTTTTAATTAAAAAATTAGCCGCAGATGATTTAATTTGGAAAGACAATAATATAAACAATAATTCTTTTTCTATGGCTACTCGTCCAATGACTGGAATGAGAAGGGCGGGGGATGAACAACAATCAGAATTACTTTTTGAAAATGATGATGGAGATGAACTTCTTCCAGACTAATTTTTAGAGATTTTTTAAATATTTGTATATTTATTTTAAAGATTGAAATTTAAACTATAAATTTTTGAAAGAATTATCAAAAATAAAATTTTTTAAAATAAAATACCAAAAAATAAAATCCTTAAGGAGGAAACAATTTTATGAATAAAGTTAACTAACTTTTTTAATTTAAAATCTTATTAACCTAAAAAATACCCTTTCCTATTTTTAACACAAAAAAGGCAATTTAAGCTACACAATTTATCCAACATTTTACAGAACATTTTTTTCGAAAAAAATAATTGGTTGGAAAAAGAATATTTTAAATTCCTTTTTCCCCTTTTTAAACTAAAATATATTTTAATTTCCACAATTTTTTACCTATAACAATTTTATATATTCCTTTCAATCAAGTGCGAGTTCCCCTCTCACGAGCAGCCTCCAACAATTTGTCTTGCAGCTTTTCCATAATGAATAGACGCTGATGAGAATATCCATATGGATCATAGCTAATTTAAATAAATTATTTAAATTATCTTTTTATTTTCTTACATTTGAGTCGGGTATTTCCAATAATCCTCACGAATACGCGACCAATCCCAAGGAGGGATTTTTGTGCCTGAAAAATAAATCTAATAATAAAAACAAAAACAAACACATACTTCGATCATACCAAATTTCAATACGCCTAGTTGCATAAAATCCGATTATGAGAACCAACGTACAAGAAACAGAGAAGAGGAAGAGAATTGGCCAAAGCTCAAAATCATGTTCGAGATTGTGGAACAAAAATCTGTTAGAAATTTAATTAAATGATAAAATTAAATGACAGAAAATAAGAGGAAGGTATAAAAATAAAAATGTGTTTTTCCTCGATATCTGCTCGAAGACATAAATTATAGAAAAATTTTGGAAGAAAGTGAAAAGAATCTGTTACATTTGAATCAAGAATCCATATTTGTAATTTATAATATCGAAAAAACCTTGCAAGAAATGAGGGACTTTACGGAATATTACAGTTAATTTTTAAACAAACCTGAATGTCGTGTTACTATTGATTTGCGGCTTGTAGCGCTTATCTCTAGACCAACTACGTTCGTAGTGAAAATGTCCCTTCTCATTTGGCGGTGGCTTCATTTGAATTTTAGCCGGAGGCGGAACAGGCAAATGGTCATATGTAAGATAACGAAGCGGAACAATTTGCACAAAGCAAAGCGATTGAAGAGTCGATGTTGAAGAAGTAACCGGCAATGAACGAATTCGAGAAATTACACTCATTGTACTCTTTAAAAAAATTAATTAGTTAATTTTAATTAGCAATTAATAAATAGAAAAAAGAAAATAACACAAAAATATAATATTAAAACATTTAGTGGTTTTTTACTTTTTGGGAAAATTTCGACAAAAATGTCATTCGAAAGAATACGGAAAGCTGGGTCCAACAAGATAAGGAAGAAGCCAATTAGGCATTTAATATTTTTAACACTGGCAACTCAAACAGCCTTAGGTGGAACAATTAATTAGTAAATTAATAATTAACAACTACAGTCCATGCCTAATTGCCACCGCTCGATAGTCGGGGTAAAAGTCGATGTCGATTCAGGTCGATTCAAAATAGCCGATCAGTATTGGTCGCGTTCAGTCGTCCTGTTCCGTTTAATAGTGCAGAGAAATTGTGGAACAAGACAAAAAAGAAAGATTTTTAATATTGGGCGTTTCAGAATCTTATTGTAGGCAAAATGGTCTGCGACAAAGTGGACTGTACATAAATTATGCGGTGGGGGACGACTGAGTCCCGCCGACTGAGGCCTCTAGCCATATTTTGGGCCATAACTTTTTGGCTTTCGACCAATTCAAATAAAGCTTTTATCATTCGAAAGCCTTGGTTTTGAGAATTATTTTTGCCGAATGGGGTGATTTAATCAGATTATCATACAAAGAGTTGCATCTAGTTAAGTGCGCGCAATCGTGATTTTTGATCTTTATTAAGCTGTAACCTTTTGTATGTTGACCTGGTCAGATTAATCCTACTAGATAAAATAATCCTTTCATCGAGATCTTTCGATTTTATATTAATTGTCTAAATCAATTAAGAATTGAAAGAGTTATGGCCTAAAATATGGGTAAGGGACTCAGTCGGCGGGACTCAGTTGGGACGTTCCGCGAATTATGTATGCGTCATTTTACTTTTGTGATCATTGATCTTTCGTTAGAATGTGGAGGATTTTGTATCTGATTTGATCAATTTTCAATATTTTGTAAAAATTATTTAGCAGTATTTTAGACCTAGTTAATAAAAGAAATGAGTGAATTCTTCTTTAATATCGATCATGGCTATTTAGAGGGATTAATTCGTGGATTTAAGTCCGGTCTTTTAACAACGACGGATTACGCTAATCTTGTGCAATGCGAAACTCTCGAAGGTTTAAATTTGAAAATATATTCTTTTAAAAGAATTTTTAGATTTAAAATTGCATATTCAATCAACTGATTATGGAAATTTTTTGGCAAATGAACCTGGAAGTATTACTGTTCAAGTTTATTTTAATTCAATTTTAAATTAAACAGAAAATCATTTTAAGGTTATTGATGAACGTTTGAAAGAGAAATTGGTTGCAGAATTTAATCATCTTCGAAACAATGCTTTGGAGCCTTTGTCGACTTTTTTGGACTTTATTACGTTTGTTTTTCTATTTTTTGGAGTGTTTTGTCTTTATGGTTTTAACGAGTCGTGTTATATTCTAATACATAATGCATTATCTACATGTTGTATTTCTTCCTGTATCCATTTGTTTCTCTTTTATTGCCAATAAAGGGTTCAACTAATCTACAATATTTTTTTAGCTATTCGTACATGATTGACAATATAATTCTTTTAATAACTGGAACTTTGCATCAACGACCTATTAACGAATTAATTTCAAAATGCCATCCATTGGGTTCTTTTGAGCAAATGGAAGCAATACATATTGCTTCAAATTCTGCTGAACTTTATAATGCTGTTCTTGTCGACACACCTTTAGGTGAAGTTCTTGTATAGTTTTGTCTAATCTTATAATTTTTCAGCTCCTTATTTTGTCGACTGTATTAGTGAACAAGACTTGGACGAATTAAATGTTGAGATTATTCGAAATACACTTTACAAGTCTTATATTGAAGATTTTTATAATTTTTGTAAAAAACTTGGGGGAAAAACGGCCGAAGTTATGTGTGAAATTTTGGCGGTTAGACTTTCCCAGAGGAAGAACTAATTCTCTAAATTTTAGTTTGAAGCTGATCGTCGTGCTATTATTATTACAATAAATAGTTTTGACACTGAACTTAACAAAGATGACCGCGCTAATTTATATCCACGTTGTGGAAAGCTTTATCCAGAGGGATTAACTGGACTTGCAAAAGTTTTTTTTGTTTTAATTTAAAAATTGTTTTTTATTTAGGCTGATGATTATGAGCAAGTCAAACAAGTTTGTGACTATTATTCTGACTACAAACAACTTTTTGAAAACAGCGGAAACAATCCAGGAGAAAAAACTCTTGAAGATAAATTTTTCGAACATGAGGTTTTTGTTGAATAGCAGAATTTAATTTTTAAATTTTACAGGTAAAATTAAATGTCCAAGCTTATTTACATCAATTCCATTTTGGAGTGTTCTATGCTTTTGTTAAACTGAAGGAGCAAGAAATGCGTAATATTATTTGGATTTCTGAATGTATTGCACATCGTCATCGGGCTAAAATCGATAATTATATTCCAATTATTTAATAAAATTAAATAAGAAAAGGACGTTTAGGTTGTAAAAATGAGAGCTTTTTGAGGGAATTTTCTCTTAGAAAATGAACATTTCTAAATACAAGTTAGTGCAATTGATGTTTTTGTCTTGTTGATTCATAAAATGATTAAATAATAACCAATTGCTTAAAATATTTGTTTAACTATTGATTGTTATTAACTTGTATTTTTTAGATAATTTTTATTATAAAATATCTTTAAAATTTAATTGTGAATTTAACCAAAGTTTTCTGCTTAGATTTTTAATTCATTATTAGTAATCAAAAAACTACTATATTTTTGTAATATAAATATATAAATGCTTTTTAAATATATTTTTTATTTTGTTTATTTTCAATTTTAATATCTTTAAATAATTAAATTAATGTTTTAAATTTTCTTTTTCATAGATAGCTTTTAAAAAATAAAAAAAATGACGGACGTAGCTGAGCAAAAGAAAAAGCGAACTTTTCGTAAATTTGTTTATCGTGGTGTTGATTTGGAGCAACTTTTGGAAATGAATGAGTTTGTTTTCATTTTTATTTTGAAGATAATATTTTTACTTTCAAGTCAGCAATTCAATAAATTGCTTCCTTGTCGTCAACGACGCAAAATGAATCGTGGATTGAACCGTAAACATAAATCTTTGCTTGTTCGTCTTCGTAAAGCTAAATTAAATGCTCCGGAGTTGACCAAACCAGAATGTGTGAAGACTCATTTGCGTGATATGATCGTTTTGCCTGAGATGGTTGGATGTGTTTTGGGTATTCACAGTGGAAAAGCTTATAATCAAGTAATTATTTTAAAAATAATTGTTTTAAAAATTAATTATTGTAAAAAGGTTGAAATCCGTGCGGAAATGATTGGTCATTATTTGGGTGAATTTTCGATTACTTACAAGCCTGTTAAGCACGGTCGTCCTGGTATTGGTGCTACACACAGTTCTCGATTTATTCCGTTGAAGTAAAAAGTATGGAGAAATGGAAGGAAATGATTTGTTATGATTATATTGAAATTAATTGGCAGTTATTCTGTTTTTTAATTGAATAAAAAATTTGTTGGTTAACACTTATATAGAATGATGTTTTTACACAATTTATTTTATTATTTTAAATTTTTATTCGAAATCAGAAGTTATTTGGTCAATCCTATCCGACTGTGTTTACTAATTAAAAGTCCTACAATGAAGGCATATAAGCTATAGTTTAATTCGAAAATAGATTTTCGAAATAGATTTTTCGAAATAGATTTTCGAAATAGATTCTTAATAGATTTTCGAAAAATACCCTTTCAACTTTTTTCTGCTAATTTTATGTCCCATTTGATTAAATTTTGTAATCAATTACAATTTCTCTTCTAGTATCACGCGTAATTTTTTTTATTAAATCGTTCTTTGATCACATCACATTTTTCTATTATTCTCCCGAACATTTTTAAAAATATTTTTCTAAATTTTAGGAATGATGTTTAAACGTTTAATATCATCATTTCCTTTAAAAAATACTAAATTTCAATTAAATTCATTTAGAAATTTGAGTTATTGTGTAGATCGTAAGTTATTTTTAATTTATTTAAATATTTTAATATTTAGCTACACTTGGACTTACTGAAGAACAAAAAGAAATTCAAAAAACGGCTAAAGAATTTGCTAAAAATGAACTTTATCCTTATATGGATGAGTGGGATGCTAAAGTATTGTAAATATTTTTGAACAAATTTGAAAGTTTTTAAGGGCGAATTACCTCTTCATGCTTTTAAGAAAGCCGGGGAATTAGGCTTTGGTGCTATTTATTGTAGTGAGGAATATAACGGTGCTGGTTTGGGACGATATGAGGCGGCATTGGCATTTGAACAATTAGCTGGTGGATGTACAAGCACTGCTGCATATATGGCTGTACATAATATGGTTTGTCAGAATTATTTTTAAACATAAATAAACGGTTAAGTATTTAACAATTAGATTTTTATTAATGCCAGTCCCGGCTTCACTTAAAATTTATCTTCCTAAATAATTGAAAAAAATAAAGTTGAATAATTTGACTAAAAAAGAATCATTTCTAGCTTTTTGTTAAATAATTTCTTTCCACTCTTTTTAGGTCCCTTGGATGATTGACCGTTTTGGAACTGAAGAACAAAAAAGAAAATATATTCCTGATTTGGCCAGTTTTAAAAAATTAGCTTCTTATGGCCTTACTGAACCGGGAAGTGGTAACTAATTATTTTAATTATTTAATAAATAATTTTTATTTTTTTTTTGGCTCCGATTCTGCTGCATTACGAACTGTTGCACGCCAAGAAGGGGATTATTATATTGGTTATTTTGATTTAAAAAATATTTTAGAAATATTTTTAGTTAACGGTTCTAAAGCATTTATTAGCGGCAGTGGTGTATCTAGTGTTTATTTGGTAATGATGCGTTTGGCCGATGGACCACCGGGACCAAAAGGAATTTTTTCTTTAATTATGACACCAGATATGCCTGGTAAATCATCCTTATGATTATTTTTAATTTTATTATTTTTTGGTTTTCAATTGGGCAAAGATGAAAGAAAATTTGGTTGGTGTACACAACCAACTAGAATAATTACTTTTGAGGATGTTAAGGTTTTTAATAATTAAAAAATATATAGTAAATATTTTATTAAGGTACCAATAACAAATAGAGTTGGAGAATTGGGTCAAGGATTTACAATTGCAATGGAAGGATTAAATGGAGGTACGAATAGGGTTTTTATTGATTTTCAGTTTACCACATCTACATATCAGTTCTTTTAAAATTTCCGAATAATCCAATTAAAGTATATTCAGAAAGTTTGGGAAGAAGGACTAACAATTAACTTTTTGTTTTAGCTATCCTTACGATTTCCTTTTTAGGTCGAATAAATATAGCTGCTTGTTCATTGGGTGCAGCACAAATGAGTTTAGATTTGGCTATTAGTCACACGAAAATTCGTGAGGCTTTTGGGAAAACAATTTCTCAGTTTCAATGGACACAATTTAAATTGGCAGAAATGGCTGTTAAGGTAAATTTTATTATTTTTTATTCATTTTTTTTCTTTTTTTTAGTTAGTTACATCGAGATTGTTATTGCGAGAAGCTTGTTTGCACGTAGAAAATGATACACCAAATGCATCTTCCTATAGTGCAATGGCAAAATTGTATATAACAGATGAAGCTTTTAATGTTTGTTTAAACAAATTCTTTTATATTTCTTTTCCCCATATTAAATCTCCTAATTAAAATAAATAAAAATGTTGGCTAGGAAATGGATAATTCCATAAAGTTTGGAAATTTGTCAATAAATTATTTAAACCCTTAAAACAAATTTTAGGTTGTAAATCAAGCAGTTCAAATGTATGGTGGTTATGGTATGCTTAAAGATTACCCTCTTCAGCAATATTTACGTGATTGTCGTGTCCATCAAATAATTGAAGGAACAAATGAAGTAAAAATTAAATAAATATATTTTTTTATTTAAATTTTTTATAGATAATGCGTCTCGTGGTGGCTCGAAATCTTTTGAGTAATGAAATATTTAATGAAATGTGACTTATAAATTAATAAATGGGATTAACTTGTGATAAATTCTATATAATTAGTTATTTGAATTTAAAATTTTTTGTATTTTTACATAAAAAATTTTTCATAAAAATATTTAATTTTAACCTTTTTTATGTAAATGATTTTTTAAATCAAATATTTTTCAAATTGGACTTAATGGCGTACAATTTATGTTTCAATTTTTCTACAATAATTTCATTTATTTAGATTAACCACATTCTAGGGTCTGCTTATGAAGAGAAAACACTTGTTAGAAACATGTTCTGATGAATGTTTTTCTTCAACAGTATGTGATTTTGATAGGGAGTTTTCCAATAACAATGAAGAAATTGCTAACAAAAATGACGATTTAATTTGTATTGCCTCAATAGATGCTACTGAGGTGATTTAAAAGTAAAAAATTTTTCCAAAAACTTTCATTTTAAGTCTTCACTAACAAAAAAATTAAAATTAACTAACAACAATAAAACTACAAATAATTCTTGGCCTCCACCTTTTCTTGGAAATGGTCTTTATCTTACCAAAATAGATTGTCTTCCCCCAGAAACTAATCAAAGAGCACTTTCTCTTTTTGAATTAATCCGTCAAATTCGCCCAATTGCTTCGATTCATTTTAGTTTTTGTATTGATCCTGGATGGGTTATAAAGTTTGTTTTTTTTGTTTATTTTTAGTCTCTTTTCATTTTTTAGGCAATATTCTCGAAGTTTAAGAAACAATCCAATATCTTTTATTGTTGGCCAGCCAGAATTTGGGGAATTGGAAAATGAATGTAAAAATTGGCCAAATATTCAAGTAATTTTTTTTGAATTCTTCCTTATTTTTCTAATTTAGGTTGCTGGTGCAGTACTTCCATTCCCTTTCGGGACTCATCACACAAAGCTTTCTTTGTTTGAAAGTGAACATTCATTGCATGTAGTGGTGGGCACTGCGAATTTATTGCCCCAAGATTGGGCCTTTAAAACACAAATGTTTTATCATTTTGCGGCACCATTTACACAAGAATCAAGACCGTTAATAACTATAGATGCTGAGGATATTGAAACAAAAGATACGGGCCAAAGGTTAGATTTGTACTTTTTCCTGGTCTTAAAAACATATTTTTCAGTTTTCGTGATGATCTTGTTGAATATTTGAGAGTTGCTTACCCAAAAAGGTGTGGTAACGCATATAAACTTGTTTCTTACTGGATAGAGCGTATAATTGGTGGGCAAGCTGACTTTAGCAAATGCAAAGATCGTTTGATTGCTTCCGTTCCTGGGAGGTACACAATTTTTGTTTTTACCCATTTTAGAATTTAAACGATATTTCAGATTTCAGAAAAGCAACGGTACTTACAGCAAATTTGGCCATTTAAAATTGCGCGAATCTTTGTCTTCTAAATTTACTCCAAAAGAATTACAAACTTTAAAAGTTTTAATTTAGAATTTGTAAAAGATTAAATTTAACACTTAGACATTTATTGGCCAATTCAGTTCTATCGGTTCACTCGGAGCTAAAGCAGAAACTTGGTTATCTGATGAATTTTTGTGTAGTCTTTCTGGTTCAAATAGTTTATTACCACGTAATTTAATTAAAATTATTTAAAATTAGAAAAATTTATTTTTATTTTATAGCTTCTTCTCTTAAATTAATTTATCCAACAGTCGAAAATGTCAGACAATCATTAGAAGGGTATGCTGCTGGGTTTTACCTTCCATATTTGTTCAAAAATCATATAAGACAAAATTATTTGTTAAATTTTTTTCATCAATGGAAAAGTGATAAACACGGAAGGTTTTTTTTGATTAAAAATTTTTTTTATTTTTTTAAAGATCGTTAGCAATGCCTCACGTAAAAAGTTATGCTGGTTTAGATGAAAATTCTAAAGTTAATTGGATTTTAATGAGTAGTGCAAATCTTTCTACTTCTGCTTGGGGAAAATTGGAAAAATGTGGAGAACAATTGTTTATTCGTTCTTATGAATTAGGTGTTCTTTTATGTGAAAAAGATCATCCAGAAGGTTAGTAAAAATTTCAAAATTTTTTATATTTAAAAAAGGGGTTTGTTTTATAACTCTTAATAATAAGTTTGAGATTCTCAAACCTATCTTCTTTTTTAAAGAAAATAAATTTCCAAAGCTTTTTGTTGTTATTCTTTAAATTTATTTCTGTTCAACGTTTTTTTAAATATTTTTTAGGTTTACTTTTGCCTTATGATTTACCTTTACAAAAATACGAATCCACAGACCAGCCCTTCGTTCAAGATATTATTTATCCAAAATTACCACCAGATTCATTTGGTTTTCAAGGTTCTTGTGAAGTTCGAGAAGCATCAAAATAAATAAATTATTTAATCTTCTGATTTAACACTTTTTTTCTTTTTAATCATTAAACATTGATTTATTATTAATTTCTTTTCTAAATAAAAAAATATTTAATTCATTACATTTTTTTATTTAATTGTTGCAAATATTCAATATATTTATTTTATTTTTACTTAAATATTCTTTTTAAAGTTTATTTTTCAAGAAATCTCTCTTCAAAAATGAATAACAACAAAAATACTTTTTATAATTCAACAAATACATTTTACGAACAAGAATATTCAACTAAGACAAAAAAATCTGCATCAGAACAATTATCAGAAAATTTTGGAAGAATTGTTGACAATTTACCAAATAAAATGTTTGTTTTTAATTTTTTTAAAAATTTAAATTTTCTTTTTTAGTCCTTCAGATATTCGTTTACATTTACAAAAAGTTTATTCAACAGCTGCTCTTTGCCTTTTATGTTCTCTTTTTGGAATTTTCTTTCGAGGAATTTTTAATTTTAATGCTTTTCTACACAAATTTGTTACTTTTTTAATTTTTTGTTTGTTTATTGGTTTGTTTTTAGTTAAAAATTTTTTTAATTTAATTTTAAAGGTTTGGGATTTTGTAGTTACAAACAAAATTTGGAAGTTAAACGTTTTTATGGTCTTTTAACGCTTTCCTGGTTAATTGGAATTAAATTTTGGTCATTTTTTGAATTTTTCGGTTTTGAATATCCTGGACATATTGAATTTAATTTCTTTTTTGGAGCTTTGGTAAGTAAAAATTTTTTAAATAAATTCTTTTTTTAATCTGAATTAATTTAAATTATACTAGAGTGGGTTTCCGACTCCCAGTTCCCTGGGGACTAACTCAGCAAGGGCTAGAGTTATCCCCAGGGATTTATGAAGGGGGGGCTATAGCCCCAGAAGCCCCCCTGGCTACGCCCTTGAACTCTAGATTATTTTTTTAATTTTTAAAAGATTGTTTATGCTTCCTTTGCTTTGTCTGTTATTCATTCAGAGTCAATTCAATGTCTTCATCTTTGTGGTATTTTTTACAAAATTTTTTATTATTTTTTAATTTCTTAGCTACTTTTCTGTCAACTTTATTTTCTTTTTTGTTGACTTTTTTTGTTGCTCCAAATTTTATTTACCCAACAATTCTTTGGAGTGTGTTAACGACAAATGCTCTTTTTGTCATTTATGATACTCAAATGATTACAGAGAAACGCCAACAAAAGGATACTGATTATATTTGGCATACGGTAATTTTTAATATTTTTGAATGGGGGTTTTGGAATTTAATAGTCGGGGTGTTCCAGTAAAAGTTCGGCAGATGTTAAAGTAGTTAATGAGCAGAAGCTTTTTTCTGATTTCTAGAAATCTCCGTTGGGTGTGACTAGTTTTTTCGAAAATTTAAAATTAATTTTTTTTAATTTTCTTATTTTAAGGCAATGTTGTTTGTAGACTTTCTCAGTGTTTTTGGATATATTTTGTTGAGTTTAAAAGAAAAAATTGGTTATTTTAATAATTTGCGTCATGACAAATTAAAATTAAATTAATTTGGAAATAAAAGGAAGTACATACTTCTCTATATTTATTTCGAATCTCTTTAAATTATTTTAAAAAATACTTTAAATTATTTCAGCAATTCTTTAATTTATTACCTATATTTTTCTTTTTAAATATTATTTTCAACGATACTCTCTCATTTTTTTGATTTTCACTTAAAAATGAATTTTTTAGAAATAACCTTGCCATTTTTGAATTTTTAAAAATAAAATTATTTTGACGTTTCTATTTTTGTTTTTTTGAAGGATTTTTTTCTAAAAAAATATTTTTTTAATTTTATATAATTTAATATTTTCTTTAGAATTTAATTATGTTAATATTAAATAATTTTATTTTAAATTTATCTTCAAAGGAAATTGGTAGCCGGGCATTTTCAATAAGTTCTGCTCTGGCTCAAAATATGTCTGGTAAATACAAAAATAAGGTTTAATTAAATTTTTTTAAACAATTTTTATTTCTTTGAAAATGCCAAATTTAAATTTTGTAAAAAATTTTATCATTAGTATTCTTTGGTCAATTCTTAATTTATTTCAGTCTATAATTTTAAGTTTTTAGGAAATGTTGACGACACTTTCTTTAGTAATTCTCACTAATTTTTAGGCTTGTCGTTATTTGCGCGGAAAACCCCAAATTATGACTTACGACATGTCTCGTTTACCTTCTGATATAGCTGTTAGTAAATCTTGGATGACTTGGCATACACAAAATTTGGATGATTTTAAGTTTTAAATAAAAAATTAAATTTAAATTTTTAATTCCTTTTAAAGACAACAACTAGGATTGACTGTAGCTCAAGATGAAATTATTAGACGATTTGTTCGAGCTATTTTCTATACTTATTTGCCTTTAACTGTTGGTGGAACTGAAGTAAATAGAATAATTTATTTAAATTATTTTAACAAATTTTTTTTCTAGTTAATTACTAAAAGAAGGGGAAATGTTGTTTATGTGACTGGTTTTCTCATACCAAAAGGAAATATGGAACAAATTTATTGGCTTTATGGATTTACTGAAGAAATTTTATCTAATTTGTTAAAACAGCCAGTTAAATTAGAACTTCAATTTATTCGAAGTGCTGATGATTTAGCTGTGGAATATTTTGTTCAGCCAACCACCACACCTTAATCGTTTCATTTTTATAGTTAGAAATTATATGTTACTTTCAATCAACCCCTCAATGTTATAAAAATTTAAACCCCGAAAATTATAGTAGTTACTGTTTAGGCCGAAAATTGTCCTAAGTCTTGCTCATAAAGTTTTTCGAGATTTATTTTATGCATTTATAAAATTAGGAATTTATAATATTATTTAAAAACTACTAAAAACTAGACTCATTATTATATTTTCTATCTATCTATATATTTTTTCATATAATTTAGTCTTTATTTTTTGTATTATCATCTCCTCCCCCACCCTTATTTCCTTCTGATACATCTAATTGTTTTCCTAGATATTCCCAATTATGTACCATTAATTTTTGAATTGCTAAAAGATAATTTAAATAACAAAACTTATTTTAAAAAACCTAAAAGTGCATGACAGAGGCCAATATTTCGCCTCTCTCCAATAATAGCAACAACAACGAAAATCCAAATTCTCTTAATTTTCTTATTGATTGTCAAGTCAGTTTGGTGAAAACAACACTAACAACAATCAATACTTTTATTCCGTCTATGACAACAGAGCAAACTCCGATTTTATTAAACTTTATTAAAACTCTGACTGAACAATTTAACCTTCTTAGTAAATCAATCGATTCACTTAAAGAAAAACAACAAGAAAAACAACCTTATGGATATTTTTCAGGGGCAGCAAAATTAAACAATATTTCAGCAGAGGAGTTAGAGCGTGAAAGAAGTGTTGTTGTGACTGGTTTGACGGAATCTACAAAAAAACTTCCATCAGAAAAAATGGCGGATGACTCCAAAACAATAACAAGTTTACTCGACTCGGTGGGGGTTGAGTGCGCACCCAGGTTTTTTTACCGTATGGGACGTCAGTCTAACCCACCCAATAATGGTCATGCCCGTCTTTTAAAAATTGTTTTACCATCAAGAAAATTTCAGCATGAACTTCTCAAAAAATGGAAAACAATTGGCAAAAAATCTTTTCCTCAAATCAATATGCGGGCATCAATGACACCAGAGCAATTGCAACGACGGAAGGAACTAATTGAAGAGTGCAAAAAAAAGAGAATGGATAACCCACAATTTGACTGGATTGTTTATGGAGAAGCAGTAATTCTAAGATCGGAGGTTCACATTTTTAGAAAAAATAAAAAAAATTGACTTTTGAAAAATAATTTAAATAAAAATTCTCTGAAAAAAAATAATAGCTCTTTAATTGGATCCCCCAGGTTTCAGTGTACTCTATTTAATGCTAGATCACTAAAAAATAAATTATCTGAATTTACCTTTTTGCTCCAAACCAAAAAATTTGATATACTTTTAATAACTGAAACCTGGCTTTCCAATTTAGTTCCTGATTCATTAATCTGTCCAAGTTCTGACTATAATGTATTCCGCACGGACAGAAACAAAAACGGAGGTGGTGTTGCCATTTTAGCTAAATCTTTTTTTCCAATAAATAAGTTACAAATTAAAAAAATTCCTCAGATAAATATAGTAGGGATTGATATATTGTCAAATAATAATAAAATCAGGATTTTAAATGTCTATTTGCCTCCCAAAACTAAATCTGAAAATGTTCTTGAATTTATTTTCATTCTTTATGACTTAGTATCAATAGACTATCCTGTTTTAATTACTGGGGATCTTAATTTTGCAAATATAGATTGGAATTTTAAATTACATAATAAATTAGATCTTTCTGAAAAATATTTTTTAGAATTTATTGAAAATGCAAAATTAACTCAACTAATCAAATTCCCCACAAGACTAAATAATACTATCGATCTTATCTTATCATCAACACCAGAAATAGTTTCTGATATTTTTTCTGGTCCTCCCTTTTCTACTTCAGATCACAATCAGATATACTTTTCTCTTTCGTTTCCATTTTCATTCTCTAATTCTTGTAATAAATTAAAAACAATCTATTCAAAAGGAAACTACTCAGCTATGGAATTTATATTTTCTAATATTGATTGGAAGGTTCAATTTAGTTATATACAGAATTATAATATTAACTCTATATACAATTGCTTCATCGAGCTAATACTTAGTATAGCTGAATCTCATATTCCAAAAGAACATATTTCCTCCATAAATCTACCACCTCATATCCAAAAAATTCAATGTTATAAGGAACAATTATGGAAAAATATTCACTATCCAAAAGTATATGAAAAGTTTTTAAGTACATCAGCAAAACTTCGTTATGAACAAAAAAAATTTTTTAGAAATAAGGAAAAAAAACTTCTAAAAAATAAGTCTCAAAAAAATATTTTTAACTATATTTCAAGTCAAATTAAATCAAAGACTAACACAATACCAACA